GAAAAAGAGGCCCGTCGCGCCGCAAAGGCCGCAAAGGCCGCTGCCAAAGCCAAAGCCGCTGCCTCCTCCACCTCAGCGTCCACATCCACATCCACACCCAACGCCACCGGCGGTACATCCCCGCCGGCCACGAAGCGGCGGCGCATCGACGAGGACGAGGTCGACCCGAACGCGCCATTGAGGCTGCTGCGGTTCGCGGCGCCGGAGCTGGCGCCGTGCGCGCACGTCGACAAGTATGAGGCGCTCAACCGCATCGAGGAGGGGAGCTATGGGGTTGTGACACGGGCGAAGGACCGCGCGACGGGGGAGGTGGTGGCGCTGAAGCGGCTGAAGCTGGAGAGGGAGACGGACGGGTTTCCGATTACGAGCCTGAGGGAGATTACGACGTTGCTGGCGAGTCGGCATCCGAATGTGGTGAATATTAGGGAGATTGTGATGGGGGATACGTTGAAGGAGTGAGTCTCTCTCCTCCTCTTTCTCTCTATTATTATTATTGTTACTACTACTACTCCACTTCTTCTCTGCTCTGCGAGAGGTTCTAGGATGTAGATGAGACTGACAAACTCCCCCCCCGTCGGACAGCGTCTTCATAGTCATGGACTTCATCGAACACGACCTCAAGATCCTGAGCGAAGACATGCAAGAGCCCTTCCTGCAGTCCGAGGTCAAGACGCTCCTGCACCAGCTCGTCTCCGCCACCGCACACATGCACTCGCAGTGGATCGTGCACCGCGACCTCAAGACGTCAAATCTGCTCATGAACAACCGCGGCCAGCTCAAGATTGCCGACTTTGGGCTCGCGCGCCACCTCGGCGAGCCGCTCACGCAGCTGGTCGTCACGCTGTGGTACCGTGCGCCGGAGCTCCTCCTGGGCGCCGTCACGTATGGCGCGGAGGTCGATATGTGGAGTATTGGATGCATCTTTGGAGAGCTGCTGCTGAAGGAGCCGCTGCTGCAGGGGAAGAATGAGGTCGATCAGTTGGCGAAGGTGTGTATTTCCACCCCCCCACGTTGAACTGAGGTGTCGGTTACTAACTGCACTGATCTCGGGTAAAAACAGATATTCGACCTCTGCGGCCTCCCCACCGACGAAACCTGGCCCACCTTCCGCAAGCTCCCCAACGCCAAAGCACTCACGCTCCCCAAGACCAAAAACGCCGCCTTCACGGGCCCGCGCCTGCGCACGAAGTTCCCGCTGCTGACCGCGGCGGGGGTGGATCTGCTGTCGCGGCTGCTAGCGCTGGACCCCGAGAAGCGCATCAGTGCGGAGGACGTGCTGAAGCATCCCTACTTCAGGGAGGACCCGAAGCCGAAGAGCGCAGAGATGTTTCCGACGTTCCCGAGTAAGGCCGGGCAGGAGAAGAGGAGGAGGCATATGAGCCCCAGTGCGCCCGTGAGGGGGGAGGCGCCGGCGCTGGTGGGTGATTTGGGTGGGCTGTTTGGGGGGAGGGATGAGGAAGAGGTGGGGGCGGGGTTTGTGTTGAGGATGGGCAGGTAGTTTGGGGGGGGGGGGGTGTGGTGTGTGTGGAGAGGGGGCGGGGAAAAGGGGGGTGGGAGGTGGTGGGAGTGGGTTTTGTTTTGTTTTGATATATCAACTAGAAGTCGTTTCGTGCCGCGGTTGTTACAGGTGGTACATGTAGTGGTGCTAGGTAGGGCTTGGAAGGAGATGGTCATGAATGTCGGCGTGATTGTGGACCGCCTAAAATGTGTTCAAGAAATAATGGTAATCGGGTTATACCTCTGCTCCTAGCTGCTCTCCGGCACTCGTGTCTGTATCTAATCCACCCAGTGTTGTGTTCTGTTTCTGTGACTGTTGCTGTACATGGAGTATGTGGCTCTATAGATCTAGCTATGTATACTTGATGTATTGCCCGGCCGCGGCAGGCAGCTCTAGGACTCTCGAATCTTTTCAATAAGTGAGTTACGTAGTTCGCGAATGTCCTTCCCCACGATGTGGCCAGTACCAAGACTTAACAAGTCGACCCCAGCCCCGTTGCCCGCCAAGCGGACTCTGGATGTAAAGATCCAGGAACAGTTTGTGTTTATGCACTCTCTCCGCACTGGGGGTGCGTGCTGTGCGTTGGTGGGGGCGGAGTGAATTACGTCACGGGCTGTCACTCGAAACGGCGAGTGATATTGCGTGATTGCATGCTTAGGCCTTTAGTTCTGCGTTGGGCAGTGGGGCTCATGGGATCGGGCTTTGTCGTGATATAGGGGTGGCTTTATCTAAGTGTTTGAATTGGAGAGGGGGGTTTGCTAATCCGCCTGTTAGCTTTTCGGACTGGATAGGTATCCCGTGGGCCATAGATTCTCACACCTCTCTAACGAGACAGGAAGCCAGAGTACAATTGAATAAGAGATCGATATAAAAGTAGAGACTACAAGCTCTCGTCATCTCAAAGGACTCAGTATTTTCTGGACTGCAAGATACGGAATTCCCTGTCGGAATGCGCGTTTATCGGTCCTTAGCTAGTCGACGGCGCACCCAGAAACGAGTCGACGCGCGCCCCCACATTCTGTTTGGTATTAAGGAGACAGTGGTGGCTCTGTGAGTAAGGGCTGTTGACTACGTACTTAGGTAACAAGTTTCGCTATTTGCACATACAAACCCAGCTCACCAGGCCTATATCATAGTGTTTGGTGGCTACATCATGTATGGTCTGCACATACGTGAGTTATAGGAGGCCGCTGACGGGGGTTCGCAGGTTTAGCTAACCAAAGGGGGGGGCATGGCACTACATGTTTTCGGGTAATGATAAATTTGCAGGAATCCGGCAACCTTCGGCGTTTTGGAGCGAAATAGGAGTTCAATAGATTTTGTGAGGATCCTACGTGGTTCACAGACGACGCAAGCTCAGGCTCTGATAGCAGAAACGAAGCTCGATTGGCTATGATGATAGGATGATGGTGATAGGAGAAGACAGAAGAGACGAGACTGTAGAATACAAGAAACTACATAGCTACTTCCGACACGGTTTCTTTTGGTGACCTGTCCTGACCTGAGGTCACCCGTAGTTACACAACCGCCTAGCCTGCGCCACAGCGTTCAATTTAAGGTGCGGACGAGCATTTACCTAATTATATGAACAAAGTTGAACAGTATACAATCTCTAGCCACCTGTCAACACGGTAGGGGCCGGGATGGTATTCAACAGCAGTCCGTTTCACAGACGTCAGAATTAACTTTATGAGTACACCATTCGTCATCAGCAGCCCAAGCGCTAGGCCGAAGTAGGTCGAATTTATTAAAAATGGTCTTATTATATGCATCCGCTTATCCGCATCAGGACATAACTACCACCCGAGTCATACTACAATTAAAACTACAGCTCGATGACCTAACAACCTGTAGGCTTTAGCTATATGAGGTGTCAACTTTAAGAAAATTTGCACATAGAAGAGCATTGTTACAACGACTAGCCGGATTTTATCGTGAGGAGATACCTACATCATATATTACTGTAATACGCATATCATGTATGATCCCGTATTGGCAGGCCTCCTCGTTAGCCTCATTATACACACTCGAGTATATATATCCCGGTTTCCCCCAACAGCTTTTTTTGTCCTTCTCGCCCAAATTTCTTTTTCATGACCCGCAACATATATATTCCACTCGACGCGCAAACATCCAAAGACACATCTTAGATATCCATCTAACCCTTCGATTCCTGAATATACAACAAAGTCTGAAAATGAAGCTTACAACATTTCTGTCCGTGCTTTTTTATTTGGCCCTTTCACTGTCAATCGCACAAGCGGCCCCCATTTTTGGTCTCTGGGGTAGCGAACCCATACTAGATGTTTATGACAATAAAGTTGAATCTGCTACATTCACTCTTGCCGGTATTGCCACTTTTCCAGCATTTTTTTTATATATACATCTGCTAACCAAGATACAATAGATGCGCCAAAACCGGAGCAGAATACCGGCTCTTTGTTGTCACGGTTCCCGATTTTCGACACACTCCTCCCGTGGGGAATTACCAAAACCGAGACCGATGACATGATGAGTATTTATAGTGCACTTTCCCAACCTGGTAAGCTTTTCTCCCTTTGGTTTTTTTCTTCTTTCCTTTTCGCTCGGTTATATCTCCGTGAGAAAGTTAACTCACATGAATGTTTTCGATCCAGAAAAGGAAGTCTTCGTTGATGCTCTTCAAGAGCAAGTCGCGATCGAGAAGTCGTCAGGCGGGAAGGTTAAGCTTAGTTGGAAAAGTTTCTTTAAGCGCTTCTGGAGTTGGGCAAAGGGGTTGTTCCGCTCGTGGTAAGAAAAAGGATAAGGTTGTTTGATAATATGCTAGTTAATTCTAGATCTTTGAGTGTGAAATGTTATTATAAAATGAATTTTTAAGATCATACTTCTTGTGACTTTCACTATATCCGCGTGCATGATCATGATCACTTGGTTATTGAGGAGGTTTGCCGACTCTCAGGTGCCCGTTGAAACTACGTAGTTTCCTTCTCACTGAACCTCTGAGGATCATGACTGTAGGTAATGTTGTAGTAATCGATAGGAACCTGGTCTACTTTGCTTCATTACTAACCCTTTTTTGGTAAGCTGGAAGTAACCCAAAGAAAGTATGAGCAACTTCGTTCAGCAGACAAAATTTGTTCTGTATTCCAGACTTATATCTGAGTCGTCAATCACTCTTAGCAGTTGTAACACCGGGCCAACCCCTAGTCTATAAATGTACAAATAGCATAGACATTTTGTAGAACATGTCCTGATTCGGACACAAACCGTAAATAAACAATTTTTCCGGCCTGTAGGTACCCTGATGCGCAACGAGCCAATCGATAAGCCTCGGCTGTTTTACATCCGTAACATTCGCTGCCCCGCACCTCAGCAGTTATCATCACGCTTGGTCGATAAGGAGGATAAGCATGAGCACAACACCGGCGGCACAACACCACGACAGCCTCCCCAAGCTGGCCGGAAACCCTGGGCCACCTGAATACGTGGAAACTTTCACCGTTAGCATCAGCCTCTGCCCACCATGTCTGTACGAGGTATTTGAATTTCATTTATCTACTTTATTATTTCCCTTGACAGTCTCCCGCATTTTATACATACCCCCCCCCCTTTCATATATCCTTTGGTTCTTTCTTGTGGCCGACGTTGTTATTGTTACCTGCACTTGATTTCCCCCGCCATTATGATCGCTGCTCACAGAATGTTGTTCAACCCAGTCCCCGACCAACAATCTGCTTCGGCTACCTCCTCCATAAGATCATCTTCCCCGGACCGACCTTCACTGCGCGGCGCCCGTTCGTTCTCTCGTCTCGAACCGTCGACAACTAATCCTCTCTCCCGGCTCGGGGGTGAACTCACAATTCCCGATATATCAAAAACAGTTTCTGAGACTCCGTCACCCATCGAAGAGCATGACGAAGAAGATTCCGGCAAAGAACCATCGTCTACCAGCTTTCCTGAGGGATTTGACGAGCTCCCCATTGAACTACTTAGTCTGACGGACCGGTTTGCACCTCTTATCAATTTCTGGGGAATAGGTTTTGGGTCTAATATAACATCAGCTTTATCGAGTCCTTGTCTGCCAAAGTCCACCCCAACCCATTGTCAGTGACCCAACTTATAGAGCTATTCCAGCAATTTTACATCAGTGCTTTCCAGCAAGTCGATACCCATGTTTCACACTCCTACTTGTCACTTGCATCCAAGAAGCCCCGGTCTTCTCCATCATCGTCAAAAAACCCGACGCAGATGCTGTCAAGGGAGGAAATAGCCCAGAAGAAACGCGACAGGAAGATGCTTGATATTAAACGGTTAGCGCTGGAAGAAGCCGTCGAGAAGCGGATTACGGAAGGTGTCTATAACCGCTTGTGGAGGCATAAAAGCACGGATGACGAAGCCAGGGATGAGAGTTTGAGAAGCAAGATGGCAGCGCTGAATGTAGTTGGAGTGAAGCTGGGGCATCTGGGAGTTGAGTTGGGGGTGCAGGGCAATGTTGAGGAAGAGCTCCAGCCAGCGGTAGAGGCACTGGTGGCGATGAATGATCAGAAAAATCCTCTGGGGAAGCTGCAATCACTGAAGCAGGCACACAAAGCGATCGTTGGTATGAATGAAGTATTTCTATGCCTTTAGTAAGGTTTACTGACTGAAGGTGCTCAGACTGGTTGTCAACGCACAATTCATCTTCTTCCGCGGATTTCATCCTTCCCACTCTCATTTACACACTCATAATATCACCCCCTACACAAAGCTTCAATATCATCTCAAATCTCTTCTTTATCCAGCGTTTCCGGGCCAAGAAAGCAATCGATGGGGAGGCTGCCTATTGCTTGACAAACCTTGAAGCTGCAATCTCATTCCTTGAGACTGTCGACCTGGCCACTCTTAAAGTAGAAGATCCAGATGAAGGCCGTCCAAGAAGTAGGAGCAGAAGCCCTCTCCCGAAAGAAGAGTCTGAAGCAGGAACACCTGAAATCCCTTGGGCACCAGTTGGCGATCCTTTAAGCAATCTCACTGATAAACTTGCGGCAGCTCACGCTACTGCTGAGGCTGCAGCCGCTGAGAATGCGAACAAACCGCATGTGAAGGTCATTGGGACAAACCCATCTGCATCGTCATCTACATTGTCACTCCAGCCTCCGTCAGCTGCTAATGCAGCCACTGTGGGCGGGATGCCAAGGAGACTTTCATACCTCACTCCAATCGACATTGCTTCTGGCGCTATCTCTACTGCGGACCAGGGGATCCGTGGTATCGGCAGCACACTGGAAAGTAGCTACAAGTTTCTTTTCGGAAAGATGGAGAAGCGCGGAGAAGAGCTACCCAAGACACTTGAGGATGCTCGCAAACTAGTCGACTCCCCAATCATCGGATCCTTTGACGATGAAAAGTTTACGGAAAACGATGGAGGTCTAAAACGGGTCGCAAGCGAGACCAGCATCCAGAGCACCCAGAGCCATAAGGCGGAAAAGGAGACCACATTTGGCACACCCCCGAGATCGTCAACGACCCCTGCAGCGGCGGCGGCAGAGAAGCTAGGGCATCTAGGAACCTCGTTGGGTCGCTTCGCGGTACGAGGATTCACAAGAAGCAGCACGCCCGCTGCGTCAACGACAACCTTGTCACAGACGGATGTTCTCACGGGGGCTGCAAAAGGACTGGGTATTGTGGGTGCGGCGGATAAGGGACATACCCATAAACGAGACGATAGCGCGCCTGTTGTGGATCTATTATCTGTATGTTGCCCCCTTAATCTCTGACTAGTTCTATGAGAAAATACTAACCTGAATCATTAGACATTTCCCGATCTTGCGAATTCCTTACCCAAAGTCAAAATGGGCATTCCGCCGATCGCGAGGTTTCTTGATATTGAAGATCCCGGGGAGCTACGAATCTCGGAAGTGGGAGAGTTGCTGAAAGATTATAAGCGACTAGTTGAAGAGCTCAGAGTGAGAGGCGCGTTGGACTAGCTTCCGCGTGGACTAGTCAAAAAATGGGTTTCCAGTTTCAGTGCGTTAGGGAATGGCGTTTATACGTATAGTTATATGCATTTGTTTCATATCTTTTTTTTTTTCCGAGCCCTAGAGGAGTTTTGTTTGGGTTTCCTTTTTCTTTTCATTTTCTCTTTTTTCCCTTTGCTTCCTTTAGCCTTAAAGACCGGTAGTTAGTGTGTATTCCTTATCTTTATGCGATCAAGCCAGTGATTCCTTCTTCCATTTTGTGTTTTATGGTTTCTTTTTCCTCTACTTTTTTACAAAATATATTATGGAGAAGAGAGGTGGTTCAAGATTTTTGCTGCACACGTGTAAAATACTTATATGGGGTGGCGATCTGGATATAAAATTGACGGCCGAATGGATACCATATATATCGCTAATGCGATGCCTCCACCGTGGTGGAATATTCAAAAGATACATACCAATGATACCACCGACCTATCGAGTGATCGCCTGTGATTCTGCCTCCCCTGTGCATCCCCCATAACTTCGCTCCCTGTCTACGCTGCTGCAGCAACGTATAGAAAATGGATAGATATAGGCCAATGAATATATAACAGAAACACCTCTTAGTAGTCAAGAAAAATAATCCGCTATCTACATGCACGTCCTGGAGGCGGTAGAGCCTCGTTTTGAGGCTCTCTTGTCGAGGAAGGGTACTTGTATGGTTTCCGACTGCTTAGTATTCTGATATGTCGCGGTACGATGTCACCACCCCTGCTAGCTGTGTGCACACCAAAACAATGTGTCGTACAGAGTAGAGATTAATCAAGTCACGAGTGATCTCTCATGACCAAGCCCTTCTAAACCATCCTTATCATCTCACCACCTCAATTCACTTCACTCCACCACACCACACCACACCACACCACACCACACCACCATGAACAATAACGCAAGATAAGATAGAGAGTCTCAAACTCACCAAGATGATATTCTAGCTATAAACAAAAAAACTAAAACCCCTTTTTTCCACCCCAAAATATACACTTTTTTTTATATAAACAACTAGTCACCTTCCTCTACCGCCATCACCACGCCCGCCACTATTTACTTGCTATTAAATTATCCAGAGTAGACCTCCGGGCCGGGAGGAGTGTAGCTGGTGAGGACGGGGTAGTAGATGTTGATGGTGATTCCGGGGTCGGAGCCGACGTACGCACCCGGGAAGGACACACCCGCGGGGGACGCGCTTCCACCGCCGGTGACGTTAATCTGCACACAAGACCTATCCAGAAGGTTAGTCTCTAGTCCTCAAGCTCTCCGGAAACAAATAAGCGGGGGAAACCTACATGTAAAACTGTGCTCCCGGATACGTGCTGGCCACATGCAGCCCAATCGTCTCACCCCTGAGAAGATACTGCCCACTCGCAATACTTTTCGGGATCGTGAACTCCAACAGTCCTCCGGCTGCGTTCACGTCTGCAGATGCCCAGTGCAAGTCACTGCCCACCAAGCCGGCCTGGTAGATCTTGAACCATGACAGGCCAGTGATGGTCGTTGTTTTGGCATCGGCAACTTTGGCCATGTAGACGAGCTCGGGGCCCTGGTGGGCACCGGTGTCCCATGTTACGGTTACGTTGGAGCCCGCGACGACGTCAAGGACTGAGGCGGCGGGAGTGGCACCGTCGACGTTGCAGATCTGGTTGGAGAGATGGTTAGTATGATGGGCTTCACTGGCAGTGATTGAATGGGTGGGATATATGAACTTACGATGTCGTTTGAAGTGACATCTGTGACGGGGCTGTTGTTGGGGGGAGGCGGACACAGCCAGTATCACCGTTGAGAGCGGTGAGGCGCACATGGGCCTGGACAGAGCCCGCGAGGAGCGCGGCAGAGGCGAGAAGTTGGAGGATTTGCATTTTTGCGGATTGAAGATGTGAATGAATGTATTTAGTATAATATAGTAGTAGTAGTCTTTTTAATGAATGAAAGAAAGGAAGAAGCGAAAGCTGAGCTGTTTGATGATATGAGTCCAACGAACGAGAGCTCGAGGTAGGTTTATATACAAAACCCTCCCTTTCTCCCTCCAGCGGAAAGTCTTCTTTGGCCCTTCGATCCTTGTAAAAGCTATGTACATAGCTTGACAAATGAATATCAAAACTCAATTCTGCCAAACTCACAGCCGGCCCTGTATACACCCCCAGAGCTAGCTAGAGAGAGGCCCAGGGACGGGGGACGGGGGGAGAGAGAACTTCATGTTGATGGTTAATTGATTGATTGAGTGTTTCCCCGAAAGTCGAATCAACAGGGGACAAAAAAGAAACCCTTGAGCGCTGTCGTAAGCTTCTTAATCTATCAGATGTATATTGTAATCTATACTCATGGGGTCGGGGAACCTGACTAGTGCACAATACTCATGATTCAACACACAAACCCTTAGCTCAGGCCGGCGCCAAACCCCATGCCATGTTCATGTAGTCTTCTTTCTTCATTACATATATATAGATATACATATATGAAACAAGGTAAGGCAAGGCCAGAAAGCGTGCAGACGTTAGTACCGCTCCAACGGTACGGGCGTTTCTAAGAAACAGACGCCCAAGCGGAGAGCAGCGGTGGAGGCATGCAGCTAGCTCTCGAACCCCAGCTGGCTAGCTAACTGGTCCAGCACGTACCTTTGTCTCAGGAAGCCCTTCCCGTCGGGCCCAAACGTCGGTCGATCCGGGTCGGAGATTTAGCCCCGCATTCCGGTCTTCAATGGACTATCAATCATGCACTACTGCTAGCTCCATCATTCTCAGATCAGTAATGACTACTCGGAGCAGGTAAGAATTATCGTTGGGTGTTTGGCTTTATGGGAGGCAGAAGAGAATTGTATTATATGATTAATATCACAAGAGTAAAAGGAACTCATTTTATAGTGAATAGCACTTACCAGATAGCTAACTCGTTGTCTTGACACAGTAATAATAACAAGGACTTTTGATGGTAACAACCATACTACTGCCCTCCTTTCCTTCCTCAAACCCCCTGCCCTGCCCTATCCTGACAACTGACAGCATAGAATGTAGCACATATAAGCTTCTACACAGCTTCTCCCCCGGCCCCAGCCCTGGACAGACCCCTGCTCTACTTACCTGAAGCGCGCTAACGGGGAGGTCCGTGGTGTGATGCATGGGCAGGGTTAGCCCGATATGGCCTGGACCGATGATCTGCAACAAATAAACGTTATTAGGGCAGAGGGAAAGCGTTAACGGTGCGAACAAGCTTCATTCAACTTCCGGTCTTGCCTTTTCTCAGGTGTTTTGCGATATTATATGTATGTGCCGCCGGAGAAAACGCGGAGAGAGCCGTCGGCAGACAGAGACAGACAGCCAGACATGCAATGCACTCTATGGGAATGAGCACCATGTACCACGTCGTTCTCCATTTTCTTTCATTTCGAATTAAGGCTTGTTTCGCCCAGATTCTTTTCCTTGGTAGCGCCTACAGGAGCTGGATATTAAAAACGTGGAAGGTGCTGAGAAGAGGGAGGCATGGGGACGTCATGTACGACTCCGGATATCGGATGTGGTATATTGGGATCTGCAGCTGTTGGATTTGGTTTTTATAGCTTTATAGACATCATATGATAAAATATAGAACATTATTTACAGCCAAACAAAAGGGTTTGAGTATTCCCACAGCACACAGATATAGAGGTATCCGACCCGAGTGAGATACCGTGATCCGCTCTATAAATGCCTGGTTGATAGCCCATATACATGCAGTACATACATTTCACAGCGAAAAATAAAAGCTACAAGTACAGCATCGGGTGACAAAAGACGATAGAAAGAAAGTATAATAAACTTGGGATCCATGGTCTTGCGGGCTCAATTCAGGCTCAATACACCCGTTCCCCTGAATGCCGAGACAGCCATGCGGCCAGAACTTCCGTTACTATTAGATTGCATCAGTAAGTCCGGCGATATATGAGAAACGTACCTGCTATATGTGCTACATCAACACGCACGCCGCCGCGCTAGCAACCGTAATCGCTGGCGCTGCTTTTACTATCCCATGACCAAGACTTCTCCCAACGCTCGCCGCCGTCCGCGGTTGTTTCTTCAGCGCATATTGCAGCGACGCATATTCAGTGATGTCTCCGTTCCAATGCGCCGGCACCTGAAAGTAAGTACTGCCATCACTATACTCAATCCACCAGCAGTCTGTTTGCACTGTTGAGAGCCTGACATTCTACGCAATATAAACCGGTCAATACTTCCTCGCAAACATCTCTCGCTCGCCAGGAGAAAAAAAAGAATAGACAGACCACCGCACTAACGCTCTCGTCTACCTCCTGAAGTGCCGCCAAGAGTCCGGGATCTATCCCTTCTGACCAGATCCATCCTTTACTTTCCAATATCCAGGAGTTATCCTTCCCCATCGCCAAGAACCCAATGTCCGAGTATTCAGTGAGCAATCCCTGGTTACTCAGCTCCGTGATTTGGTTGATCAACCCCAGGGGCAGATTGTTGTAATGAATGCTCTGGTTCAGCACTTGTTCCTCTCCCTCTCCCTCTCCAGCCCAACAATAAGTGCTCCAGTATGTCTGCAATTGACCAAACTCAAGTCGATTAATCGTCGGCCCAGTGTTATCGTCGCATTTTAGATACCTCCAAAGACCAGGCGCGGTTGCTGTAATAAATTGATATGAGCTTTGGATGAAGGCGAGTCAATATTTGATATAGTAACTCTCCATACATACCTATTGATATTTCACCGTTTTCATTAGCATACTGAAACCAGTAAAGGCCATTAGGACCAAGCGCGTAGGCCTCCACGGCTTCTGCCATGCCTTCTAAAGTTACCAGCTCTAGTAAGGACGGAGGTAAGTTGTCCCTAGTACGGAGAAGCGCTATAGTCAGACATCGCAGAATAACCGGTAGAGATACAAGGTTCGGTTAAACATACCAACAAAAGCCTTTCTTAGAGCGCATAAGATAATTTGGCTTCCCTCTGAAGGAGCCGATATCGAATTCGAACGCCGTTGACATCTTTGGACCGTAGTAGTAATCTAATAGTTAGGTAGGCGATCTGAGATGGAAGATCTCTTGGAATCTAGGGTGATGATGATCAGGGAGGTTTAAAGCCGACGTTGGCAGAATAAATATAATGAGTTGTGGCGTTTCTAGGAGGCTGTGATTCGTAGGCTGTGTGCAGCTGTAACTAACACCAAATGCCGAATAAGGACGGAATCGCGAATTATGTCCCAAAGAAGTTGCATGTACAACCTTTGTGTTACGACCGGCTTTTGTGGCCGGTTGACTTGGATACCAGCACCAGTAATGGGTACAGTCGTTCACAGGGTGAGGACGAGCACTGGGTGAAGACGAACCAGGGTTCTCAATATGGCAAGAAACAGCCAAGCTGCCCAAGTGATCTTTCTATTTGTCCAAAAATCCTTGTTCGTCTACACCCAGTGTTCGTCCTCACCCTGTGGACGACTGTACATGTAAGTACACAGAGTAAGCGGAGGTGTACCTACAAGATTAATGCTTACCAATGGCATTAACGGGCTCTTCCTTTCCCTTAAGGTTTGGACCAAACATGCTCGTGGTAGAGTACATGGGCCATGGAGGTTATGAATACATTGAGAGCTGATTGGCATAGATACATACAGTATGAGAGGTGGATGTAGGAAATACTCATCAAATAGACCTTCTAACTGAGAGTAAAATCGATACAAATAGCATATGTGTGGACAAACTGAATATGAAGAAGGAAAGGAAGGTGATATTATCAAGCGAGACAAGACCAGGGTTTTTATAGGGTTAATTAATTGATAAGTAACCAGCGTGTTCTTGGATCAACTTGATACGCTTTCCTATCTGGAGCTACATGTATATATGTCATACGTGTAGCTGTCTTGCTTTCCCAAGGACTGCGGCCGACTTGCTGGTTTGTTGGCTTCTTGGTATATCCGCGCTGCTGGTCCGAACAACGTTCGCAACCCACTCCTCATATCATCTGAATCCTCGCTATCATCCAAAATTCTCTCTCTTTACCGAATCAATATGGCGGCTTTGTCCAGATAGGGGACGACCGGAATTCCTCACGAGAGGAGTCGAATCATAAACAATTACTCACCCCCGCTTGGAACTTTCGGTCGATGCCGAGCCTGTCCGAGTGATGGAAAATGATCCAACACATTCCACATTTATCCTCAAACTCTTCCGTGCCGTTACATAATGCAAGTGACCCTTCGGCCTATATGTGCACATACTAACGGTCCTTTTGAGAGATGTGAGCTGGAAACAACCCAAAGGTAGTCCTCGAGGATTGTGGGATATAAATCTGGGCAACTGCAGCTCTGAGAAGCTCAGTAGATTTATGCAAGTAGCTCCCTTATGGTGTACCTAAAGATACATATAATATATCTAAGAAGCCTAGAAGAGCTAATTATTGAAAAAAGTGGGTGTTGAATCATAAAACTGTTAATACCAAGGTACGAAATTTCGAAGACCTAGCATACCTCGAATGTACAATTGTGAGCTACAAGGCGATATTTTCGTACAAATATCCTACATGTATTTTGTATTTGTTGTCTGATCAATTAGAATGCAGTCAACCCCGTTTGGTTCTGACAACTAACCCTGATATTTGACCAGATCCTCTCGTGAGCTCTTCATCCATCATAACAAGGACCATATCCTCGAAGACAGGATATAGAATCAAACGGGACAGCATTGATCAAGTTATGTGGGGCTTGGTCAAAATTTCGAACCGAAAGTCTCGTTCGAAGGCCTTGGGTGGACAAACAGAAAAACGGGAGAGGACTGGATGCGTAAGGAGATCAAATTGCTCGCACTTGATTCTTTTTTTTATATACATCTCCCGGAGATGCAAAAATGAGACCGCTCATCTGCGGAGATGTTACAATTGGAACATTTAAGACTTGCCCTACAGCACTTGGGACTTTAGCACGCACCTAATCGGGCAGTCTACTATGGAAGCCCGGAAAGATGACGATACCGTAACTTTGTGCCAGGATAACTCTACCCACATATTCAATTGGATTGCATAGAGTTTGAGATGTTATATGGTGCAATGCGCATTGGGATCATCACCTGGGCGTAAGGACCGCCTTGCCTTGAAATCTTGGTTCGCCTCGACCAATCAACCAGCTGTGTACGTACTACGGCCAAAGGCACGGCAAGAGGGTCCATAAATATCAGAATTCAGGACAACTGCCGAATTGAAGTTATAGTGGCTAGGTGATACCACAACCATGTGCGCAACCCGCTGGTTTATCTTCAGGCAGGGCCCTGTCTTGAGTTTGGTGTTGAGCACTCGTCTATCATTTCCAACGCCTCTAGCTCTGTCCACCAATCAATTGCAAGGGACAAATGGGCCAAGCCAGAAGCCCCCCAGTTCAAGAGCCAAGAAACTGGGCAACTCTACTATTTAAAGCCCTATCGGAGCTCAATTGCCTTTTCAGCACACTTGTTTATTTACAAAACACTTTTTGCAGCATTCTTCGGGCCTCCGTTACACATACGTTTGAATGGTTGCCTGCTCTTGCTCTTAAGCTTACTCCTACTCTATTGTCATTACTAGAGTTACGATTATTAGGGTAGCAGGGGGGTGCGGATATAAGGCGTGTAATTGAACCAGTCGGTCATACTCCGGGCTAAATAGCCCACCTACTATCCTCTCGAGGAACCCCGCCTTCTTGGCCTTCTATGTACCCCCCATAGACTTACTTCGTGAATCTCATCATATCCAGGATAAAAGCCAGCCTGGTCTTTTCGGCGATACTTGTTCGACCCTCTAATTCTAGTGATTACAATAATTCTAGTTGTTACAACAATTCTAGTTATTGCAAAGGGGAAAAAATGAGACGATGTCCTCCCCAACAATCCAGATAACGTTAGCAACGGCGATGCCTGCTACGACCGCGGCATCCCAAAACCGACGGAATCCGGCGGCTGCGGCCATGGGCCGATAGATAGGCTCACTTGTGTCGTAACGAAGAACAAAGTGTCAGTTCTGACAAAACAGGCCAGAAATCCAGGTTAGATCTTGGAATCAAATTGATCATCCTGAAGTGGGGGCGTCTTTGTCCTCCCAACGGCTTTCTTAGGTCAGACAACCAATGAGGCCAGATAGATAGATAGACGCCTGTGCATGAACGACTTGATAACCACCTTTCCAAAGAATCGAGAGAGGGAGAAATCGTATGTGGCCTTGAAATCCGGTTGATATTGTTGCTGCTACATACTCCCTCACTACCTACCTGCGATCAATCGCGGGAGTGGGGAGTTTGCAGCTGGAAGGTTGAACGCCGCACGCGTCACTGGCCACGTGCCTGGCTCATTCGTACGATGCATGGTCTCATGTCTGGTCGTCTAGCTGGTCTGTAAAACTGTCTCGACTCTAGCTCTCGAGTGTACTACTACTCGGCAGGTCTTAAAGGGAAAACAACATCGTTAAGTACCTTGTCCAGGGTATCTAATATGTCACGACCTTCCAAGATTGCTCTTGCGGCGCAGGCAGATTAGCGGTGGATGTATCTACCCCATCTATCGGTACCTATCACCCCGTAAGGTGTGTAGGCTTGTTCGCTGGGATATACTAATACTCAGAATAGCTACATACCCGTGACGTAAAAGTAAGCTCAAGTGCAAATCTGCAAGATTATCATCCCAGCTGCTGTGTCCCATCTGGCTTTCCGCTTTAGCTCAACAATTTTTTTTTTTTGTTTCAAAGGGTAATCGATAGATAGATAAGGAAATCGCATTACCAGTCATCCCCAGCGTGGGATAACAAAGCCTGCTGATTTGGTGGTGTAGGAGGCAGTCTAACTGTCGGAGAGATTCCGATCCTTCTCGATTCATTAACCAGCAGCCACCCTACATGTATGTAGTACCTACAGTACCTACTCCCAACCAAACCTATATCGTGGGACAAACAAAAATTTCCGACCTGGCTGGGCATTTATGTTTGACAATTTGAATGCCGGTACATAGCGAACTTGGTGGGGTTGGTGCATTTCCAAATTGCGGGGTGGGTGTGTGTGTGCATGACGGCCGCTGCTCTGGAAATCAGACCGCTTGGTGCGTTGATCGTTCAATTTTTTGTTTATTCTGATGCCCCATTGTTTACTCTATGAACCCCGCCTTTACTTTTTCCCCCTTTTCTGAGAAATGATAGGGTAGATAGAATTGAAATATGTAGGTACGCGGGTCTCCCACCCAGCGCCGCAACATCTCGATTTCAGATTAAAGCTTGGCATATAGTAGTTGTGGGTGCGATTTCCTGAAATCGATGAGGCGAACGAACGAACCGATAATCAGCTAGACCCCAAGTAGATAGAGAGGGAAAGGAATTGAAACGCAGGGTGAGCTCACTCGCAGCGTAGCTACTCCGGGTAAACACCCGAGAGGTTCGAGATAAGGCCTGGCATTACTGCTTTAGTGGCTTACGAAACATGAACTCTAAACCTCCATGAAGTTTGAATTACCCAAGCCCTCTTTTTTTTTTTTTTTTCCTTTTCCCTGTTGGCGCGATGCGATCATGGATCATGGGAGGGTGTGGGTTCATCTTTTTACTTGCATACTAATCTGCTCTAGATAGCTAGCTGGACTTGCCGTTATTTCGATCTACACCAGGTGGTAGGTACAGACATGCCTACTTGGTTACTTAAAGCACCTACTCCACCGGTCCCGGGGAGTGGGTGGTTGATAGTGACAGAAATCTTGGGCGTAATAAGATATAGAGATCCAGACTAGATATATTGGGCCCTCTCCCGCCCCTCCCTCACTAAGAAAAGCACAGGAAGAAGAATAAGAAGAAGGAAGATTTGCCTGCCTTCTTGCTGCTCATTGATTGACCTTTTCAATTAATATATATACACTCCGATATCTTCCCTAGATATATATATATATAAAAACACCCAGCACTTAGCTGAACCTATCTGAGATATCACTCCCTCCCAATGGCTGACCAACACCCCACCACCCTCCTCACGATCCTCACAAACCAGCTACTCCTCCTCTTGACGGTGCCCTACCTTTCAGTGGGCGACATCCACTCCCTCACGCTTACCTCCCGCGCCCTCTACAACTCAATCACCTCTTCCCCCAGCGTCCACCGCTACCTCGACCTCTCCGCACGCCCCACCACCCGCTCCCAGAAACACACCAAGCTCCCCCGCCTCCTCACAACAACTCCGCACCACCGCATCCTCCATGCAACACGAACCCTCATCCTCGACAACACTCCCACCACAGACACTGACCTCCGCACCCTTATCGCCCCCCAGGACCGCCCAAGCACAATCCAACTCCTCAGCATCCGTGACTGCGAAAGCATCAACCACTATGGTCTCATGGCCCTCCTCACCTCCCTCGTCACCTCATACTCGGCGAACGAATTGAGCCTAAAGGGCGTCTACTGGTTTACCTCACCCACCTTCACCTCCTCTACCGGCCGTATCGTGCGGAACAACCGCCTACGACTCATCCCCGCCTGGGTACCAGTCCTGCAGGCGTGCGCCGGGCGCATCACATTTGACACCGTCGTCTGCGACGGCCACAGCCATTCCGGCGACCGCGCGGTGACCGCGCAGCTTGCCAACATCCGGCTCGGAGACAGCGGCAGTGGGTGCGGCGGGTGCGGGGCGGTCCCAGCGCGGAGCAAGGCGCTTGTTGCGCCGGCGCCGCGGTTTGGCGGGTTTAATGCGGCGTGCAGAGGCGCGGAGGGGGTGCTGCGGTGCGAGGAGTGTGTGAAGGAGCGGTGGTGCGAGTGCTGCGGGGTGTGGTGGTGTGAGGCGTGTGCGGAGGGTGAGAAGAAGATGAAGCGGACGTGCTTCGAGTGTGGGAGTCAGTGTGTGGAGTGTACGGCGAAGCATAGCAGGGTGTGCTTGTCGTGCAAGGGTGGATATTGCATCACACAGTATGTTTCTCCCCAGCCTAGTACCTTCTATTCTTACAGAATGATCATTGGCACTGTACTGACCACAAACACAGTAATGAGGGCGCTGAAGAATCCTACTGCGAATGGTGTGTCGCCGCAAACGTCCCCCGCCGCGGGTCCGCATCAAGCTCAAGCTCAAACGCATTCCTGACCTCCCCGGCAAAAGCATACTACCTCTCACTCGGGCCCGCCCAGCACAGCACGGCAAAGCCGCGGACCGTCTCGTCGGGCACGCCATTCAGAGCGGCTACAAATGTACCGATTGGCGGCCGCCAGTACCAGAAGGAGATTGCGGCGACGACTAGAAGGGTGGGCATGCAGCTTTAGTTGCTGAGCGTGCGGCGGCCCTTTTTGGGTTTCTGTAAAACGCTTGTGGCGGCCTTTAATTGCAGCTTCTATTTATTTTTTTATTATTTCTATTGTTTTTCCCCTGTTTTATGCTATGGTGTTTGGGTCGGGTTTGGTTGATCAATTGATTGATATGCGGAATTGATTCTGTGGTGTGGGGGGGGGGGGGGGGCGTATATTTTGTTGGGTTCATCATTTCATTTTTGGTGTTACTGTTACTCGGTTTTCGTGGTCATCACCCCTCTCTCGTTCTTGGATTTTTACTTTCTCTTTGGGCCCGGAGTACTGCAATCATCTCGAAGCGCTTGCAAGCGTTACTAGTTATTATCCTGTGTATATAGAAACTCTCTCCCAGCTCTGCAAATAAAAACCAATAATTGCCAGAAAGGTTTTAATTCTTGTTGCACGTTACATATAGCCGGATGTGAATGCCAATTAACTTGAGTGCTCATGTAGAGTACTCACTTAGGCTACATGACGGTGTTCAGTAATCAATCGTTGTTTGACGCTTTTGGTAGTTGTAAGGTTATAATTAAGATCAGAGAAGGTAAGAGGTAGGGGTTTAAATAAAGACAAGACACCGGCGGCGACGGCGACGGCCAACCTTCTAATCGATAATTCTGATCTGAGACTCCAACTAACTGACTAGCTAGCTGGCTACATACACACCTACAAAGACAAGAACGGGGGCATTGAACGTGCCAAACCCTCCCTCCCTCTCCCCCTCCCTCTCCCGTCAGCGCCCAGCTACTACTTGAGCTGCCCAGCCCGCCCAGCTCTGCTCCCAAGCATCCTCCACCTCCAATCCACCACCTCCACCACAACCACTACCCCAGATCTTGGCACCCCACCACCACCGCCAATCCACACCACACTCACCATGCCCCCCCTCCCCCTCCCCCTCCCCCTCCCCCTCCTCTCCCCGCTTCTCTACACCATACTACTCCTCCTCCTCCTCCTCCCCGCCCTCGCCGCAGCAGGCACAGGCACAGGCACAGGCACAGGCACAACCTCCACATCGCTCTTCTGCAAATGCACGTGCCTCACAAACTCAACGCTCATCCCCATCCCGTCGTGCACCGACTGCAACCGCTCCTTCTGCCGCGACTACAACCTCCCGTTCTGTAAAGGCGTCGAGGACGATGATGTGGTTACCACGTGTTTCCGTATGTTTCTTCTCTCGCTGAGTTTGTGCTCGTGCGCCCGCTGCGCGGACAGAGGACTAACTGGATGACAGAACGCGACTCGGCCAAAGATCAAGCCGTGGTGCTGATCTTTATCGTCGCGACGGTGGGGCTGCTGGTGTATGCGCTTGTGCGCCCGTGGGTTGCGAGATGGGTTGAGGTTTGTTTCACCCCCCCCCCCCCCCACCTCCCGCAACCTCTTAGATGACTGACGGTGGGTGGGTGAATAGGCGGCGAGACAGCGCAGATCCTACACGCCGTTACCGGGCGAATAGATGCCGCGCGCAACAACGATATGGCCGGCGGGATATGGCCGGCCGGGGATGTGGAGTAGCTATATGACGTTATGTATAATTGGATTGGATTGGAGCGCTGTGTCGCCCCCCCCCCCCCCCCTCCCGCGCGCGAGTTACGGTTTTTTTTTCTTTTTTCCTGTTCTGCGGGCGGCGATTTGGGGGTTGTCTATTGTGTGTCAACCCTACCATCTACCTACATGCCAGCCCGCCTGTCCGCCCTACCTAGTCGCCCAGCGGGGCGGGGGCGGGGGATTGGGAGTGGGGGCTGTGGGTTGTAATGTATGTACAGACGTCACTTTTTTTTTTTTTTTATGTTCTACCTCTACATAACTATCTTGCTATGTACCTGCAAACATGGGGATCTATTTCTCTTTCCACCGGCCAGCCAGCCAGCCAGCCAGCGCGCGCGAGGGGGCCAATTGCCTACCTACCTTCCTGCCTGCCTACCTACCCTAGCTAGGTAGAGGACTGGCCCTGTAGTTATATGTAGTTATCTAGGTTCTTCTCGGGGGTGGTAGACCCCCACCGCAGCCCAGGAAACGCAACACAGGCACATCATGACCGCATATCCGCCCTTGCGCACAAGGACGAGTGGACGAGTGATTGTTTATGAAGAAACCCCAAAAGGCTGCCCAGATTAGCTGTCTCAAGCAGATATATATACCTACTCTAGAAGCTGTAAGTACATCCATGGTGCTAACAGCCTCCAGCAATACCCAGCCATGCATGCAGCTAGCTAGCTAGCTAGCTAGTTAGCTCTCGAAACCCCCTCGGTGACTGGCGGCCGGCACGCCAAGAAAGTAGAAACAAACGCTATCCAGCAGGGCGCGGTTGTATAAGAGACCGTATTAAGAGAATCGTGTTGTATGATTGAACGAGGACAGAAGGAACGTTAACAGCTACCACAGTATGTAGCTAGCTGGGTTCCTTTTATATATATCTGCTCTGCTCTGCTTTGCTTTGCTTTGCTTTGCTTTGCTCTCTCCCCACGAAGGCAGCTGAACAGTTCAGAGATGGTGATCGCCCTCCCGGCTGCTGTCGCATACATACAGTTCTGATCTGTGCGACAAGTGTAAAAACAGGACAAACACCAAAAGCACTAGTATGAATGACCATTGGCACTGGGTGTTCTGTAAATTTGACAATCAGTTATTGATGCAGAGCCTACGTAAATACTAACGTAGCTAACTACATGTAGTTATCTGTCAGCTACGTACTAAAGAGCTTCTACATAAAGTGCGATAAGAGCTCATGATCATGATAGCTCTGTTGATTCGGTTTAGTTTCTCCCCCGGCCCTTCTGTTTATTTGTATGAAAAAGCGCAACCCTTCTTATTCGAGGACTGATTATATTATCGGTGAGGAGGATACGTATATACATACATACACCGCCTGTAAATTTCAATGCGTACTCTACGTGCATATTGACCAAAAAGGCTACCGACATAGATGAAAGATCAATGATAAAAAAGCCCATTAAAAGTTGGATGCCTGAAAACATGCAGGAAGGCTCCAGTCGAGTCGGCAACCATCTGCCTGATAGAGGGGAATAAAGACACAAGCTGCCCCCGTTCCCAAGAATAAATTAGTTTGTACTTATCTATTTGTACTTATCTAACTCACTGTGTTTCTTCCTTTATCAGATCACACATCCAGAGTTCCTCCATATCGAATTCAACATGTCGTGGTTCAACTTCAGCCGCGCGAGCGCAAGTTCTTCCAACACCCGAGCAAATCCCCCTCCTCCTCCCCCTCGTCGGCAGCCGCCCGCAGACCCGCACAAGCTCGATGCTCTTAACCAGTCCTACGCCTCGATCTCCGCAGTGACCGCACCAACCCTGCGCCTAGGCCGCATCGATAAAACCCTTGCTCTAGCCACAAACCTCCTCTCAGACCGGACACTTAGCACAAACCAGCACCGTCTCGTTAATATCGCGGCCTCCAAAGTTGCCCGATTTGCGGTCACAACAATAATCTCAGATTCCGGCATATTCACGCAGAAATGGCACCTCCAACAGTACCTCCAACGCTGCATCGACGCCGACGAAGCCATCTATGCCCCCAGCGGGTCTCCAATATCCTCTCTTGAGACTACACAACTCCGCTGTGCTGCTGCAGCGCAGGATATTGTGGATATGTTCCATACAGATTGGGAAAAGACGCGGAGCATGCAATGGGATATATGGCTTGAGCGTGCTACCGGGCGAACGCCGTTGCGCCAGTTCTCCGTCTTTCGTAAGCCACGCCATGAGGTATATTGCTCCCTGGCCTCGCGGCATCATCACAATGCGCTGCGCGCAAGCGAGAGCGGCGACTTCAAGGGTGCGCTGTCGATACTTTCTGAGGGCGATGGCACATGTCGGATGGCGCTGGAGCTCGAGGAGGCCATGAACGCGGACCGGCAGGTGCATACATGTACAGCTGAAGAAGATATTTTCGAAGAAGCTGCGGATATCACTGCTAGTTATAAGATACTGGAATCAACATGTACGGCGACCCGCGCGTTGGAATCCGGACATGGAAATTTTACCGCAGCGGTGGCAGACAGTGCAGAGAAGCTTATGGATTATGCATTACTCGCACTAGACAATTATCGTCATGCGCTATCCTGCGCGACGAGTAAAGATATTGAGCTGGAGGCAGAGTCGGTCTACTATTTGGCCAAGACCTATCAAATTCTACTCAAAAACGAGACGAAAGCTCATGAACTTTATCTCCGCTCTATATCACTTGTTATAACACTCTCTCCGAAACTACCTGGTGGTACATGGTTCACGGAGGCTAAGAAGGCGGTCGAGGCCCGCCGAGCAAAGTTGAAGGCGCAAGAGGATAGTGAATGGCATTCGAGACGCGGACCGATTTATGAAAAAGTGAAGGACAAGGTGGAAGAAATCCACAAAAAGAGCGATGATGATGCTAGGCAACTAGTCGAGTGGCTCATGAAGACATATCCACCAAAGACGGAAGGCGATGCACCGGATTTGACGAAAAGTAAGGCGGACCTGCCAGATAAAAGAGCAGTTCTTGAGGCGGTCAGGAGATACCACCCGGATAAAAATATGGCGTTTGGAGACGAGTGGCATGTACTCGCAGAGGAGATAACAAAGTGCTTGAACAATTGTTTTGGGAGGTTGAAGTCTCTTTAGTTAGCATGGTTTGTGTGTCAAGATTCTATATTTTGTGGTGAATTAGAGAGTGGTTTTAGTTATTCTGATTTTATTAATATACACCCTTATACCCACTTAGTGATGTACACTAGCACTGGTGTCGATGATAATGTCGTCGAATCAAGCTTCATACCACTAAAGGCATATTGCATATAGGCAACACGCGAAATCAGAAAACCACCAAAGTCCATCAATATTCCAAGGTCTGCAGAGGGCGGTGGTATTGTGTTAGCTGAGGTGGACGAGGCCGAGAGAGTTGAAATACATGTAGTTTCTCAACAAGCCAGCTTAACTACAGCGGCAGGTAATAAGTGATGGAACAGGGCAATACCTGTTTTGGTAAAACGCCACCAACATTTGGTGTTTGTACACTCAGGGCGTTCCATCACTTAATACCTGTTGCTGTACATGTATCTAGTTATGACCAGCCTGGCATTTGCGTCCTTTGAAGACACGCAGATCAAAAGCTCTATCTTGCAGTCTTAACGACTAAACACAAGGTATGTATGTTCGTTAATCAAGGCTTAGCTTATATACATGTAACCATTCCGGTCACATGAAATCACTCGCCATTGCATGTGCCAAGAATTGATTGCTCAAGCAACTGCCACCACTGAAACCTCAATCATTCAGAATCAGAGATGAGCATGTAATGATGATCGTATAAGAAGTTGCAACGTAACGACTGTTAAATACAGGCTAAACTAAACGCCGTCGCCTTTACCAAAACTTGGCGTGACATTGCCCACCCCTACTGAGGAACCCTTCCTTTCCAGTTAGTGTTTTGTTTTTTCCCTTTCATGAGCACACAAGAAACGAACAGCATCCTGCTTCACGGGAGAACCAGTGAGCGATCCACAGTCTGAGAAAGTGAGTGTTTTAGTCCATGTTATCGAGGACTGACTGGCTAACGAAGTTTATAAGACATGTCTGGTTGCAGAATTGCTCGTCAGCTGGCAACTGCTCACCATATGCGTCGGTTTGCTGATTTACACCGTGGCTTCACCACTAATGGGATAAAGGCAGGTTCCAAATGCCACAGTATATAATCCGGTATTAATTAGGTGATTTAGAATATGAATACCGACTCGGATATAGATGTGGGGATTGACAAAGAACTCAGCACGTGGCTTGGAGTCGTATAGGGAGCGGAGGACACTGTATCTACAGTTTCCGGTAGAATTATTGCGAAAATGGGTTCTCCGTGACCCGATAGTCCTATTGGCCGCCCTTAGAAGATCTTTTGCTACGAGCACAGACCAATAAATCCACTCTTTTGGCTCTGACTTTCGCAATAATTCTACCGAAAACTATATAAAAAAAAACGCAAATTATCTTGTAGGGCGTCTATACTGATTGGGGTGCCCCTGCTTCAGCCTGCTATGCTCTCGAGATTAAGAGGGTGGAGGCTGGAATCAAGAGGCTCTACCGGTGGATGTTGATTCTCATTGATGCTGTAAGTTATTCCTTCAATAAAGGTCATGCTACCTGAGCAGGTAAGACTTCGTAATTGAATATTAACTTCGAAATATGTTAACTGTTTACAAGGGAGATGCCAAGGTCGATGATTGGCTTAAGAAACTCTGTCAGAGACTTGACAAACTCGACAAGAGCCTTGATAAACTTGATTCCAAAGTCCATGGCTGGGTTAAATGGGCTGCTAAATTCGGTGTAGGAGGAATCATTGTTAGTTTTGGATTAGTACGTTTTCTTGTGAAATCGTATGACTTTATATATATCAGGGTGGTTGGGGATTAAAGGATTTGACTTATTCAAATCCGTCAAATTTGAGTGAAGAGATGTAATCATGAAATATCACTCGGTTATTTCAAAGTGTGCTGTTGATTTTGTAGCTATAGAGCCTGAAGGGCACTTCAGTATAGTGAGATATAAGTGTGTCATATTTAATAGCGACTAGATGCTTTTGGTACCCGGTTGGTGGAGCTATTATACCAAGTATGATATTGTTGCGTACGCACTCTATGGGGCCGAGTTAAATCAGCTTGACTTCACAATTTTGGTATGATATTTATCAGGTTCCAGTCTGTAGATCTAACCAAGCAGGACATATCAAAGAATGGTTGAGGGGAAGAGACGTACATGAAGCGCGAGATACATAAGGAAACCCTCCGCTCTCTGTCTCTATCTTCCAATCAGGTCGCGTCACCTACTCTCTGTTTTTATAGTAAGTAACAAAAGGTAGTGTCGTCCTTGCTGCTAGTACGTGTAGAGTTGTTTACCCATTTCAGGAGATTTTTGTTTTTTTGTTTTTTTTGTTTTTTAATTCGTTAATTGCATGCAACCTTACAGGAGATTTTGGTTGAGATGTAGGTCTGACATCTTCTCAAGTAATAATTGGTCTATAGCTTCATGTCTCTCCATGCTAATATAAAGTATAAAGAGCCGTATATTCTCCATTATTTTGGGTATCATCGGTGGTACCGTTTTACATCACCGAAACGGCTATTTTTTGTAACCTTGTTATATCGCTCCAATTGCAATAGATGCAGTAAACCTCAAGTAATTGCTAGCATAAAAGATAGGCGAGGAGATAAATAATTAGTAATTAATGGACCTACCTGGGTCATTAGAGATTATGTTAGCTTTACCGCATATTGTCTGCGCGGTCGAATGGTGTTGGTCTCCTCATCAATCCCAACCCAGACCGGCGTAGACGTCCATGTTAAAGGTCAAATCAAAGCATTAAGATCATATCGGCCGGAAGCTATATGGATACCGCTCCTCGAAGTTCTTGCACCCTTGGAGTATAGCATTGTATACACGTGTCGGCTTTACCAGCCATATATGTATTCAAGAATCGATGTAAAGACCTTGAATTGTTTCTCACGTCTTTTCCGTAAGTGCATTTAAGACAATTTTCCGATAGATAGGGTTTGGGCCCTTCTAGCCTGGCGCTGGATTGTCTGGGGGGGGGGGGGGGGGGGTCCGTTAATTGACAATGCATAAATATAATAATCCAATTGAAGACGAAAATACAAGATTATAATTATCTAGCGCTCCCATCTGAACTTTCTATCCGCATCACCCTCCAGAGTCAAGAGTGCTTGACTGAGAGAGTAGGGTTTGTCCCTGGGCTGCCAAAGCTCACCCAGTATGCATGTATATTGAGGTGGTTTGCAGGCTACTGATGCATGTGATGTGCAGGCACAGATACGGGTACGGATGCCGGTGGTGTAAGTATTGATGTGGGAATGAGGGGCTCATGGTTATGGTTTTGCCGTATCTCTGTTGGCCACAACGCCCTCTCTTTGATATAGCGTCGCAAGATCAGCTTCTCGGGGAGTCCAAGATGTGTAAATTCTAAAGCTGATGTAAATCAAAAACGCTTCAGATATTAAACGCTTTGGATGTGATCAAAGACTTGCATCTGTACTACCACCATGCATGATATTGGCCGGTTGGTTGCTAACTAGGGCGAGGATTACAATGCAAAAACATACATGTAGATATGCGCGACTGCTCACAATACATGTAGGGTCTGTGTTTTAGACCCCGCTGCCTCATGGACTCTCACTCGTCTATAATTTATAATCATACATACAGCACATCATACACATCAATTACCTGATTATAGCATATCAAATCGTTAATAAGCCTTCTTTGCTAGACATTATTGAAACAAGGACATTATATACTCCCGTGTACTCTGAAGAAAGAAAAAAACCCGGGAAAATGAAACAATTTCCTTTATTGATATCAAAATACAGACCGCACCTTTTTTTTTTCCCCCCCCTTCTTCTTAACCACAATAAAGGAAACCCTAAACTCATTACAACCGTTTACTCTTCAGCCTTTCTCTTGGTTCCAGCACCGCTCTCCCTGCCGGTTCTCCTTGCCCTCACAGCCTCAGCAAGCCCCTCGAGCATTTCAACGGTAGATGGCCAATCCACACAGGCATCAGTGATTGAGACACCCTTCTTGAGCGCACTGACACCTCCTTGCTCAGCAGAAGGGACATCCTGGCGACCCTCATTGATGTTGGACTCAATCATGACACCAACAATACCATCTTCTCCGGCGCGGATCTGAGCGGCGATGTCGGCAGCGACAAGAGGTTGATTCTGAGTAAGTAATGTTAGTATCAAAGCATAAATATGATATTGAAGGCTGATTTACCCTGTGGTTCTTGGAGCTGTTCCCGTGGGAGCAGTCAATCATCATGATCTCCCTCTGGCCCTTCTTCTTCAAAGCCTCTTTTGTGGCCTTGACATCATCTGCCTTGTAGTTAGGGCCCTTCGCGCCTCCACGCAGGATCACGAAACCGTGCTCGTTTCCGGTAGTCCTGGTGATTGCAGCAAGACCTTGCTTCGTCACACCCATGAAGTGGTGAGGATGGCTCGCCGACAACACAGCATCAATGGCGACCGTCAAGCTCCCGTCAGTACCGTTCTTGAATCCGACGGGGAAGGAGACACCACTAGCCAACTCTCTGTGGAGCTGGGACTCGGTGGTCCTTGCACCAATGGCGGCAAGTGACAACAGATCTGCGAGGAACTGGGGAGAAACAGTGTCCAGCATCTCGGAGGCAATAGGCATCCCCATTGAGGTAAGATCAACGAACAATTGTCGACTCACTCTCAAACCCTTGTTGATCTGGAAGCTCTCGTCAATGTCCGGGTCGTTGATGAGACCCTTCCAGCCGACGGTTGTACGGGGCTTCTCGAGATAGGCCCTCATGACGATGACCAAGTCATCTTGAAGTTTTTCTGAGACAGCCTTGAGACGGCCTGCGTACTCGAGGGCGGTTTCAGGGTCGTGGATGGAACAGGGTCCAACAATGACGAGGAGTTTGTCGGTCTGGCCGGTGATGACGGCAATGGAGTCTTTACGGCCTTGGAGAACGGCAGCTTTGGAGGCAGCGGTCTATATGATTGTGTGTGAGTCATACTAATATTTCTTTCACCAAGAGTGAGGATGGGAGCTCCTACTGCAGGAATTTCGTGCTGGAGAAGACTGGGAGGAATCAGAGGATCCTGTCCAATGACTATTGTGATTTTCTATTAGCTACAGTTGCTCAATTGCGCCAATCTCAGTGGGTGCAGTTGTTTTACAGTGGGCGACAATGTTTTGAGTGGAAATAGCAGCTACATAGCTTAAGAAGGTGACTTACCGCGGGAATCTTCAACTTCGTCAACCGAGAGGGTCATAGCTGCTTGCGCTGTGGTGTTTATTGGCGAATCAATTACAATGGCGAAAAGGAATTACTTGGGGAGAGCGGGGCGAAGAGAGTTTAATAGAGTGGGTATCTATCGCATCAAAGGAAAAAAAATGTTAGTTCAAAACCCAACCAGGACCCCTCGCCGAGCCCGAGCAGCCGCAACCCGAGCCTTTTGTATGCAGGAGACACTCACCACAAGCAAATCGCAAGCTTTAAAAATTCCACGAGGTTAATGCGAATGTTCAATGGACAGATGAGGAAGAGGGGAGAGGAGGAGGAGGAGATGAGGAAGAACTTAAGAGGATGAGAAGAATGAGGGGCATGAGTCAAGCACTCTATATTTCCCCTCTTGCTACTACTGCGTTCAAGAAGGAAAACAAGGGCTGCACCCCATGTTAACACTATTCGTCTCTTAATTCTCTCCACGTTGCTTTTTACATGTGTAATAAATAATTGTCGGCTGCTTTCATGTCTGCGGCCGGTGTTCCTAGCATTCTCGCAATATAAAACTGCATGTAGCTAGTAACGGCAATTTTGAAATCCTTGGAACTCCTGTCCAACCCTGGGAAAAGAAGCACGCACTCTAGAGTACCTCATGCATCTCATCTACATGTACCTATCACAACAGGTATATTTCTCCTCTCCCACACTCCTAGTTTATGTTTAATTGACAAAGTTTAAGGTTGCGCTTACATAAGTAGCATAATCACTTACCTGTTGTTTGGGTCTGGATTCTTTTTTTTTTTCTTTTTCTTTTCTTTCGACATGGCCAAGGTGAAAAATCGGCACACCGTGGCGGATGACTAGAACCTAGTTTCTAGGGCGACTGAGCTACACATCCGTGAAATTATCTAGATTTCCCCTTCGAATTCAACCTTTCCCTTTGATGTACGCATATATTATCTATATATTTATGTATATGCATGTCATATTATGTAATCATGAGTGCAATGCATTTCGTAGATATATTGTAGGAATAAATCATTGTGAAACAGATCAATCTGGGTTTAACATAGGTATAGAGATGGGGCGTCCGTCTTGTCTATCAGTAACCCGAGGAGTTAAAGTGCAAAGAATAAAGGGTGATGGTAGCACTGATGTGACCCGTGAAGAACCATAGGGTGTGTGCAGGTGGGTACAGATACGTACTACATGTTATCATGAGGACGTTGGGTATCATGTAGTCAGGTCAATGATTGCGGTGCAGGATCACTCGATAAGCTTATGCAGCTCTATGACAGCATATCATCCGAACGTGGAATAGGAATTGTTTCTAGCCCTATCCTGTTTGCCGATCATTGTGGAGGCTGGGGCTAAAAAAAAATTGAAATTTGGTGTTTTATGTTTTAAGTGATTGAGCTCAGCTACTCTACTTGAACTATAATATTACGATTTTTCCCCACCACGCAACACAACCACAATCATAGCAAACATGAAAATTCATTACCGTGCCCATTCGCTTCTAAAATATTTTTACAAAAAATCCAGACCCATAAGAAACCGAAAAATAAAGAAAACCGCCAGAAGTCCGCTGTCTATTCCCTGACGATCAAACTGGCCAAACCTTGACCAGTTCCGATGCACATACTGATAACACCAACATCTTTTCCGCTTCGTCTCAGCTCGGGGAGCAGTGTTGCGAGCTGTCTAGCACCGGTAGCACCCAATGGGTGTCCTAGCGCAATGGCTCCTCCGTTAGGGTTTACCTTTGCCATATCAAGACCGAGCTTCCTGATACAGTATAATGCTTGTGATGCGAATGCTAACAATTTAGTCAGTATGCTGTATAAACCACCGGCAATTGAAGAGAAATTTAACAAACCTTCATTGAGCTCCCACACATCAACCTCATCCACACTGACACCCGTCTCCTCCAACAACTTTGGGATTGCCACGGCTGGTCCAATACCCATCTCATCGGGCTTGCACCCGGCAGTCTTTGTCGCCACGAATTTCCCGATAACCTCATATCCCAACCTCTCGGCCATATCTCTCCTCATCATCAGCGCCACTGCCGCGCCGTCCGACACTTGCGACGAGTTCCCTGCCGTGCACATACCATCTGCCTTGAACGCCGGCTTCAACTTCGCCATCATCTCCAGACTCGCGTTATGTCTGATACCATCATCTTGCGATACTGTCTTCTGTGTCGTAACCGGGTTCGCCGGATCAGTGGCATCAATCCATCTCGTCACCATCGGCACAATCTCCTCATCGAATTTCCCCGCTGCCTGCGCAGCGCCCGCCTTCTTGTGACTCTCTGCCGCAAATACATCCATATCGCTCCTGTTCACGCCGTATCGCGCACTCACGTTCTCGGCAGTGATGCCCATAGGCATGATACAATCCTTTGCGTCCTGGTTGGGGCTGTCACGGAGCTCGGGGGAGAGGTCTACAGGGATGGCCCGAGAGCCGTAGTTCCGGGTCATGCTCTCCATGCCTCCACCAATACCGATGTTGATGGCGCCGGCTTGGATAGCATAGGCAGTGTTGGTGATGGCCTGCAGCCCTGACGAGCATTGCCGGTTAACAGTGTTGAAGGTTGTGGTGTAGGGGTAGCCAGCATGGATCATTGACATGCGACCGGCTTTAGCACCACCGAGCTCCTGGAGGACGGAACCGATAGTGACATCCTCAATGAGGCGGGGGTCTATCTTGGTGCGGTCAAGGGTAGATTTCAGGACCTGTGGATGGGAATGTCAGTTATGAATATAAAGAGAGACAAAGGAGGTATTGAGACTAACGTGGGCAAGGAGCTCTTCGGGGTGCGTGTCCTTGAAGCCTCCCTTGTGTGCTCGTGTGACGGGCGTGCGAAGGGCTGATACGAAAACGACGTCGTTGGCAGACTTCTTCAGGATGTTCTTGAGACCTTTCTGGAAGAGTGCCATTTTTGCGGGGTGATATTAGGTGATGATTAGGTGAGTGATATTAGATGGATAAAGTGGTTGCGGGCTGTCAATGATTCCTTCCTTCCTCTGCGTTCTGTCTCTTGTTCCAACGACCAGGACACCCTCCTCTTTTCTCAGGGACCCAGGGACACTTATATGGCATCGCATTGTCGGTAAGAGCCCTGCTGCGAATTGCGGGGACGAGAGACAAGAGAGAAAGGATTCTCGTCTGCTTGCGGTGGCGGCCGTGGGGTAAGTGCCGGATGTCGGGTACTGTCGGTGGTGGCCTCGCTGTGGGGTGGTTGCGGGTAAATCTTTAGCCGGAAGAGATTCATGAGAAGCACAACAGAACAGAACAGCCACCGCGGCCGAGGAACAAATGATAATAGTAATACCATAATAGTAATAATAATAATGCTTCAGCCAGTCTTGCTGTGGCTAGTAATTACACAATTACTAACTATTCGTAATTCTACAATTACAAGCATTAATTGTTATTAATAAAATCCAGTTCCAAAGACTCCGGGGTATAATGCAGCGATAGTGTACCGGGGGTAAAGAAAGAATGAAAGAGAAAAAAAGAGGAACATAAAAACGAGTGGTAAAAATGCAGCGCTGTAGTAAAGCGGAGGAAAAAATAGCAGTCTAATAATAGCCGTAAACCTCCCCTATTCCAGCAAAACAAACCTCATGGTCGTAGACGAAGCAAACAAGAAAGGGCAAAAAAAAAATAGAAAAAATATCAGTAATGACTATAATGTCCCGGAACTCGTAGCCTGCATTTCTCACAATCCCCTCTAAATCCCATTCTAAACCCAGTCGCCTTCTTCTTTACAACTGTCTGGTCCATATCAACATCTCCACTTACCTCTAGCCGTCCCATCACCTCCGTCGGTGGGCTTGTAACCACGCTTGGCATTGCGTTTTGCTGTTTTTGCTGCTCATGCTGCCCATCCATCACGACATCCTCATCAAAGTGCGCCGCGAATCGATCGGTTGAAGAGTCGCTCTCACTATCGCCAGTGGGTGGTGACGGCTGGTAGGTACCGCAGGAGTTTTGTGAGTATTGTGGGGTAACAAAGGAGAGCTGGAATGCAGGTTGTAGATCTCGTCGTGGTCTCTGTAGCATGTAGTCAGTATCTTTAGCTCCGCCTGCCCTTCTCTGTCTTTCATACCTTGATAGTAGATCTAGCATCGGCTATAGGAATCTGCGGTTGGCTTTCTGTGTGTGAAGGTTCTTCTGCGTTGGACCCTGAGCGGCGGCGTCGCTTGAGAGTTGTCTGAACTGGCGACTGGGAGGCCTGAAGAAAGGATCCCGTGTTGGCATTACCCCCGTTGACGAACATGTATTGTTGTGGTCGTGTGCAAAACATGGGAGCTGATAGAGCAAAAAATGTTATGTTCGGATTTCGTATTCAACCGACGACGTCACGATGAAGGTGAGTTAGGATTAACGGAACACACTAGCAGATGATATGGCTGCGCATGAAAGGTCTAGAAGGGATTTCGAAGGGTTTGACGGGTGGGATGGAGGGAGGCTGTTCCTGTATTCTTCTCCCTTTTCTTTTTTTTTTTTGGTTTTTGGTTTTTCAATTTTTCTCCTCCTTCCAAGAACGTATGTACATAAGCCTGAGTGAGTGAACGGGGTTTGATCTTCTTGATCCTCCCAATTGGTTTTGACGGCTGGTGGTTGTGTCACTAGTGTGGTGTTAATTGTGCATGGATGAGACACGTGATGGCGCGTTGATTGCAGGACCGCGGTTGGCGTTTACGTGGAGCGCTGTACGCGCAAACGCCCTTGGTATATGCGTTAGGTCCATGTAGCCCACGAGAAATAACCACCGCGCTGCACAGACTTCAATAGATGGGACAAACGGCCGCAAGATCATTTTGGGCCCTTACTAAGGCTCTCTTAATTTTAGGGAGTTTGGAATTTATCGATTGCATGGTTCTTCGCAATAAGGATTTTGCTATACAGTAGGATCTCCCTATAAGGTACCCCCTATAAGAATAATCGCCCTATAAGGAGTAGAGTGCTGTATTCTTGCAATAAGAATACCCTTATGACTTTGAGATGGTTTTTGATGTTGTACCCTTATAGAGAAATGGGGGTAAGGGGGTTATTTTGGTGAAAATGGTCTGCTACAGAAAGCAAAATGCAACTCTACTCCAACTCCCGTACGCAAATTAAAACACCGTACTATATCATATCCGTTCAGTTTATAGGTTACATCCTACCCAACAGGCAGACTAATTTACCCCCAGAACTGTCGAAAATCTCGAAAACAGACCAAAGCCCGTCCATAAACCCTAACCCTTATAAACCTATAAGGGTACCATCTGGCGGTCCCATCGTACCCTTATAGGGAGACCCGATTGTACCACCTACAAACTACATGTATCATACTACAGCGATAGGAATGATCTATAGAAAAACAGGGGGTCAAAATTGTATAGCGAAACATCTGTGCACGACGCCACGCCATACAAATTTAACCCCCCTGTTTTTCCATTGATCATTCCTATCGCTGTATATTAGATCTCATAGATCCGCTAGACAGGCGTTCCCAATACCATTTCGGTTACCCGGTACGTACCAGCGGAGGTGTGTATCATGCGGCTGTAACTCCGTCTGTCGCATGCTTATAATTCCAGAGGTCTGTTCGGTAAACAAGCAACCTGATGAAAAACAAAGAAACGCACCTACATTATGTTAATCAGTCGCATACTCTTTCAAATGAACTGGAATCCACTATGCTCACCCATGCAGTAGTAGCCTATTAACAACTCTCATTCTTTGTTCCATGCCTATCCCAGAATTCCAATCCGCCCTATACCAAGACCAGGGCCCCAAGTGCTAAGAATAGAGTGGTCATCTTCCTGTCTAGCGCTTCAACCCTTCCATTGAACCTTGCTTCTACCCCATCGAACCTTTTGTCTATTGATTCGAACCTTTTGACCATTGAGTTGAATTTATCGTTGAGGTGCAACTCCATACTATCGAGCTTTTTATTGAGGAACTCATATTGCATGTTCATAATTACAGTGTCCTAATGATCGGTCAGCATAGTACTTCCAAATCCCGGGACGAGCACAGACGTTTCCACGCTCCGAAACACTTCGTGCAAGTTGGTAGTGACCATGAGAACCTTCCCCAATGCCAGATGGCTTATCGGTACTCTTTTTCTAAACCCTTAGTTAGTGCAACTGAATAACTATCATGAGATGCAATGCTTACCAGTGAGGTGGTAAACACCCGACGTGTCAAGAGACCACTAGAATACTAGAATCCCTAAGCATATGACCAGCAAACCGACGAGAAACGATGAAGAAGGACATTCTAATAAATATGATGAGTATTTGATAAACATGGTCAGCTAGAATACTCACTTGATTATGTGCGGTAAACTATCTCGTTGGGTATCGAATAGAGGACTAAGAGACTCCGTCTATTGATTGGGGGATCCGGGATACTCTCCTCTATATAGCAAATGTGGCGTTACATGCGCCCCAATCTTCTATGGCTGCCAATAGGACTCCTCCCATATTTCTACCGCAAGCTGGAGAGGCTGCACCTCCCCCGCTGGGTACGTACCGTCCCCTATTAATTTATATGTAATGATACAAAGAACACTTCGAGTCCTTAGCCACGTCCCAACATACCAAATCCAGACTAGCTCAAATAGATAACAGATAAGATAAGATTAGATAACAAAATTAAAAACAAAAAGTTACACAAAGAACTCGACGGTCGCTCACGCTCCCTGTATATGGTGGGGTCCCTGAGTACTTTGGCTATATAGCTATCACAGCTCAGACACCCTCATCATAAAACAGTCAACCCAATATGTCGACGAATTCTGTTCTTTCGAACATCGACCCTGCCCCCTACTGGCAAACCAAGGGCAACGAGAAGATTGTTGACAGCTACACCTATTAACAATATCAGGGTTAGACTTTGTACTGTACATAAGTATTTCCTTTTCTCGAGGATCAGATCTCACTTACTATCCATGGCATGAATGTGGGCAGACGTCTCCGGAAAGTTTTGAATTGGTTGACCGTCTTGACCAAGTAGTTCCTCCAAGGCCGTAGTATCACTGGTGACTTTAGAATTAATCATTCTAACGAAGTTATTCCTGTTTCTATTACAGTGTCGGTGTAAACGTCTTTCCATAGGTGGACTGAGCTTTGAAGTTGGCATACTCTCGAGTTAACTCTGCACGTAGATCTCGCAGCTCACGTAGGATACGTTCCTCCATCCGGTTCAGTTGGGCAGCCACATCCACTATTGGGATGTTTGACATTTTTTGCATTTCTGTAGCCGCAGTTGTAAGCCCGTTGGCTGAGGCTCTCATGGAATGTGCCAGAGTATTAAAATCAGGAAGTTGTCCAGCCACCCTAAAATAATCAGCCATCATCAACGTACTTCTGCTCACATCTTAGAGTCCTGCTGACTGATCAATAATGGAGGTGTAGTGTTTATTCGTTGTTAATGCTTTTGGTTTGTGGATGAAAGAATATGTAGACTAGGGGAAACACTTAGACTACATGTATCCCTTCGTCTGTATTCAGGACTTGTGGCAATTCGTGGCTCACCACACAAAATCTACTGCCTAGCTGAAAGCGGCGGTCGGCGGTGCAAAATTGTCTCCACTCGTCACGCAAAAATCCTCAATCGAGTGTTGCTTTAAACAATCGTCGTGATTCGCGGGAACAGATGAAGGGATCTCTAAGTGTTGTGCGTTACACAGTGACTACAGTCGCAACTCGATATGCCGGATTGCCAAGATTCGAGGGATTTCGTTCGGGATAGCAAAAAAATCCGGGATAGCAAATTGATCTTGCAGTAATAAAATTAAAATCTCAGAAGATTTCGTACGGGACAGCAAGGGATCCGGCGTATTGAGATCCGGCATATCGAGTTGCAACTGTATGTGATGACCCTCTTGTGACACCCTGTCCTGACACGGGTGTCTCTAGAGTACATAAAATATAACATTCTCGTTAAATACAGTAACCATAAATAAACATTAAAAATAAAATCCTTCTCCTTAACACACTTATCATAACAACAAATGCCCGCACAAATCCTTGGAATTACCGACTTTCCATCTGTCATCGAATTAAGCCTCCGACCGTAAAATCAATCCCCTTGCGTCCACCGAAATTACTTACCGCTCGTTTGGACTCAGATTGTAATCTGGCTAGAATATCGTTTTGAGCTTGGTAAATACCCATATTGAACTAATCCAAACAACATGCCAAGAGATTGCATATTTTCATGCTCTCTTTCAGTGACCTCATTCTTCATGAGTGCTCAAACCCGCTGCCACAATCCCACCTTCACCAACTACCGCCAAAAGAGTGCTGTAATGTGCGGGCTAGTTCTAGGCGCAGACTAGTGTTTCCTGATCAGCTGAACTGATAATCATGTGAATTGTAGTTTGACTAGCCACGAAAAGACCCCTACTCTACTATCATGATTGCGACCCATTTTATCACCCAATTAACTCCACTGCGCTAGTAATCACAAACCCCGACAAAAACAAGCAGAACATTTAGAATACATTGAACTCCAAATTCAACAAACTCCCTTGGTGTCAATGATAAACATATGCTTCGTCGTTATACACGAACGTCGACATACTACCACATCAATAGAGCATCGTACTGAGAGAGTACTCTATCAATGGCATCGTCCACTAAGAGCTGGCTCACTGAACATCTCAAAAAAACTTCCCGAAAAAATAGAATAAACCTACCGCCGAGCATAGGCATCGGGCGAAAACTATCATAATTTGAAACACCAAAGTCAGCATTGTTAACATTACCGGCCTGCTAACCATCACACCCAACACAACTAAAGAATCGCATAAACGCTATCCCTAATCACACTGAATCCAAAATGCTGAATGAGCAAAGAATCACATAAACGTTATCCTCACTCACCTGTCGAAACCGAACCCTGGGAATCGCTAAAATATAAACAAAATCGTATACAAATTCAAATCCAGTTAAAAAAAAAAAAAAAAAAAAAAGTAAACAGAGCCGATGCCGATACCGAATAGATGCAGATTCGACAACTCGACACTAACATTTCACACTTCGTACGTCGAAAGTAGTTGTAGCGGAAGTGAAATAAAAGGTCGGGTGACCACTCTTATATGTAGACAGCCACACTCCTGTCGTTCCCTCTGTCCCAACCTGCCCGATTAAGCAACACCATGTATGTATCTAAATACATATGGCTCGAGAAGCTATGGGGGTAGGTGTGTAAACTTCGGCGTTTTTTTAAAGAATCAGCCAATCAAACCTATAGAAATTGGCCATAATGGTACTAGCGCCTAGACTAACCCTGGCATTTTCTCAGATTCCCATACAAACGAAATTCCTCTGAAGTTGACACACCCGCCCCTAGGCCTTCTCGCGCCATACATGTAGCAACAATATATAGTAGTACCAGAAGCAATCATGGCACTTGTATTGGTACTAATAAATCCTAGAAATAAATTTTTGTTAGTTCTTCCAAATAATAGTAGAGAATACTTATAAAGCCCATGGTAGTAGAAAACGAAACCGGATTTTATTGGCTAGATAGAATTTGACTTGAAGTGAATTTGTAACACCGGGCTATGTCATTTTGTATGGAAATGTCTCGTACCTTCTTTTTAAGCCTCATTCCGTAAGCCATCTCTACAACTCCCCGGAAACTCCCCACTACTAAAGAAGCGGTGTCCCTTGCCTACCTCAACTTCTCACCTAAGTAAATAGCTACATGCCTTCTGCTATTTCAGATGGTAGCTCCTACTCCATCCCTCAACTGGTCTAGCCAGCTATCGGTAACAGCCTCTACGGGCACCCCGGTCTCACTAACAGGCGATAAAATCCTACTACCACAGTCTGCCCTCGAACAGCTTCTCGCCGCATCAGCATCTGCACCGCAGCCCCCGCCAGCCGTTGTAGATCTTGAATCATGGGATACACCGCAGGTGCCACAACAGCGAAATCAACAGCTGCCCCATCCGTTAATATTTAGGCTTTATAATCCTGCAAATAACCGCTTCTCGCATGCGGTACCACGGGAGTTCTCAGCGGCCGAGGGGGAGGTCGGAATATCCCCATTTCTAAGGGAGGCGCTAGGTCTTGAGGAGAAGGACGAGGAGGCGCTGCGAGAAGGCGAGACAGGGAGCAGGAGGGAGAAACCGAGGATCACCATCGTTTCAAAATCTTTACCCAAAGGAACGCACGTACGGCTTAGACCTCTAGAAGCTGGTTACGATGACGAAGACTGGAAGGCGCTTCTAGAGCGGCATCTGAGGATGCATTTTACAACGTTGACGACAGGTGAGATTCTGTCGGTTGCTGGAAGGACAAACAGTCGGGGGAAGGGGGCCGCGGAGAGTTTAGATTCTTGATCGACAAGTTGGAACCTGAGGAGGCGGTCTGCATCGTTGATACTGGTAAGTCTGCCCACGATCGGTTGCTTCAGGCTTTAAGTGAGCTCTCTGACATCTGAGTAGATTTGGAGGTCGACATCGAACCTTTGTCAGAAGAGCAAGCAAGAGAAACATTGAAACAGCGAATAGCTCGTAAGACAGGCGGGGCTAGCACGGGCAGAATAGTCAAAACCGATGAGCCAGTTCAAGGCCAAGTTTTACCAGGAGGCTACCATTTCTACGAGCTCAAGGAGTGGAAGCGGGATCTACCTCTCATAATAGATATCGACGGAGTGGAAGATGGTAATGAAGTAGATATCTTTGTTTCAACATCGAAGCAGCATCGCAAACCCCACGATGACGAGCATGTATGGGGAGACTTTGGGAGCTCGTACCCCAAACGCATAAAAATTTCTCCCACGAATATTGAGCTCGTTGATGTAACTACATTATCTTTCGGCATCCATGGTTACAGAACCCTTGATGCGGGCGATGATGAGGAATCAGAAGATGAATCCACAAGACCATATGTTCTCAGAATCACACAGCCCACGTCCTCCGAGGATATGGAAACGGACACACCCACAAATGATGGACTCCCCCCAGGACCAGATTACAAAAAATGCAACAACTGCACTCAGTGGATACCCGCACGCACCTTTATGCTACACGAAAACTTTTGCCTACGCAACAATCACGTTTGCAAAAAGTGCAACCAAGTTTTTAAACGCGGCACTGAATCGCAGCATTGGCACTGCCCGCAATGCAGTGCACATGGGATTAATGCCCCCTCAGCATTAGTAAAACACGCATCAATCTTCCATCACCCACGAAATTGTACTTCATGTCCTTATGGGGCTGCAAATCTGCCCGACCTTGCCGTTCACAAAACCACGACCTGCCCCGGTAAAATAATCCTTTGCAAATTCTGCCATCTTCTCGTCCCTCAGGATGGAGAAGGCGATGGGTCACAGCCAAATGCAGAGGTAATCATGACGGGGCTCTCGAAACACGAACTAGAATGCGGATCACGAACAACCGAGTGCCATCTCTGTTCAAGAATCATAAAACTGCGTGATATGGAAAACCACCTCAAAAACCACGACCTCCAACGTTTATCAAAAAGTCTTCCAAGAGTCTGTAGAAATCCCCACTGTGCGCGCACACCCAAAAATGCAAGAAACGACCTCGGACTTTGCGGCTTCTGTTTCGGCCCCCTTTATGCACAGGGGTATGACCCCACAGGCTCACAGCTAAAGCGTCGTGTTGAGCGGAAGCTTCTCCAGCAGCTACTTTCTGGTTGTGGAAAGTCCTGGTGTCAGAACGATATGTGTAAAACAGGCCTTGAGAACAGTGGGATGAAGCCGGATGGGGTTATGAGCACTGCGAAAGCGTTCCCGATTATTAAACCCATTACGGATAAACTTCTGGATACAAGTGTCCCATTGAGTTTGTGCGTAGATGAAACCACGAAGAAAAGGAGGGAAATGGCTGAGTGGATGAGGGCGGAAAGCGCATTGCATGAGAGCGGTGGTTATGATTTAGCCTTTACTATCGCTGCGGTAGAGGAAGCGGCAGGTGATAGGGATGGTGCCTGGAAATGGCTAGAGAGAGAGGGAGTTAGAAGTAGTGAGAGAAGGGTATAGATTTCTGTAATTTTTCAAACCTCTTTTTATTTCGCTTTTTTTTATATAAAATTTCTTATTGGCGTGAGTGGTGTCTGGGATGTAGAGAGGAATTACGGCAAAGTAATATTAGAAGAGACTGGTCTTTCTGGTGTAAACTTATGGCATAAACTGCATTTTTGGAAAATTTACTTCGAAATAGTATGTTTTGGTGTGCGGTCAATGATTTATTTAATTTATTATATGCAATTAATGAATTAAATAAAAAAATTTAATTTATCTATCCATCTTTAAACATATTCATAAAGTATCACTCGTTCAATTTAACTCTCATGCTTGATATTTGTTTTTTGTTTTTGTTTAATTCATTAATTCTCATGCTTGATAACTGTTAGCTTTCAAATGGCGACTTCTCCGGTCTTGTCCCAGTCCTATTCGTTCCTGTAGAAGTTGTCTTGTCTTTGAAGGTCTCAATTGCTCAGCTAGCACTATCCTTAATTCCTGTCTGGGCTGGAAGGCGCACCCCGGGCCTTAACTACCCCGCCATTAATCCCTGTCATCTTGCGAGACCGACCAACTAAACCACCTCCAAATGTCTCAGTATGTGTCTCAGTATTTTTGAGACATACAGCGACCGAATGATCTATGGAAAAAACAGGGGGGTGGAATTGTATGGCGAAATATTTGTGCATCATATAACTATCGCTGTACCCAGCTGCAGTGAGTACATATTAGATGTACCTACATATCTGACTTGAACAAAACTTTTCTTTTTTTGTGGATTTTAAACTCCTTGCATCAATTTTGAGAAGCCCTCTGGGTATATATCATAATTACTAGTTGAGTTAATGAGAAATACATACTTCCAAGTTAGTCCAAAGCTGGGCAATTTTAGCTAAATCTCATGAGACTGGATCCAAGAGGATATTGAGGAGCTTGACTACAAAATTTGTGGTTTTATTGGAGAATATAGGCACAGAGAAGACTAAATAAAGTATCTGATTAAAATAGAAGAATAGTGACATATTAGCCGGTCTGGCCAAACCCGCCCAGCCTGGGGAGGAGCAAAAATGACAAGACACATTCTGACCTTGACTAAGTACGACCCATCAAATGTATCCTGAGCAGCTGGCGAAACCAAAGGATACATCATTGAGTATATCAAGAAAGGGTGAACTTACTGGGAGGAGATGAACCCCCGGAGAGCGGGGGACGAAGGTCTCCCGCTCCCAAAAAACTGGGGCAGATTGAAGAACTATTGGAAAATTCAATATCAAGAAAGAGAGTGAATTGTCTGGGAGGAGGTGAATCCCCCCAAAACTGTGGCACCGAAGCACTTACCTCTCCAAAGAAACCCGCAACTTGCGGTCGCGAGGTGGCCTACTGCTTGTAGTATGTATGAAGACTGTGTCATGCGCTCATGCGACTGAGTTGGGTGTGCTTTGATGACCACATTTACCTACCACTATTTTGATCGACAGGTACATACACACGCCGAGACGACAAAACAAGCGTGCATAGCGCAACGTGGCGTTGGTGTCATTTTTACCATTCGAAGCCTTACAGTACGAAAAAAGGGGATGTAATAAGTACTGTACCAATACGGAATCGTGCAAAACTTCCGAATTAAATCGGAATCCTAAATATTATACCGTATTAATACTGTAACAATACCGTAACAATACGGTATTTTGCCAAAGACAGTACTGGATCCACCCGCTTTTTTGGTACTGTATATAGCCTTGTGGGCATGGACAGGCACAATAATACTTGAAATTAACATCATGGTGAGAACGATCTACAATGTAACTTACGATACAACCTCCTCATCCCCCTCCTAGTCCCTCACACCTACTGAAACAGATTCAAATACTAACTCGCAAAAGGTATAAAACTATCCGTAACAAAAGCTATGGGGGTTGATGACAATTTTGAAAGCATCAAGAAACAGACTCAAAGGCGAGACCTGACCTGAAGTGAGGGGAACGCTAAATAAAATACGATGAATTCCGCCAGCAAACAAACAAAAAACCCAAATCCAAAGCCAGTCCAGATGAATACAAAGGAATATGAAATAAAAAGGGAAAGAAAATGAATACCCGCCATTACTGGCGCCCGTGAAAAATACGCCTGTCGTTTCTCATTGGTTTCTCAAGTATCATTGTATTATCGTCCGTAGGCCTCTGCTTCCTCTCTTCGCCTCCAGTGTCCCGTATCTCTTCTTAAGCCCCTTCCTTCTTTTATATACGCTCCGAAATGCACTTCATATATACTTGGTGTAAGAAAATATAGGCCGAAACCGAGATAGGGCGTAATCGCTTCCGTCAATTGTCTAATAAAGTACTCAGACCACATACTTGTGGAGTTTCCTCTCCAGATCCGTCTGTTAATCGTTTTCGCATTCCTCATTACACATGATGTTGATTGTTGTCCATTAAGCTTCGGTTGCTCTCTCCGTAACGTTCTTCTGGTTTGCCCTCAAATCATGGGCAACATCTTCGACGTGTTCAGCAGTCTCGGCGTCTTCTTTACCCTCTCTCTCATCGTCCCTCGACACCCCTACAAATTTGCCCTGTCCGTCGACGTCAACCCTCCCTCCCTCCTCCTCAACAATCATCTCCGCCAAACTGCGAAAGTTGAACATTGTCTCTGTTCCACTCCCCGCATTTTCGGAGGTCATCCCTTCATCGTCGCTCGCCGGGAGGCTCCTAAAGCTACTTGTGTCACTAGCTCCGGATCCGGATCCTGACCCCCCGCTTGTAAGTTGAGGGCGAGAGTTGGTAGTTACTGCTGAAGAAGATGAAGCGCCGGCAGCGCTGGCCTGCGGATATAAAGATCGATCGACACTTTTACCCTTACCTTCGACACTACCACTGCTACTGGCGAGAGAAATATTTGACACATTTCTAGTAGAAATGCTAGGGGCGGCAAGACGCTTTTTCTGCTCTTCCAGTTCGACTTTCCTCTTCCGTTCTTCCTCTTCCGCAAGAGAAAGACGGATAGCCTCCATCAACATCATTTCCTCCAGATCGATCACACGACTCCTTCGCTCATTGAACAAGTTATCACGATGGGCACTTGAGGGCCCTAATGTGGATCCATCTCGGAAATTTCCCGAGCCTGTTAATCTTTCCGTGAAGCTTGTCAAACTAGTTAATCCCCCGGCGCCATGCTGGCCATCTCTAGGAGTGCCAGTTCCACTTTGAGCCGGCGAAGGGGTGTCACTTTCTGCGCCGGGATTGTTATTACCTCCACCATCACGCACAGCTCTTCGGATCAATCGCCGCGATGAGAACCCACCGCTGGTACTGCTTGAGCTGGCTGGTGGATTGTGAGGACCCATAAGATATGCTGCTGTATGTAAAGCGGTTGCTGCTGCTGCTCGTCTAGCAGCATGAGAGCGTGCTGTGGCAAGCTTTTGGGACCAGTCGGGTCGGATGCGGTCAGTTGTGACAACTTCAGGGTTATTTACACCTAATGCTAAGCGTCGCTTTCCTGTAGGTGTAATTGGACTTGACGGAAAAGATGGAGGCGTCCCCGAATAATGGCCCGGTAGAGATGAAGAGGATCCATCAGCGAACCCAAAATTCATTGGAGATGGTGTTTGGTTTTGAGATTGAGAATTGGCAAACATCAAACCCCGCCTAAATGGCGGTGGGGTATATATAACACCGAACTCGGGCTCTACGCAGAAGGGACAAGTTGCCGGCTCGGAAATGAGTTGATCTGCCGTACCTGTTAAAGCGTTTTCATCAGACGCGGTTGGCTGATCCCCGTCATGGTGCTCTGGATGGTGAGGATCTGGTCGCTTGATTTGGACAAAGCATTCTGAGCAAATGTCCTGGTCGCAACACCTTGTTTTATTTAAATATGGCGGGTAATATAAAAAGCAAATTGGACATTCTGTTGCATTTTTGTAAAGCACGGCCTCTATAGGGCGACCATCGACAGTTCTAGAAGGCTCGTTAATCTCAGCAGGACCAGTTGTATTTGCCAATGTAGGATTGCGCGGGGCTGATATTGATAAAGTTTTGGCCCTGGCCCTGGAAGAGAACCCAAATGATGATGGCGTGGAGGTAGCAGACCTGTTGGAGCCTTCAGAGGTATACGATTGCGCACGGGAACGAGAAGCTATGGGGACGGTCAGGTTGTTTGTCGAATCCGAAGGGCCGGGAGTCCTACTGGGAGATCGAGATTTTGTCTCGGTGTGCATTTGTGCGTCTGGTGAAGGAATGGGCAATCCTTTGACAGCAGCAACAAGCTGTGCGTCAGTCCAGTCAGGCTCGTGGTCGTCGAGCCCTTTGAAGAAAGGTGCCAGCCGTCGTTCGATCTACACCGGGGCGAAAATGTCGCATTAGTAACCTGATCTCCGCGTAGTGAGGCTCATGTGTTAAAGATGGAAATAAGTACCATTAAATGTCGAACAATCTTATCCTTAAAGTCCTCGACACCAGTATAAACTCCCTGCGTGACCAGGAAACCCCCTAGCAAGATCCGATAAGGTCAGCCACCACTTTTTGTCCCCCCGCGTCCTTAAATCTAGCTGTCAAAACACCAGATGTGGAGTACTCACCATCTACACTTTCCTCTCTGAGACTCCTCTCGCGTTCTTTCAGTCGTTCCTTTTCTCGCTCTATCTTCCTCTGCTCTCTTGCCTCCTTCTCGGCCTCCCTATCCCGCTCCCTTGTCTCTCTACTTGTCAGGCCTAGTCCGAACAGTGAACTCTCTATATTATGCCTTGACCTCCCCCTGGTTGAATAGCTCTCGCTGCTTCCAGCGCCCCCACTAGAGAGCAGAGTGCTCGAAAGGCGACCGGAAGACGATGGCCCACCATTGTTACCGCCACCGTTCCTTCGCGAGGAAAGGGCTGTAGACGAGAGATGATGATGGCCTCCGTGCGGGGGCGTCATCGAGCGTTCCTTTGTAGAAGTGTTCCCCATAGTTCACCAAGTGCAGTATAGTTGTGGCAGACTGAGAGACTTGGTGGAACTTCACACTCGTTATTCGGTCGGGATGTGAATGGGATGTGTAGGTAATGGGGGCAATAGAGTTGTTGTTCCTGGGTTAAGGGTGCGTGCTGCTTCTGTTGTTGTGGCTGATTTGAGAGTTTGGTGGGAGGCGGCTGGAGCGTGTGAACAAGGTGTCTCAGAAGATGGCTGGGTGAGGAGGGGGAGGGGGAAATCGGGGATTCCTACTTTCAAATGCCTCAAGGAATGATCTCATCAAAACACCCACTACAAAACTGAAAGATAAAGAGGAAAACCGACCGCGGCCAAGATGACAGGCGTCAGGGTAGGGTCAGGGTAAAGATAACTCCGCGCCGAACTACCCCCTCCTCGGGCCTCGTGGGGTGGAAGCTTGTACTGCAGAGGCGGCGAAACGCCTGTCAAAAAAAATGAAATAAAAACACCAAGAAGTACAAGACCAGGGACCGGTTCGAACTATCAGTGCCAACGTTCCCGGGGGGTAGCCAGCAGGGACGATGTAGTCTAACTAGATACATACAGCATTGTACCTACATTATCTAGAGTACAGTATTTACTCTTAGTCTACACTCAAGTTTCAACTTTCGGGAAGTAATGGTGCTCATCGCGCGTGGTGTCTTTCTTCTACAGTTTCTCCCTCCCACGCTCGTGGCCTGGAAACGGGCCGCATACACTTAACAGATTTATTCGTGATGAAACGTGCCCATCGAGCAACATCTACTCAACTGCATCCACCTTTCAATTAGGGCCCCTAATTGACTTTTTACTCGTGCTGCGCGCAGTTGAACAACACATGGGTCATGTGCCACTAATAAACATATGTTTCACTTTGACATATAGACAGTATTCATACCAGAAAAGGCCAATCAACATACTATAACGTATGAAACGCTATCCCCTACTATAATAAGATAATATAATTGGAATATAATGGAATCCAAGTAGGCTATGCGTTTACTGAGCGTTGAGAGCTTAAAATAAAAAATGAGTTAAAGTTGTGTTGATTTGAATCATGATTCATCACTCGGTGATTCACACTGATAGTTGTAAATACGTCACTTAATATCACAATCAGGTAGGTTAGGTAGAGTTTCATGCGTTTAAAGCAATTGTTAATGCTTATGTATTAATTTCATCGCTAACCTCAGAAGAACGTACTGGTATTAATTAAGAGCCCGTTTGGGGGAGTAGAGTTTAGAAATCGCGTTAAGCAATAGTACCGTTAGTAACCGGCAGACTGAGAATTACACGAATACCGCTTGGTAGTTTAGGTGCAAATGTTCCGGAAAAGCAGCTCAGAGCTAATTTTTCAAGACTGCGTTAAAACCATCGAAACTACACTGAAAAGTCATGGCATGCCAAACATGTCAACTTTTCTCATAACGCTTTGAGTCAATAGCTATTATCGTAACAACCACACGTCCGGCGCATTCAAGATATCAATTGCAAACCTTCACAGTTCTATCTGTGTCTGAACGAGCATACAAAGCTGCCAAAGTGCGCATCAAAGCATGATATAACTCAGAATTCGGTGCGAAGAAAGAGAGAGATTACAAAAAGAGATAAAAAGAAAAACCATTCATTGACCCCCCCATCCTTTACAATCCATCCATACTCCTTTCACCTGGCTTACTAGCCTTCAACTCAGCTTGCTTGTCCAACGGCCCCTCTGGGTTCGAGCTCAACCCATGCTCCTTCGTTTGTTCGCTCTTGTTCTTCGAGAAGTCTTTCGACGGGGCGGCCTGCGCCTTTCCTTCGGCTGGGGGATCGTTCAACTGTCTTCCAGACTGTGACTCGGGGGGAGGTGACTGACGGCCTTCGCGGGATGACATTTTGTGTTTTAGAGTGTGGTTTTAGGGAATCTGAAGTAGGGTGTTTGTTTTGCTCGTGTGTTTTGTAGGAGAATTGTTTTGGGTGTGTAAAGATGGGTGGATTTTGTTTTATTATATACAGTTGAGTTGCGGGTCACTGCTGCGTAGCTATGACGTCATCTATACGCAACTGGTTTCTTGACTCCTTTCCAGGGTCCGGGATACACCGATAGGGTTTAGAGATTTTCGTCAAATAATACAGAACTGGGACGGGCGGGCAGGGGAACATGACGTGGGATCAAAGATGAGACCGACGATGAGACCGGCGAACAAAACGGCAATACCTGCAGGTGAAACGGCTGCACTTTCAACCACAATCGAAATGAATTGCGACGAGAATCAGGGTCCGTCTACTGCCCTGACAGGCTGACAGGTACTACTAAGCTTTTATTGCCTACATTTATTATAACAATCTACACATGAAAGCGAATCACAGCGATAACACTATGAATGATTCGGGAACTCAAAAGTTACAATTTTATAAATACTGCTTTAGCTCCCTGACATCAAATTGAAATCCTTAAAAACATACAAGCGGTTCATAAGTTGAAAAGCAAACCCATCCCAACAACTAGAAAGCAAGGAAGAAGAAAGAAACCCTACTCCAAAGAAAATCTCATAGAAAAAGTGAAAAGAAAAAGAGAAAAAATGCTATCACAATTTGCAAAGGCCTATTCTACAAATCTTTTGCGGTGTTCCCGATATCGGTAGCGGCCTCACTGAACTGAACTTGTGCGCTTTTAGCATCCTTTTTCACTCCCTTCATGTCACAGCCCGCGCAAGCGCACTTCCCGGGTTCGCAAGAGCAAACACCCTCGTTCCCTCCACAAGCACAAGTAGTCTTCTCAGGGCCAACGAACGGGTTTCCATCAGCAGTTGCACCAAGTTCCGCGGAACGCCTATTCTCGCTCTTCCTCAAGTCTGCAAGTCGCTTAGCTTCGTTGTGGATATCAAGCAATGACTTTCCACCAGTTGAATAGAACGAACGGATCTTCTGCCCTGTTGGTGTGCCGAGAGCCTTCTCAAAGTAAGTTGTAAGGGTGTTCTTCGCGCCAAGGGCACGATCGGTGACATGATATTGGGAATCCATGTTCCTGGCTGTAGTGGATGCATGGGTAGTGTTATCGATCGTGCTGAGGGCTTTGTTTAGGTACCCGGTGAAGGTCGCCGAGATTCCATGCTTGGTATCCAATTCAATACCCTTCTGAAGTGCGGTATCGCCAACTACGTACCCATGGCTCAAGTACTCTGCCAGGATTGCTGTACGGGGCTTATCTTCTTGCCTTAGCTGCTCCTCGGTGGTGCCGAAATTCGGTGCGTCTGCGTCGCCACTTGCAACATGCCCACCCGCAATCTCATCGAGAGAGTGTGTAGCTTCGACTTTCACAGGGTTGGGGCCGAGCTTAGTGCCGTCGAGGAGGAGGGCTGTTTTCGCGGCGCTTTCGCGCTCGTAGGTTACAGTTGCGGACTGGGTCGAGTTCGCGTCTGCGGAAGTAGGAGTGATGCTTAGAGAAGTGATTTTGCCACAGAAAGAGAAAAAATCACGAATCTCCTTTTCAGGAGTCGTTGAGGCAATGTTGGAAACGTGAACGGTTTGAGCGTGAGCCATTATTGCAGTTGTGAGAATGGTGGGTCTTGATGGTAGTGGTATAGAGTTGTAATTGAAGAAGCTGTATGGTGATGATTGAAAGAAAGAAAGAAAGGGATAGATTTACGCTGCGAGACTTGATGGTTTTATATCAAAAGCTCATTATGAAGGGCGGGGTAGTACGTCATACGAGTAATTGTGGCGGGGCGGGTTGGCGGGGTGTTCTAGGATGTTCCAGCCACATTGGGAACAGGGGCCTCTTTCACATGCAATTGCCATACAACTGCACTTGGTTCAAAACGTCACTTCACAAAGCACTGCTCAGCCACGGAACGCGTAGTTTTCCTGGCACTGCAAAGAACGTTGCGTGTTGGAGGAATCTTGCTTTGGGGAAGGGAGGTTGCATGACGACGACCGCAAACCTAGTACCCACCAAAAAAGAGTTAATGACTGGTACTCTATATCCAGGATTACTGCTGCGGCGCAGATACGCACGTACTCACCCGCCCCAGGAATGTCAGTCCCCAAATGCAAAAAGTTCGTATGTATGTAGTTGCGTGTATGTACTACGCGTGTAGGGGTAAGTCTGTAGACAGGTGGCGGTGCATTGGGAGGAGATTCCTGAATATTGCTTGTGTGTCACCGCCACCCGTCTACAGACTTACCCTCACAGGCGTAGTACTCGGGTACAAGGGTTGGAACCAGAACATGCAATGAGGTTATTTGTATGGCAGAGCGGCGCCACTCCATACAAATAATCCCTTGCATGTTCTGGTTCTTATTGCTACACCCGAGTACATACTTATCACCATAGAGTTAGTTACACGCACTTAAATCACAAGACCACAACACTACTGAGGGGTTGCTCGTCAAACCCGTCGAGTGATGTTTTGTGATTAAAATCCTTCGCCGATACATCCTACCACGCCAACTACGCTAGAAGCTACCCCCCCTGGCTAGCAAGCAAAATCCATAAGGCTTAATAAATATAAAAGGGCTTCATTCGTAGGTACCAGTATGTACCTACATGTATGCAGCTGGTCGAGTGATAGATTATGTTTTGACGTTTAAAAGCTTCATAACTTTAGATTTCACGGAGCTGGAGCTTCAGGTGAGACTTTATCACCTTATTTACGAATTAATATTTAAAATATCCATATCTTACCCGTAAAATGCGCGTGCATTCGCAACTATAGTTCGAATCTAAAGGCACTGTCCTCACACATGCCCTGCTGTTACGAAAAGCCATCCCCAAGTTCTTTCCAATCTCATAGTGGGACCCAGAGTTGAGGAAGGGAGAGTAACAAAAAAAAGACCCCTGGAATTTTGAACAAGAGAGAAAAAAAAAGGTAAAGAAAATATAAAAAAGAAATACTACAAAATGCACAACGCACCCGTTTTCCCCAATTTTTTTTTCTCGCAAAATATGCTGCACATAGGTTGAAGAAAAAAAAAGAACATTGTTTTTATTTTGGTTCCATAACAGCATCATCCCCACAGCCCCCCGGCCATGTAAGACTTTATGTTTATTTCTTCTTGGCCGCGGTCTCATCCTCCTTAGCCTTAGCCCTCTTCTCCCTCTTACCAAGGTTCCTTGCGTCAGCACGAGCAACACGGAGCTCTCTAAACGCATTGCGGGACTTGTCAGCATCGGTGATGGCGCGCTCAGCGACGGTGTGACGGCCGGGGGTGTTGTCGATAGGGAAGATAGAGGCAACACGAGCGAGCTGCTTAACATCGGCGGTGGCCTCAGCAGAGGCCTCACCAGGCTGAACCTTCTTGGCGTTACGGGGCCACAAGATCAACTTGGACTTGTACTCGCTGAGGCGGGCAACGTTGGCCTGGAGGGACTCGACGCTGGTGTTGCGGCGGCGGTAGTCGACTGGGATACCGATGGAGAGAGCGAGCTTGCGGGGGACCTTGGCCTCCTGTTGGGTGCGTCAGCTACTGTCCCTTGCCCGTCACGAAAACTTGATATCCCAGCTCTCTCTCTTCAGTGGCCATTATATCCCATCTGCTCTTCCTTATATCCAAGCAGCCTCCGGTGGGCTCTTCACGCTTTCCCAATTGACCTCCCTCTCCTTTCATGATTCCCCAAATCCCCAAAAGTCCAATATCCAGAGTGAATATCTCACCTTCAGCTCCTCCAAAGTGAACCCCCTACCGGCACGGACACGACGGTTGTACTTGATGGTTGGGCATCTGACGACAGGCCTTAGGAGATCGATGGGCCTGGGAGCCATAGCAGCGATCTTGGTGAGACGAGCATTTCTGCGGCGGAGCTTGCGTCCCGGCTATATTTCCTCCCAAGCAAAAACCCGTCAGCTTCCCGTGCATTGATTTCCCCTTCTTCAGCTCCCGCAAGCCGTCGAGATGACTAGAAGTGAAGGATTCGGAGGGGGGGTCGGTTCGATAGATATTATTTACTGACCTGGTCGAAGTGGGTCCGCACGCGACGCTGCCAGTCCTTGCGGAAATGGTTGTTGGGGATTTGCTATAATAAACCTTCAATCAGCATTGGTGATTCCTCGGGGGGTAAATTTTCTCGAAATGGCGGGGTATACCTGATTGTGCTTAATGGCCATTGCTACTGTCGATAGAACTCAATGATGTTAGTTATCGTCGGTCGTCGGGTTGGGCGGTTGTTTGGACTGGCGCTGCTGGGTGAATTATTTTTTTGGTGATTCTCCAGGCTAGCTGCGTGTTGGGTGTGTGCGGGACTGCCGGGAGTGGGGGCCAGGGTTTGCCCTAGCTGGTCGGTTACCCTCTTTTCTTGCAAAACATGGATTTCACAACGTCGGCCCTGTGGATTTGTGAATTTAGCGATCGGCCAAATTATTGGATCCGCATGGCGAGAACGATCTCTCTTTTTACGGGATTCAATACCGAAACCTTGAAGATTTTGGCCTCCAATGCCCTGCCTGAAGTTTACTTCAAGGTTAAGCGGGCGCAAGAATTGCTTAGTAACTGCTTTAGTCATCACCGTGCCCAGAGCAATTCAAGGGTAGCTGCGTCTAGGTCAAAGATAGCTCGAGAGGTATGCCCTGGGTTGACATCCTACCCGTACAGAGAGAGCTCTGTTCTATCGGTCACTGACCTTAAATTGACTCTTCGAAACTGACGGTTAAAAATGATAAAATTGAAAAGCCAGAATGGCGAAGCCGAAGAGCTGCAAGTGCGTGAAAGCTGTGTAGCGGCTTCAGAGCCCTACTTTGTACACTTGCAGAAACGCACGAACACTAACTCCAACTCTTTATATTTAACTAGAGTCGACTTTGTGCTTCATGGCGTTGCTAAGCGTATACGTAGCGCAGGTTCAGTCCTCAGTGTGGTCATGGATTACATAACAGCTCAATGAAGTTGATATAACGACGTGACTAGGAGTCCTTTAGGAATTTTCCATTTTATTTGCCAATGACGAACCCCCTTTCCTTCAACAATCTCCCAATTACGCCTTAACACTATGAGTGCTTTCATAATCCCCGTTTATGGGCATTGCCATTAACAGCAGGGCCTAGCAGGCTAATGCCCAATTTTCAAGGTATTGTGGGTTATCACGTAAATTGGTAGAATAACCGGATTCCGAAGCTAAACACTCCAATTGAGCCCATATCAAAACAAGATAATAGAGGCATAAGAAATAACAAAAAATGAAATCTCTTGGCTTGCCTCGTGGTTGTAGAGAAAGGCGCCATTCAAGTTGCAATTGTTTTCCCATAAAAAAAAAAAGCCAGGAGGGGTCATTATGCTCCGATAAAGAAAGATTAAATCCTTCTATCTCAAGAACATACTAGGTAGATTTGATTAACCGGATTTTATATAAGGGACTTGGAGCTTGTCTATATATTGGAAGCCTTCCCGTGGATATTTTTGAAGATTTGTAGGCGTTCAAATGTGGTCTGTAGATCCCCCCAGGGGGTGTCTACAGAGTTGTTGTGAGCCGTTTCTATGCAAGATCTGTAATTTATCTTCAAGGCTTCAGGTTTGAACACCTTCAGAATATCCACGGGAAGGCTTTCATTGTATAACTCCATGTCAAAAATCCTGGGACAAGCCCCCGTAGCAACTCGCGGTTGCGTTGTCCCATGATTTTTGAACGATAACTATACATACTCACGTTTATATAGAGATACATGTATCAAACTGTACCAATTGTAGAATCTATGTCCAAGAGCTGAAGAGAGGAGCACGTCTAGCAAGATTTGATAGTCATTAGTAGAGAATATCTCAACCAATTAGAGCTCCTATTTGACAGAAGACAAAACAGGAAGAGGCATAATATACGTTTAACTACACACAGTCATATATAAAGTGATTCACATCAAATACCAGAAGCCGTAACGTCGTCATGTAAAAGAGGGTAGTACAAACTAGATTAGAAAAACTTTGCCAATCTATGCTATCCCCGTGTGTAGCTATATCCCGGTGCTAGGGTAATGACTTTCTGGCTTCGCTTCGAGGACCACTATATACTACTGATCAGCCAATCCGTCGATGATTCTTTGGGGGGAGATCTATGTGTTACCGGCGAACCCACTCCTATATCTAGTGGTAGTATTTTATTTTGAGGCGTCCGGACTTTTCTGAGATACGGAAAGTTGTTACCTTTTCGTCTGTTTCGGAGTCCCCTCCCTCTGAGAATCTTAGCGTGACCACTTCGGTGCCCCTGCGTCCTGAACGTGCTATTCGTAAAACCGCCCCAAGTCTGAGCTCCACATCTTCTCCTTTACTTGAGTGGAGATTTGAACTTTTCGAGGTGTTGACAGGATCTTACTGGCGAAGGCCAAAGCCACTTTGTCCGGAGTTCTCCTGAATTTGTGACTTACTCCTCTGTCCAGGAGCAGTGCGACCACTTCAGGTGTGCATTCTGCTACTTCTGCCAAATCCAAAGGCGTTTCGCCATCAGATGTTTCTAACTCCAGATCTGCTCCTTTTTTTTCTTCCAAGAGTAGTTCGACCACTTTGGGGTATATATCCTGCTGCTGCTGCTATATGTAAAGCCGTCTCGCCTCCAAATAATCCACAGTTCACATCTGCTCTTTTGTCTAAGAGTAGTTTGACGATTTCATGGTATCCTGATGATGCTGCCAAAATGCAAAGGCGTGTGGCCCCTTACCCTTAGATACTCTGGAATCCACATCCTCTCCTTTGTCTAGGAGTAGTTGTTTGACCGCTTTGGAGAGTCTTGATTTTTACTGCCAAATGCAAAGCCGTTTCGCTATCATGTGTTTCGGAGATCCACTTCCGCTCTTCTCTCCAAGAGTTAGTGCGGCCACTTCGAGGCATTCTGCTGCTACCGCTAAATGCAAAGCCGTTTCGCCGCGGTCTGTTTCGGAATCCATATGTATCTGCTCGTCTGCTTAAGAGCAGCGTGTGACCATCCCGCACTGTTGTGGTGCTGTTGCTAAATGCAAAGCCGTGTGGAACCTCATCCTTTATACCCTTAGCTACTCTGGAGTCCACGTACATCCGCTCCTTTGCCTAAGAGTATAGTAGTTCGACCGCTTTGGAATGTCCTGATCTTGCTGCTAAATGCAGGACCGTGTAGCCATCATGTGTTTCGGAGTCCACACCTGCTCCTCTCTCTCTAGCTAGGAGTAGTGTGATTACTTCGTGGTGTCTTGATGCTGCTGCTAAATTGCAACGCCGTGTATAACTATAGCCATCTTTCCAAGAATATATAGCATGACCACCTCAGCATATCCTGATTTTGCCGCTAAATAAAAAATGCCGTTTGACTAAAAGAAAAAAAAAACCGTGGCGTTGGTGCCCAATCCTCTTAAATTGATAATCATAGCTCTGTTTTGATGTTTTTTTTTTTTTTTTTTTTTTGGCTATAATTCACCGCCGCACATATATATCTACAGTACATCAATACGTGCGGTAGAAGTAGCTCAGCGTATATACAATGAGACTTATATATATCCGCGTTCGATAGCTAGCTCCATTTATTAAATCGGCCGCGCGAGACGTTTAATTTGTTAATATACCAAACTTAGTGATATCGACTTTTTTGACCCCCCTTTCGTGCTGCGCATGCGTTATATATCAGATCATATATGGCTGGCCATGGCAAACTTAATACCAGTATGTACTCCCGTGCAAGGAATAGAGGTTTTCTCTAAGGATATAAGGATGGTTCTCCCCGGCCCAACCGGGCTCCCTCCGCACCCCAAACCCAAAGCTTAAGAACCATGTATGTGCCTCTCTCTCGATTGCAAGGCCCTCCGAAGCTGATCTCTTTCATGAAGCGGGGTCCATCGGCGACTAATAAACGCTTTAAGAACCCTATCCCATCGTTCGATCCTCACTCAGCCCAACTAGCTTCTTTAATTAAGAGGGCCCGGCCACTGGGAGGTCGGCCTAGCCCTCCCTTCGCAGAAACGCAGCGCATAAGGACTCGACATCTGGGGGTGGAATTGGCGCGTTCGGCGCATGCCCACAACCATAGGAATTGAGCTAGCTAGCGCAGCGTTATCGACATCTGTATTTCTCTGATCAGGTCTTCCGCATATATATATATAAATGGCAGTTCTGGGGGTTAAGATCTCGTATATTACGCAACCCAGAGATAACGCCTCCGGAACGGGAGGAGGAGGAGCTCTAGTAGTAGCTCTGGAGCCATATAACCCTGAGGTATAACCACACCTACATATGTAGTTCGTAGACTTGCAATTGTGTTTACTGTGGGCTTTGACATTGATCGGCCAAAATTGGCAAGTTTGACTTGGATAGGCCGGCCGCGGACGATGGGGCAATAAGAATGGTTCTGAAACAGGATTTGTACATACATGAAGGAGAATTCGGATATCAAAATGCAAAACATTCGGTTCTAGATCACGGTGGCGTACATGTGTTTTATGCTCGTGCAGGATGTTTAGTCGACTTTGAGCAACCCCGTCTCCCGTTCGGGGCTAGCTCGACAACTAGTACATGGTGTAGGATGTGACAATGATAGATTCCACCACATTTCTATCCTCCACCTGGTCCCGGGGCCCACAACCACAAAATATCAAACATCGAAAAATCAAAACACTACATGTACCCCACATATAAACAAGGAAGAAAGAAAGAAAAAAAAAGAGGGCCAATTTTTATTTACAGTCCCACGACCAGTCACTGCCCCCCAACAACAACTACTATAGCTACAACTGCCACTAGTACTACAGCTGCTGCCACTGCCAGACTACTACTTCCTATCACGCGCCTCAAAGGGATACTTAAACTCAACCACCTTTTCGAACGGCCTCTCCCTGCCAATCATCCTCTCCTTGTCCCACGGCCTCAGCCTCGTCTCATAGACCTTCACATTCGGGAGGTCCGGCAGCGGCGTCTGCGCGATGATCTCAAAGAGCTTCTTCGGCTTTGTCTTTGTCTCGAGATGCTCAACTACTCCCCCATCCACCACACATTAGCCCTCACCCCCTTCCCACTAGACAAGCACCACCACCACAAAAAACAGCAAGGGAGGAAAAAAAACATACGCAGCTCCGCCACCGTCTTCACCGCGCCCGCCTCCGCATCCAGCATCCTCACCCCCGTAAGCTGCGCCACCCGCTTCACCAGCGCAAACCTCACCTCCTCCTTCACCCCCAGCGCCGCCCAGCCCCTCCTCTCCAGCCCCTCCACCACCCACTCTGCTTGCTCCTCCTCCTCCCCCTGCTGCTGCTCGGCGGGATACACCTCCTCCTCGCTATACGCCCTGACCTCGGCGCCCTCGGCGCCGCCCTCCAGGGTGGCGAGAATGTCCTGCTCGATCTCTGGCGAGCGGAAGTCGAACACGGCGTCGCCGCCGCCGCTGGAAGACACGGTGATGCGCACGCGGGGCGTTAGTTGCTCGGGGCCTGTGTATCTGCTGCTGAAGGCGGACGCGGGGAGGCCGTTGAGGAGTGGGGTGTGCACTTCTATGACGGCGCGGTGCACGGCGCGGACGAGTGCGGAGGGGGAGGTGAATTTTGTGTTGGTGATGAAGCTGTGGTGGTAGTAGTCCGCATGAGCACATACACATACATACACACAAACAGGGAGAGAGAGAGAGAGAGAGCAATTGAAATTGGGGGTGGGGGGACAGGGCAGGGGAGGGAAGGGGAGACATACACAGGCACATCCCACTCCTCCAGAGCCGGGTCCAGCCCCACGACGGGGAGATCGCGGGCATCGAGCGCCTCGACGTAGCCGGGGATGTCAGACGGTTTTCTGGCGGCGGGTGGGGCGGCGGCGGCGGCGAGCTGCTGGTCGGCCTCTTCGGGCTGGGGCACGGCGCCGGGCCGCCAGAGTTTGTTGCGGAGGCGCTCGGTGAAGGAGAGTTTTGGCGGGGGAGGGGGGGCGGCGCCCTTGGTTGCGTAGAGGCGGCGGGTTGTGGGCACGGCGCGGGCGTGGGCGTGGGCGCCGCGGACGGCGGATGCGAGCCGTGGTGCTGCGGCGCGGTACATTGTTTTGTGTTGTGTGGATGGGTGGTTGTGGTGGGCGGGGTTGGGCAGAGGGAGGGAGCGCGTGGTGGTTGCGGTGGGTGCGGTTGCTGGGAGGAAGTTTTTTGAGGCTCTTGATGCCTGTTGCGGTTTAGGTCCGATGGGACGGGGAAGGAACATGTAAAAGGAAAGAGGTTTTGTAACAACTGCAATTAAGACGCAGTATTGCCATTTCTATATTACAGAGCGCAGAATTCAATCTTCTCCCCCCAGGTATCATTTCCGTACATTTTCCCCCTTCCTGCACGCCAATTGCTCCTAAATCCCCACATACTCTACGTAGACAAGGCTATTCGCCTTCACACAGATCCTCCAGCAGCTCCACAACGCGCCTCCTCAGCGCCTGCAGCTGCTCCGCGTCCTCCTTCTCCTTCTCCGGCAGGCCCGCGCGGCAGAAGAACGGGATGCCCATCGCGGCAAACTCGGAGGCCATGTGCTTGACCATCTCCTCGCTGCGGGTGTGCACCTTCTGGTCAAATACCCGCAGCTCTTCCTTCTCGCTCTCGGGCGTCTGGGGGTGTTAGTTAATTATGTAGCTGGACGGGGGGTGAGGGTTGGTGTATGTATAGGTGCTTACGGGGAGATTGCTGGTGGCGGTGGTGGGCATTGTACCGAGCCCCCTCCTGAGCGCGGTGTTAGTGCTGCAAGACTCGTGGGATGGTAGGAGGAGGGCTTACAGTAGTTCGGCGACCCTCTTGCTACTCTCCACTCTGGCCTCATGTTTCCTGACGAGCTCCTCTCTCGCAACCCACCTGTCCAGGTCTGTCAGTCAGCCAAACCACACAACCCCCCTCTCCAACCCTCCCAGTGCAAAACCCACTCACCACTGCTTCTCATGGTCATGCTGATGCCTCTTCATCTACAAACACCCCCTCCCCCCCCCCCAACATAAGCCACTGCCTTCCACTCGCGCCGCTCTCCCCCCCAAGCGCACTTGAACACCCCGTAGAACATACGCACCTTCTTGATCTGCGCCATGACCTCCTCGTTCCTGTAGATGGTGTTCATGACATACTTGAGCGCCGCCGGCCAGTCCGTGATACTCTTCGGGTCCACCACCGCCGTCGCTGCTGGCGTCACGGGTATGGGCGCTGGGGGCTGCTGGAAGAAGGGCGAGCCACCGTGGAGCCGCGGGTCTGCGAATTGCGGCCTGGAGTGAGGTGGTGGTGTTGGTGGTGGTGCGGGTGGTGCGGGTGGGGGAGGTGGGTGGTGTTGGTTTGGGCGAGGATGCTGAGGAGACGGGTTACGTCGGCGTTTACGTTCATGGTATGTATGGATGTGTGGGAGGGGCGAGGGAAGGGGGTGAGGGAGGGAGGGAGGGAGAGGGTATGGGCTGCTGGGGACGGGGGGGAAGGTGTGAAGGTGAAGGCTTAAGGAGCGTGTGTGCACGTAGAGTAGAGCTGTTACAGTGGACGTGAACTGGGCGTGAGTATGTACTGAATTGTAATTGTTGTAGAAAAGAAGGATAGAACTACACTGTCACACCTGGCTGGCACTGCTAGAATACTGCTCCTGCTTGCTGCTTGCTAGCCATCCACCGCTCATCCGTGGTGTCTCTCTCTGTCTCTGTCTGTCACGCAAGAACGGAGTGAGTGCTAACTTCACCTCGCCCTCGCCCTCGCCTATCGCTTATCGCTTACACCCGACGCCCCCGAACACCCCAAGCACGCTAGCCCGCACCCGCCACTAGCGTCACGCAGAGGTCACGTCAGATTTCCACCATCGCCCAATCACCATCACCCCACCAAAAAAAGTTATCACCACCGCTCGCTCGCTCCTCCTCTCCAGATCATCCCCTCCATCCAACCCAACCCATCGGAACGATACAAAAAAAACGAAACAACCTTTCTTCCCCCAAAACGTTTTCCAAAACCTACATACAGTCCCCCGCCCAAACCCAATAAAACAAAATAGAATACAAATAAAATAGAAAAAACCAACCCAATCCGCACAATGGCACCCCCGCGCTCCGTGGCAGATGCCACCCGCTTCACCGCGACCGGACCCCACGCCTTCACCCGCGCACCCCCCACCAGCGGCAGCAGCGGCGGGGGGGGCGAGACGCCGCAGCAGCGCGTGGCCCGCCTCCGCGAGGCCGCAAACAGGGCAAGGATGGACCAGGTCGGCATGTTTGACCGCATTGTGGACCGCGGCCGCGTCTGGGCCGACAGGGCCCACAAGGTTGTTGCCATTGGGCTGATTGGCGCTACAGGTGGGTTGGAAATTTTCTTTCTTTCTTTCTTTGCTAGATGTGGATGTGATGTGGATGGGGCGAGAGAAGATGCTAATTGGATTGGCGTGGTGGTGGTGGTGGTGGTGGTAGTGCTCTGCGGTGGTATCACGATCTATGCGTTTACAGACATGGTGATGTTTGCACGGAGGAAGAAGCGGGCATACGTACCTCCCCCCTCCCCTCCCCACAATCCCCTCACCAATTCTAACCCCCCCCCCTAGGCCGAAGAGCAACGCCACCTCCACGCAACCCAAAAAGAGTCACAAATCCTCGCCGCCGTCGCCGCAGGCACCGACGAAGCCACCGCCCGCCACGAAGCCGACCTCGCCCACGAGATCCGCAAGGGCAAGCCCGTCACCACGCGGCTGAAGGAGTGGGCGCTGAGCGGGCTCACGCCGCCAGAGAAGGAGGCGGTCGCTGTTGATGGCCGCCAGATTGCCGCTGCCGCTGCCACTGCTGCTGCCGGCGGGGTGACGGCTGTTGGTGGTGGTGGTGATGGTGGTGGTGGTGGTGTGCCGAGGGAGGAGATCCTGGATAGGCCTGGTGCTGATGATCTGGTGAAGGGGGGGAAGGCGCAGGGGGGAGCACGGGTATGTTGAGTAGCATCACGGGGTGGTGGAAATGAGCGGCTGCAAGTGCGGTTGTAATTGCAATTGCAATTGGGGAATGGAGTGAGTGGGTGAGTGAGTGCACCCATCTTTGTGTGTGTGTGCGCGAGAAAGAGAGAGAGCAGCACGGGGCGAGAAAGGGGGGGGGGGGGGCGTTCGGTTGTGTACAGGAGGACTTGCTGGGGTGACGGGGAACTATGCATGAGGGTGAAAAATAAATTCATGGCTGCTTTTTTTTTGTTGTATATTTTTTTTTCTCTCTCTCTTTCGCTTCTTTTGTGGCTCCCTCGTTCGGATTGTATATAAGACTAATTTCTGCCCTGGTTTTAAAATAAAAAAAAAAAGAGTGGGCTACCAGCTTTTTGCCCGCCCCCCCCCCCCCCCTCCCCAGCACTAAAGATATGGAGAAATTATAAAAAGGTTTACTTCGACGTTTGGCTGTTAATTAGTACTTGCAATATATAACGGGAAATATTGTGTAGCCCGTTCATGACAGGCGTGGTCATGATTGAACGACAGGTATTAAACAAAAAAAAAAAAAAATCGAACGACAGGTGTGGTCTTTCTGGGCACCGAGTGATTGTGCATGAACATAGCCCAAAACCTTGGCCTAGGTGTCAATCATAATCTTACCGAATCCGGTTCCGGTTCCATTTCTAGATAGCTCTGATATTCTACGCTTCTACCAAATATATATATCCTTCACCCGCAAGATGCTTCCAAAAAAAAAAAAAAAGTCTATATAACTATATAAAAACCAAGTCCCTATCCCACCCTTCAAAGCCTCGCCAAGGTCCCATCCGTCTTAACCCTAATTAAATGATCCCTCGATATCTCCTTCACGCTCTTACTCCCCGCCAGGCTCATGCACAGCTTAAACTCCTCATACAGCAATTTCAGTGCCAGCTCCACCCCGGCTTGTCCATCGTACTACATTACACCGCCCGTGTCAGTCTCTCTGCGGCAATAAGAAAAGAGGGAGGAGAGAGAGAACATACCGCCAACCCCCACAACGGGATCCTCCCAATCCAGCAGCAATCCGCCCCCAGCGCTAGCGCCTTGAAGATATCGGTGCCCCGCCTGATGCCGCCGTCGATATGGACGGGGATCCTGCCCGCGGCGGCGGCAACACATTCTGGTAGTGCATCGAGGGTGGATGTGACGCCGTCGAGTTGTCGGCCTGGCGGTAGCGGTGGGTTAGGCATAAGACACTAGTAACATAGTTGGCCAGCCAGCCAGAATTACGTTACTCACCTCCATGATTCGAGATTATAATTCCGTCGACGCCGTGCTGGACCGCGAGTAGCGTGTCTTCGGCCGTTAGGATGCCCTTAACCCAGATTTCGAGCTTGGTGATGCTGCGGAGCCATTGGATGTCAGTTTCCCAGTTGAGGGATGCATCTACACGCGAGTTAGGTGCTATCGTTTTACCGCTCTTTTTATAGGGGTGAGTAGGAGGTAGTTACCGTTGACATTACCCTGGGGGAGGATAGAGTCCACCCCCGCCCCCGCTGCCGGCGGCTTGCCTTTATCCCCGCCGTGCGCCTTCGTCTCGTTCTCGGAATAGACAGCCACGTCGCCCGGGTTCTCAAAGTTCAGCAGCTGCAGGTGCGGCGGCAGCTTAAAGCGATTCCGGACCTCGTTGATGCGGCGGCCGAGGTATGGCGTGTCGACTATGTGTTATGCCCAGCACTGCATGAATATCACCCGGCACCGGCCACGATGAGTGGGTTATACATACCGGTAAGAAACACCGCCTTGAATCCAGCACCTAACTAAAAATTAGCTCTCCACATTTCTACAGGCGAAGAAAATTAAAGAAAGAAACGCACGTTCCGCCCTCCGCACCAGCACCTCGCTCGTCTTCCGGTTCTGGAACACATACAGCTGTATCGCATAGTCGATGGCGCCCGCGCCCTGTGCCACCACGTCTTCCATCGACGATGTCGAGAAACTGCTCAAACCCACCGCAACGCCGGCGTTTGCAGCGGCCCGCGAGATGCCGACTTCGCCGGATGGGTGGGCGAGCTTTGCCATTGCGGCGGGCGCAATGCAGAGCGGAAATGAAATCTATATATATATTCATAAGTACGCGGTAATTTTTTAACTGTGTGTATTGGAGCCGAAGAACTGGTGGAGGTGGTTTTTTTTATATATATACGCACTTTCTTTCCCCATAGCTGCGTGGAGGTGTCGATTCGGCTGACGTCCTTAAGCACGCGGGGACGTAGCCTGTAGCGGTCGAATGCGGCGAGGTTGTCGCGGAGACTATAGCTATTTATTAGCTACTTTTACATATCGGCAGCGCTCTAGATATTTCAGTCTACCGGAAGAGCTACTAACGTTATCTCACGATCAGAGCCCGAGTTATAGTACTCGCGGGTCATCTTATCCATTTTCTCCATTGCAGCAGCCTCCAGCTCTGCAATTGAGAGCACCTCGAGATTGGACATTTTGGCGTTGATGTATGTAGATATCGTTATTTCTGTTTCCCTCAGCACCTGGCTATCCTCGGTTGTGGAGTTGCTTGATACGTGGAGCTATGATAGATATCTACCCGCAGCCGGGAATGGCTGGCTTGGCAGGCAACTGCAACTGCCTGCATTGCACTAGCTGCGGCTTCATGGAGAATCACTCGGTGATCGGCGGTGGGACTTTCAAGGCATCGGCCGAGGGTGCCAAGGAGCAGCTTGGTTTATACCTGCTCGGTGATATCTATACTATATGTTCCTGGTAAACGTAAGCAAGTTGATATATATGCATGAAACAGAACAAGGCGCGGAATCATGACTTATCACTCGTTCCGCGAACTGCCAGGGACGCGCAGAGACGGGGCTTGGGTCTTGGGGCTTGCTGGTACAAGTGTAGTACTTAGAAGTGCGGAAGGACCAAAGAATTGTACTTACCTCCTCTAGCACCGCTGTTCGCACGGAACCTTTCGTGCAAGCACTCTCCCCACATGCACACCTATCTAAATATTAATACCACACCACATGTGTAGTCCGCGGGGCCGAGTTGATAGAACCTTAAACATTGGAGTTCAGGCATCCGAGGAAAAGAAAAGGAAGGGGAAAGAAGAAAATCCTTCACGTGAACATTGAAATTTACCACCTGCCCTAAATAATAATCAAATCTCCCAAATCGGTCATCAATTGTTACACAGAGCAACAAATACCCCACTCACTGGAAGTCACGATGAACAATTGTGTAAGTCAGCCTTGTCATATAACACTGTAAGCTGAGTTCTCAGTATGTATTGGTATCTCGAGACTTGGTGGAGGGGTTGATTCAGCTCAGAATATATCCCTAGAGTACACACGTGCGCACTCCAACCCTGGAGGTATGAAGTCATATGCCGGAACCTACCTTTGGAAAATCATGTCCTATACGGGCCCTTACATCTGGATCTCATCATTCAATATGCAGTCGGCCCATTCAGGAACCACCTCGGCCAGCATAACAGGGTAGTGCGGGCCAGTATTCAACAAAAATATAGATAGAGCATGAGCATCAACATGCGTACCTAATTAAACGCATGCCTCATGCTAGCTATGCGTTTGATACCGAGAAACCTCATATCGAAGCTGCCATTCTGGGCTGTACGGTATGCATGTACTTTGGAGAGGAACGCTTTATAGTAGGTACCAGGTATACATATGTGTGTGTACCCGTTTACCACGAAAAGAACCAGAAAATGCAAGTGACGGAAACAGGGATAGTTTGTATGAGAGATCACCGCCACTCCATACAAATAATCCTTGCCCTGAGCAACTGCATTTTCTGGTTCTTTTCGTGGTAAACAAGTAGATCCAAGGGCCTGGTCTGGTACCTATCTACCAGATAATCGAGGATCTCCAAGATACAAGTCCTTGCCAAGCTGCCTGTCACCCCGTGATGCATATGTGACACATCACAAAATTAAAAATCCATGAACTGAACGACCAACGCCACCAACTTCTCTTCTCACAAGTTGAGGGCACTTTAGCCGCCTTCTCAATCTGCAGCCCTTTTTATGTAATTGTCTACTGGGGGGCTTGCGCGGGGTGGAAAACCGTGTAAGGAGATTATCTACGAATCAGACAAGTCATGAGTGATTCGCTGTTATAGCCGAACTCTCCAAAAAGTAGTTGGGACAAGGAAATTTGCTGCGAGTAAGTACTTTCGTATTCGCGTCTTTGGGTAGTCAAGTAATTGTAGCCCCGATGAAAATTATGTCTATCGATTGGACGGGCCCCCGATAGGTCTTTAATTTATATCAATATCTAAGGAGATGCCCAATAGATATATTGAACCCGCAACAAATATTTCCCAAAGTGTACTACCGGACCATTCAAATCCAACCACAGAATCTTCATAGCAGAAGCAGATGTGTTTAATATTTCAGAAGCAGCTATGCGCCTTGTCAAGACTCTTGGCCATTGTAAACCCCAACAAAATGATAGTTAGTATTGGACGATCCTCCTGGTGGTTAACGTCTAGATTATTCTTACTCTTAATCGCCGACCCTAATATTGATTAGTAAATCCATGTAGATACATAGAGTATGTACCTACAGTATATCTTACATCAGTTATGAGTATCGGATTAGAACTCAGTTGTACTCGGTGTTGACTAGGCGATTCCAAGCCGTGATACTCAAAAAACCAGGACCACCGGTTTATTTGAATCATGATGATGATGGTGGTGATGATAATGTATTAGGACTCCGGCACTTTCTAGATATCATCACTCAACCAATCTGATGTGCTGGGGCCATTGTATTTACATACGGGTACGTCGAGTGTAGGCATCCGGTCCCGCTAGGGTTTGACCACTGGTATCAATCATTATGGACCATATCGATAAGGTGGCACTTGCGCACAGAGTATCCCTCGAAGATCGTACTCTGGATAGGTACCAGGCCATTGGTTGTGCAGCATTCAGTCGTATCAAAGATGACCTATATATGACAGAGGCTCGGGATATAAAATGACACAAGTGATACTCCAGATAGGAAGCCCTCGAGGGGGCGAATATCCTTTGTAGAATTACCTGGGTATCGAGCACTCGCATACGGGCCGGAACCGACACTGGCCGTCAGCTGGTCAACTTTTCAGTGCAATCATCATCAAGCTTTGATGTAATCGCACTAGCCCAAGCTAGGCTAAAGATTTCCATTAGGCAGGGGTAGATCTTGGCGCGCTATTCAACGCGAAAAGCTCGCAGCCTTTAACACGAAACACAAAGTCCAGCCCCCTGATGAGTCGTGAAAAAAGGGCTGCACAAATAACTCAGCGGTCTCTGAAAATCCCACATGTGCAGGGAAGCGAGGAAGCGATAAGCCCTTGTGGTACATGTACCTACTCCGTATCGAGGAGGAGGCGGGGTTTGTTGTAGAGCGGGCAGACCCAGAACATAAAAGAAGCACAATCAACGCATCAATATTGATCCCCGAACGGGAAATTTCGATCCTCTAGACGAAAAATAATTAGTTGGGATACTAATGTAGATCTGGGTGTGGCAAGGAAAATGTGGAGTGCTTGTGACGAAGCCCAGAGGTCGTATCGCTTCCTATCTTCCAACGACCCCGCACAAAATGCTCAGGGCGGTGTGAGTGAGGTGGACAAAGACACCCCATTTGAGCTAGTCGGAGAGGGGGAGGCCATAGTATGTCCTCGACAATAACATAAATAGGACCCAATTTCCCTTGATTGAACTTTCCTTCACCAGCAACGACAAACACTTACTGCCCACCATTCCATACCAAACTATTTTCCAACTTTAACCCCACAAACCTTCAAACCATAAACACAATGTCTGGCTGTGGATGCGCTTCAACTGGTGCCTGCGGATGCGGGGAAGGCTGCACTTGTGAGGGATGCCCTGTAAGTTCACAAAGCTTCTCAAAGAATATATTCCAAAGGCTGACCATTTCATAGCACAAGTAAATCACCGCAGTGATACCCGGACGAATCCATACATCCCATCCTTCCAAAACGACAACGATAGATAGTCGGACAAACATCGAGGGAGGAGTGAGGTATTGATATTGCTTCGGGTGCACCAGGCTTGAGGATGGATAGATTGAGCGAGAGATGGGGGTCGGTATTGCTAGCTTAGCGTTCGGTCTTCATATCGGGTTTGAGATATTCAGGCAGGCTGAATTGGGGAGGCTTTTTTTGTTTCTTTGTTAGGAGTTGAATTATACTATTCCTTTTTGATTCGCAATATTTTTTATCGCTCCTTTGATGTCTCTCGGAAACATTGTATGATTTATTTTCCTGTTCATTCGTGTATTCATTCTCGCGAGATGTTGTCTTGTTCGGTCAACCGTTACTAGACACATTGGTCCGTTGAGCCAAAAATAAAAACCCACCGTCTTCCCCACTTGCAAGAGAACAACGAAGAACCAGACCTTAGAAACTGGAACGAAAAATGTTGATTAATCTGGTGAGAGTAAGATAGGGCGTGTATAGTGCTTGGTTCCCACGAAAGAAAAAGAGACGAAGGAGCAGCTCCCTATGAGCAAGGGCTCACATGTGCTCATCTGGTAGCGAGTGCTTCTCCCTGTGATGATACTGCTTTGGTAAATGCTAATGCTGCCTTGGTGGCACACATACATCCATCGACTGACAGAGTATGCTCATCTGAACCTAGAAAGAATTGTCCCTATTACAATGATCGATATATGTTGGTATCGATAGCGTTCTATATTTTTAGTCAATAAAGGTACACACACCTGTAAACAATTGACCAAATCTCTTCAAAGTATATATGTAGCTGTACCGAGAACCACAAGATCCTTAACCCCCGACAAAAGAAGCAGCCCCCAAGGCTTTCGGTAACGGCGATTTCGAAAACGACTGCTCCAGGTACCAGACTGAGAATCTATCATCAAAGATATCGAGTAGGTAGGTAGGGCCTTTGGGGTATATATATATATATATATCAATTACCCATCCCGAGGTCGAATTAACAAGTCGACCGGTCAAGTGGGCCGCTCGATAAAAATCCAGTAGCCCATGGTGTTTTATACGTCAATTCTAGTTCTACCCCGCATGCGCAGCCGTGGTGAGCATTACTTTTTATACAGTCGTTGGTACGAGTGGGCGAGTACCTTGGTGGATACCGACCCCGGGCATATGTGCCCCTTGCAAGCAGAGCCTCGATCGGATCACACCATTTGCGTGCAGGGTGATCAAATTATATTGGGTTGGTATGGATAAAGTGATGAAGTGGGGAGGGAGGTCGAGCTCGTCACAGCAAGAGTAGAGTTCCCCCGGACTAGTCTGGTTACCCACTAGACCGTTCCCGAGCAGGAATAGTGCCGTTATTTATTTAAGCCACAATCATGCTAGTGTCCTATATTTAAGAAAGAAGGTAGAAGAAGAAGAGAAGACGCAGATTATGTTTATATATATCAACACTAAACATACGTGCCTTCGATCACCCCGTACGGAATGGCCAGAACGAACAGAGGTTGAAAACATTTTACCGTACGTATGTACGTGCCACGATGGTATAAACTAGTGCACTGCTACGTATGCAGGCCAGCTTTGCAATTGGTCTCAAAGGACAGAATTCGAATGCCGCATCATTACGAGACTAAGCAGGGAAGTTTACCTTACTGATAGTAATATAAGGCCCTCGGGCTCCGTCATGTTACAACTTTATGCTCATAACTTTCCTTTTGGCTTTCCTCATGATCACACCTATACGACTTTACACCTCTAGACCTACGATTTTCGAATTTCCCTATACTTTCCCTATACCTTTCCCTATACCTTTCCCTATGACTTTATGGTGAATTGCAGGGAGTAGGGAAAAGCTCGGAGAAAGTCGTATGTGGAGGGAGTGAAAATCTGTCTACTTCGATGTGATTCATCCCCACGCCCAGCAGAGACCTCTGAGCTAACCTAATATAATCTTTCAATTCAGGGAAATGCTAGGGCCATTGATCTGCAGGGCCACTCCACAATAGATCACCATAATTCGAATTCTACAACAACGTCGGCAAACCGAGCCCCCTCAATCTACAGGGCCGAAATTAAAGTAATATCTTAAGACTAGCTATAAGCTATCATCCTACACCATAGTCAAGTTCAAACATACCAAGCAGAGCTTCTTCTCCCTCTTCCCAAGGCATAACAAACCTCGAAAAATGAAAGATACAGCCGACTATTGTCATGGAGATGATATGTCGTCTACGACCTATAATAAACGAATCGAAGTGGTGGCTGGTTGGTCAGCTTTCTTTTCGGTAGGATATTTTGTACAGTACCCTACTCCACACGTGAGATGTGTGTGGCCTGGATATGGGGATAAGTTTTAATATACTCGAGTATAGGACTATAAACTCAACTGGAGGTATATTAGCTACATGTAGTAACGTAGCTTTATCTCTGATTCCAACCCTTGTGATCCCCAGGCGTTCAGACGGCCTGTGCCTGTACCACGCATCCCCTGCCGAAGGAATCCGTCCGAAACCCACGTTTCAATCCCAAGGGTAATGTTTTGATAGTCAGACCTATAATTACATGTCTAGATCCTGGGGGTTGTGGCTATGTGCTTGGATTCAATCAAGGCGTTGGGTGTGCATGGCCGCCGGGGCGAGGCTCGATCATGGATTATCACTCGTCAATCAACATTCGTCACACACTCTTTTTTTTTTGGTTTAATTCATTAATTACATTTCATCACACACATATACAATTAAACCAAATCCATCAGCTGCAATAACTACTTTTAAATGTGTTACAATGATCTGTATCAGTCCATAGGCCCAGTTAAGTGACCACGCAATCGACGACTATCGAGTCTTACCTGTGTGTTAATACATGCATCTACACATACTTACAGCTACGTGTACAATAGAGGTTAAGGGTGTTGGATCCCAGGTGGGATTTATCTTTGCCAGATACAATTCAGTACGTACTTGGGAGGCGCTGGGATTGCAAGATGGCTCGTAGGGTATTACTCGGAATGGTTTCAGGAGGTTAATCGATTAGATCTGTTTATGATTGGTTGGTCATTAATTGACTGATTAGGTTGGAGCTGCTTTCTAAATCAGCACTCGAGCTCACGATGCAGCCGTCTATCTACGATTCCACACACAGTTCTGCAGCCATCTATCCCCATATATCTATCTCTCCTCCACCAGCGCATCTGCCAGCGCCACCCCACACTCCACTGCCATGCCCACGTTCTCCGCCCACTCCCACGGCTTCCCCACATCCCCAGGCAAGCCATTGAAATACTCCCACCCCATCACGCCCCCAAAGCCGGGAAACATCTCCACCAACTCCATCAGCACCGTCTGCAGCGTCTCCATGCCCACCCACCCCGCGCCATTCCTCCCATTCGTCACAATCCCCGCCACCACCTTCTCTGGCCGCCACCCCCTCCTCACCACCGCCTCATACCCCCCGTATTCTCCAACGACCCCCACCCGCAGTAGAACTGCGTATTATACCAGCTCACACTCGCCCCGCGCGCCGCCTCCAGCGCCTCATACGAGAAACCGCTGATGTTCCCGCCGCCCTGCAGCGCAGCGGCGACCGGCGCCAGCGTGATGATGAAGTCCGCGCCAAAGTCGGCCTTGAGGCGGTCGATGAGACGCACGATGCCTGTCAGCGACATGGGCTCCTCGACGTCGAGGTCGATTCCGTGGGGCGCATAGATCTCGATGAGCTCCTTCAGCGGAGCGTAGTAAGCCTCGAATGTTGCGGGGTCGGGGGTGTCGAGGCGTGTGAATGTGCCCTGCGCGGCGCCACCCAGCATGAACAGCACCTTGATGCCCTCGTCCTTGAGGGTTGTAAGCTCGTCCCAGAGGGGGTCGAAGGACGGGTGTGCGAAGGGGTGGTCGTTGAGCGTGATCTCGCCGGGGATGGCGTTGAGGTGGACGGCGGCGAGGATGAGGTGTGTTATGCGGCGGGAGGAGGTTTTGAGCAGCGGGAGGAGGGAGACGTATGTTTTGCCGTCGATATAGTGGGTTTGGTGGTAGAGGATGATGCGGGGGTCTTGGCGGCCGCCGGGGCGGGTGGGGGGGTGGATCACAGGTGCCATTCGGCGGATGAGGAGCTTTGGCCTGGTGCGGGAGCGGGAGGGGGAGAGGAGGTGGCGGAGATGGCGGGTGTGGTGGATGAGGAGCTGGCGGAGACGCTGGTAGAGGCGGTGGGCTTGCGCGCGGGTTGTGGGCAGGCGGCGGAGGAGACGGAGCATGGGGTTGGGAACGGGTTGGGAGGAGGGGCCGGTGAGCGCGAGGGCGAGGGGGAGGGCGCAAGTGCAGGTGCACGTGCAGTTATTGCTCGGCATTGCTATTGGCCTGGGCATGTACGTGTATATGTGCATGCTTATATAACAAATCAAAAGATTGTTCTTTAGAGAAACAGATACGTATATTTGTGGAGAGCCTTTAATTTGATCAATCACGAACAGGAGAGGTCTCTCTGTGGAATACGTCTAGATCTACGTGGGTGCGCGTGTGTTGTAGCTCGCCAGTTAATAAGCTTTGTCCACTTCTCCGCCGTGAAGTGACCATAGAGGTTTCAAACATCCCAATCACATAGTTGTGTAGATATGTCATAAACACTTATCTGCGCTATTAGCAATATTTAGAGCTGTGACCTTTTTGAGTACGCAAATACACACTCACACTTTTATCCCACAGCAGACGAGAGCCCGGCTAGTCTGCATCGGGCGCACACTGCGCATGCGTCGGAGTATCTATATCTAGTGCTTGGCCTGTGGTAGGATTTGGCTGGGCAGAGCAGCACACAGCGCGTATACGTACGTACCCGAGACAGAGATCCAGAGAGAGAGACTGGTGGCAGACAGACAGCCAGGTGCCTGCCTGTAGGGTATTTTATGTTCCCTCTCTACCCCGGGTGCTGACTCATGCATGTCTCTCTCTCTCTCTCTCTCTTCACATGTGACCGCACGCAACCCACCCCAGAAGCCAACCGGCTTCCTTCTTGTCTCAACCAGGCTTTCACATGCAAATCCCTGGTGCAAACCCGATGATGTCTGTCTGTGTACATACATCATATGTGTACTTTTCTTTTCCACAACACATCCGTCCGTCCACGCACGCGGGGGGGGGAGTTTGAGTTTGTGCTAGAAAAAAAGCATGAAGACGAGGACGGCCGGTGGAAGGAGAAGGCTAGAGGAGGAGAGGAGGGGAGAGGGAAGGGAGGGGGAGGGAGACGAGGGAGGAAGGGTTTTACTTAATAATATATACATACCGTGCTGCTCGTGGGCCTTTTTTTTTTTACTCTGTCTTTTTTGCTCTGTCTCTCTCTGTCTCTCTCCCTTTGCTCGTGCGCTCGCACATGTATGCACACTTCTTGGTTTAATATAATACTCCCTCTCTAACTAACTAACTCTTCTCTGCCCTTCCATTCCTTCCTTTGCACCCGGAGTACCGGATCGGAGACACGTTCATTTCTCTTTATCCACTTTTCTCTCCTTTTTATAGCCGGGGGTGTGAGAGTGAGAGCGAGAGTGAGAGCGAGAGAGAATCAGGATACACTTATACTTCCCCTTGTGTTGTAGTCTTTCTGTCTGTCTGTCTGTCTGACTATCTATCTATCTCTGTCTGCTGTCTCTCTCTACATCTTATCTCTTGACCAGCTACATACTCTTCTGCATAGATCTATCTACGTAGAGGTCTCCCGCTGCCGTCGCTGTCGCCATCTGCCGCTGCTGCTGCTGCTATCTGCTGCTGCTCCTGCTTCTTCCGAGGCCGTAGATAACCTGATTGCCTGATTTCCAGTCTGCTGGGAAGCCTGCAACTCTCGAACGTGGATTGCATGGCAGCCCTTGGTACGTTCAACGGCTTCCCCCCTCTCAAACATCATCCCCCTCTCAAACATCCATCCCCCTCCCCCTCAGCCCCAGCCACACACCAGATTGTTCGTCATCTTCTCTTGTTTCTCCCCTCCCTCCCTCCATATCTACACTCTACTGGCACTGCTGCTAGAATTCTACTGCTGTCTATCTATCTATCTATCCCCCCAATATATATCAAATATCCATACCAGCATCTGTCTCAGTCTCTAAACGTTCTCTCACAGATACGCCCTGGACGTTCTACATGTCCGACGAGCCCGCCCACGTCGCCAATGGCAATGGCACCACGGCCACCCACCACTCGGACTACCACATCCAACCCACCGACCCCAACCCTCCCACCATTGCCTCCTTCGCCCCCATCTCCTCCTCCCCTGCCTCCCGCTCCCGTTTCCAGGTGCACCAAAAATCGCCCCTCCTCGTCGCCACCCCCCCACAAGTCACCCGCGCCCTCTCGCAGAGCTACCCCTACGTCAAGGCCGCCAACTACGTCCTCGGCCTCCTAACCTGGACCACACCCGACCCATGGGAGTCCTTCCTCGTCGTGGCAGCCTTCTGGGCGGCCGCCCTCTACGGCGACGTCGTGCTCCGCTTCGCCGGCAACGTGTTCATCGTGGTGGTCCTCATCCTGGGCATGTTCCTGCGGCGATACTACGACGAGCCGACCAGCACCACACTCGACGAGATCCTCGAGACGCTCAACACGCTCACCACCCGCATGAACATCTTCTTCGACCCCTTCCTGCAGCTGACGCGGTGGCTGTCGACCACCAAGACGGCCACCACCGCCACAACCCGCCCCGCGCTCACAACCCTCTTCACCCGCATCCTGCTGACCACGCCGCTGTGGCTCGCGCTCAGCGTGTACCCCACGCGCATCATCACCGCGCGCCGCATCGTCCTGCTGATGGGCACGCTGGTGCTCTCATGGCACTCGCGCCCCGCAAAGGTGTCGCGCACCGTGCTCTGGCGCTCACAGCTCATCCGTCTCGTGTGTAGCCGCCTCACGGGGCTATCACTCATGCCGCCGCCCGTGATCCCCGCGCTCCCACCGCGCCACGTCTCCCCCTCCGACCTCAAGCACGCCAACGGCAGCAGCAACGGCAACGGCAACGGCAGCAGCTCCAGCAGCACCACCACGCACAAATCCCACCCCACCGCCACCTCACCCGGCACGCACATCGCCGCTGCCCCGCGCGGAAACCCCGACAACATCCACCCCGAGGTCTCCACGCCGCTCACCGCCTCCACGGCCGGCGCATCGCCGGGCGTAAAGTTCACGTTCGCCATCTACGAGAACCAGCGGCGGTGGTTAGGGGTCGGGTGGACGTCGAGTCTGTTTGCGTATGAACGTGCTCCGTTCACCGACGAGCATTTGCAGCCGGCGCCGGCGCCGGCGGAGTTTGTGTTGCCGGTGACGGGGCGTGGGAGCGGTGTGCGGTGGCGGTGGGTTCCGGGGGAGGATTGGCGGGTTGAGGGTGCGAATGGTGGTGGGGGTGGGGGGAAGAAGCAGGAGGTGAAGGATAAGGTGGGGTTGAGTGGGGAGAGTGGTGAGGGTTGGGTGTATTATGATAATAAGGTATGGATGGACCCCCGTGTCTAGTGAGGTAGATGGAGATGGTGATGAAGGGAGAGGAAGGCTAATGGTGTGTGATGTGATATAGTGGCGAGACGGCCGCAGAGGCGTCGACGGATGGGGCAAATACACGCGCCGCCGCAAATGGTACCGTAATGCTGAGCTTGTTGAGGATATGGAGGATGCGGATGCGGCGGAGATACCGCCGGCCGAGGTTAAGGTGATGGGGAGGGAGAAGCCGGAGGTCGTGGTGACGGATGTGGAGGGCGAGGTCGTGAAAAAGTAGGATTGGGAGTTTTGGGCTTTTTTTTGTGTTTTTTTTTTTTTTTATGTGATATAATTAGGAATTGAGTTTTGTTCTGGTTATGGGTCTGGGTTTGCTGGGTTTAGGTTTGGGCGTGTGGGTTGTGGGTTGTGGAGGGTATGGTTTCTAGTGGAGGGTTGCGGTTTCGTACCTGAGGATGGGAGTAGGTGGTAGCTATGTATGTGGAACTGCGCACGTAAAATGACTCGGCGCGGCGCGGCGGTTAGGTAGACACCAATCACCACAGGAGGTCTGAAATATGATATGATGTGCAATGCCATGCCATGCTGTGATGTTGGCCGCTGGTCTTCCCGGGCGAGTGATATTTTATGATCCTCTATTCATTTAAATAGAGTGGGATGCCTATAATTTATGTCTAGAAAACTCATGCGCCGGCCTACGTACATCGCATCTGTAGAGGTTAGAGCTTGTACTGGGGGTTCGATGGATAGGCGTGGTTCCGTATATATATATATATATAGTTGTGCTGCTTTAATTACAAGTAACTTGATTGGATCGTACTCTTCCATCGTGCTGCTTAGTTTTAGAATCTAGAATATGTTATATTGCCATATTAGCATTCTAATCGACTGCATGGTCTACAGACCTCCGTTTAATTTGTGTTGTGTCGTTCTTGCGGGCTGGGAGCTAGCTAGCTATTACTATACTAAAACTGGGCTGCCGCTATATGATCTATATATAATGTACTATGCATGAATCTCAATTATATATATATGTCACCTAGGCCCATTCTAGTGTTTCTGTGGGCCTGTGGGCCTGCGGCTATGGAAACCAATAACCATATCTGGAAGATCTCGAGAACTGTGGCTGTTGCTTTTGTTTTGAGTGTAGGATTGGGGATGGGTGGGATGTTTGTGTGTGTGTGGGGGGGGGGGGTGTTGAATTGGTGGGGGTTGCAATTGATGTGTCGGTGGGGGGGGGGGGTTGGTACTCAATCTGTACTATGTATCAAAGACTGCTTTCTCGCTTTCTAACTTTTTCTAGGTCTTGTGTGTTTTTTTAATACAATATGGGAAGTGGTGTGTACATTACTACACATGTAGATTTAAGGTGTCTACTACGGTACTGTACTTAGCTATATATAGTGTGTATGAATGGCCATGGTTGGCGATGTATATAGCATGTGTGCAGTACGCAACGACGAGCACGAGCGCAAGCACGAGATCTACAAGACAAGAGGGGACCTAGAGAGCAGAAATACCAGGCCTAGGAGCCACAACACCAGTCCACTGTCTCGAGATTTTTTTTTTGGAACTCAGTTAATTCAAAGATTGTAACTGGACGAGACATGCAATACGAACCTGTCTCGATCGCGCCAATCACTCACTAGCTGCGGAATATAATAAGAGAGAGAGGTGAATTCCATCTATACATCCTGAACGTCCCCGAGCCCGGTCTTATACTAATGACTAGCTGCTTGTAGTATCGACCATCGACCATTGACCCGTAGACCTATGTACAGCGCGATGCCATAAATCATCGGAAGGTGTGGGGTCGCAACGCCGCAACGCCTGACTGCAATGCCTGGCCAGAATTTTTTTTTCCACAACCACCGATGGCGCCCAGAGACAGTGTACCCCATGCTCCTACTACTATTAAGTTTGTAAAGGTATACACCACAACCCTTACAACTCAGCGGTTGGAGGAGTGTGGGGTAGATTTTCTGGAGGACTAGCTTACCTATTCCCCTGACTTAAATCCCATCGAACATGTTTGAGTACATCTCAAGAAGCTTTACCATCAACACTACCCCCATTTGGGATATGATACTAGATCACCTTAAGTATTGAAGCCCCTCGTGGAGGAAGGTCTAATTCATTGCTGGGAACTGTTACCTGATGATTTATTCTCTAGAGATTTGGTAGCTAGTTGAGAGCATGCCTAGGAGGATAGAGCTGTTATAAAGGCAAGGGGTTGGTATACAAGATATTAAATGTCCAATTATTTTTATTTAGCTACTATTGAACAACTATACAAAAAAACAGCTCTCCAAAGGGTCAATTGTGATTGCTGGGTGGGTAGTCATGATGGGGCGTGAGGTGTCGAAACCCGTTGCTACGCCGCCCCATACGATGATTTATGTCCTAGAACTATACATACATAGCTACCGGCTTCGGGTTCCATCATATGTCTTATCAACGACTCGACCGAGTCTGAGTTAGCTGATTGTGGGGTATATAGGTACGTTACAAGTGTAATGCAGCCTCCGGCCGCAAATCTGCTAAACCCTAGCTAGGAGAGCTAGATAGATTTGTATCAACAGCCAGTACAAACTCCCAACCTATGAAAGTGTATGCTATATATATTGCATCCCTTCCGAACTATATAGTCGAGAGTGGCTCTTTGCCCAGTACGTACATGTATACATAGTAGTCCTGGCAGAAAAAAATTAACAAATGATAATGCTTCCTGACCACAACGAGGAAGCTTACACTATTTAGAGGGAGGATAGTTTGCTGGTGATACCCATGGTGTTCTGATCTAGCTCGATTAGTTTATGATTACAGTGTTGTGCCTATCCTGTGTGTGTGATCTGTTTCAATTTCCGTATGTGGGGGAAAAGAAAAAAAATATCTCTACAAAGAGAGGAATGCTATATAATTAACTTGAGATGAGCTAGTTGTATATTTCAGATTCAGCATCCCAGTATGAACTGTTTTGTTAATCTCGGGTGTGTGATGCCTCATGAAGGAATTCTTTAACTAGTCGGATTAGTGAATATATATATATACATGGTATTTAATAAGCCAAATCGTATGAGTAGGTTTATGTATCTTTCTACGCTCCGTTAGGTTTCAATACTTCTATAGCCCTCGAGATTTCTTCGTAGCCTGTGTTTAGTTCTTCCGTGTGAAAACGTTTGCCATATCACAACCCTAACCACCCCCACCCTCGCCCCGGCCTCAAAGCCAGCATTATGCAAAAAAACCGAATATCAACAGCGTATAATAGTGTCAAGTTATAGAGCCACTGTAATTATAATTATTAAGGGAAAATAACGAACTACAGTGGAACCCCGCTTTAATCCCGATGGTAAAACGAGTGATATCCTATGATTAACTTGAGATCTGTCAGAAATTAACTATGGGTTAGGGCTTCTCTCGCGTCTTGGCGTGAGCCACCCAAGTATCAATTCCGCATGGTACAAAACATAGGCGAGTGGCCGAGTGGATAAAACACTTCGGCTCCTTGTCAGGCTAGACACCGCGTGTTTGGGCTCCGGCAAAGGTCCTGGGTTCAAATCGGGGGTGGGAGTAGTACCCGCTGGGTGCAGTACTTTTTTTGCACAAAATTAGAAAGATTATTTTACTCATGTGGATTGCATTGATTGTGATGAAATTTTTTTTTTGAGGTCCCACGGATGGTATATATGGAGATGCTGCTCGGACATCTATCCACTTTACCGGGAGCCATGCCCGGGCTAGGCCATTCTTATAGGCTGGATACATGTATCCTTACTAATATATCACGATATTTTACTGCAATAGAGTTAACCAAATAGAGAGACTTCCTCCAAGCCTCCTTAATCTTGGTTTGGTAATAAGGTACATGTATGAACATACGACAGGTACGGGTCACTTAGTGTATATTTATTGCCATAACTGTAAGGTTGCATGCAATTAATGAATTAAACAAAAAAAAAAAAAGTTAGTGTATATTTTTATATGGCACATGGAAACGAGTGATATTTTGTGATTACGCATTTATTCGCCCACATGCCGCTCAGTTTTTCGGTCATGTGTAGACCAAACAATACGTAGGTGAGGTGTAGAAATTGGGATGCTCTTCCCCACTCTCTCTACGTGACCAAGGGAGCGCTTGAGCGTGATGGGGTTAGGGTTGAGTATGTACTAGCCACACCACTCAGTCCCCGACGATCCATCACGCTCTACTTGAAGTCTATATGCAATATTTCCAGACTGATCTGCTGACCCCCCTGCTCCAGAGTCCGGATGATTCTCGGAGCCTAATGGATTAATTAATCAATCAAATACCCCGATTCCCAAACCATAGACAGGCCCCAACCCTGCCTTTTTAAGGAAAAAACATATGATTTTCCCCAGACTAATTGTAGCAAAAATACCCTATGTAGCTATACGTATACCCTTCCCACTATTGAGAAAGAAAAACTGCGAGGACTGGACCATATACGGGGGAATCCAGTTGATGACATCCCTATACATAGCATTAAGACCGAGATTGTAGTGCTAGCTATGTGTACACATGTGATAGAATCTGCACGTCATGCAGCACCTCTGCCGTTTTTTCACTCTCAAAATACCCCACACATTCCTGTGAGCACTTAGTGCTTATGACTTATCATCAAGGGGCAGATATACGCACACGACGCCCTGCAGATGAAACCTAAATCCAACGCACATGTCCATCCAGCGGCCATGATCAGAGAGAGTGGAGGGATTCTGAAACTTCGTATATGTGGGTCACGATCATTGAATACTCGCTACCTTGAGGAAATGTGATTTTCATATTCATCTGAAACATGTCGAGACTGCGTGTACATTCGTGAAAGGCCTACATGTATCTATCTAGCTCTAGACATACAACGTGAGATGATGGAGGCGAGTCATATCTGGATACCTCCTTGATCACCTCGACTGGCCTTGAATTGTGGGCATGTGTATAGACTCAAAGATCTACCCAAACTTCCGGTCTGCCGTAATTCCATCCATTAAGTCTAGACCAGACCAATTGACAAATTTCTTCGTGAAAATACTAACTCTTCCATCTGTCATAACCACGATACTATGTAACACTCTCTGCCTCGCCATAAATATTTCACTGGAACCAGAATACTCAACAGCTAATCGGAGTTAAGTCTGGAACACGCAAATATCAAACTCTGTCATTCACTGGGGCCCCGGATGAGAAACTTGTTTTATGCGTCACCTACTACATGTACATGTAGTCATGTAGCATGTAGGATGTATGTATTCACCAAGGAAGGATTAGACGACAACCGCCAAAAACAAAAAACGAGAGAAAGTAAGGAAGGAAAGAAATGCCGACTTCATCTTCAAATGGTTGTTTACAAATACATTTATTATCTAAACCATTACTACACGCCCAATAGGCCTTAGGGTGAGGTGATATACAATTATACTGTCTCCAGCTTCAGTTCGCATGGACTAACTCGGACTCTTATATCTATCCAATGAGATATTGGTAGAATGTTTCAGGGTCCGCGGGCCGTCAATGGTAGACTAGATGTCTTCGAGTGCTCTAGCGAGCGGCCATATCTCGTTCGGCATACATCTTTAGACGGAAGCGACTCCCATAAGCACGGCAGTGGCTGAAAGTAAGCCTTACATAACTCTCGGGAAACGGCGGGAATATACAGCCACGATAAGAGATCGACTGGACGCACGTTGCCCAGGCATCTCTGGATCTTGGGATCATGCGCGATTGCTTTATAAAATTACTGGTTAGGCATACACATGTGAATGACATCTTTTGCAGAGGAAGGTATATCAGGAATTAGTTATTCACTTATGTCTCAGATGAACGTGGCCAATGTCTTTGCTGCACCGCCGATAGATTCACACACACCACCATCCTTCATTGGTAATTATATATAGTTTCATTCTCAACAGTGAGTATTGCAGATCCAGGTTGAGAATCGCCGAAACGGCCGGCAGATGCATCGAGTCCGTAAGACCGAATAAATTTCCACCAGTAACATGCAGCCTTATTGATCCACAACCATAGAGCAAGCTTAATGCCATCACTTCAGTGTGCTTCACGCAGTACCTGGACCAGGAAACAAGCCTAAGGCTTATCTAAATCCACCACTAAGGTTTGGTTCTAAAGTTATTGCAGTGCATGCAACGAATCCCTATCCTGGAATCCTTGAATAATGCCATCCAAATGCTCCACGACAACAGCACCCCACAGATGCTTATTCTTGTACCCCGCCATATCCTCTGGATACGCCTCGATCTGAGCTTTGAGTATCCTTGCAACATCCCTATCTTTAGTGATACTTTCTACTGGAGTAATATACGTTCGAATCCCAAATAATAGGGCTTGGGTCCGTGGTAGCCGTTTCAAGGTCTGCCTCTCAACTCGAAGGTAAATATTACCAATAGTAAGTTTTTCCGAGCTCTCAGCCCCAATGCTGTGGGTCCTAAAAAGTTCATACGATATATCCAGGTTGTGATTAAATCGCTGGATTGGCGAGGTAACCTTCAGCTTCGAGAAGAACCGGTCCATGGATTTTGCGATCCTAGGTTCGTATTGTGGGACATTCCCAGCGTGGATGCGATACAAGCTATGACCAATACGCTCCGCCAGTCGCCAGCCCGCTACATATACACATCATTGATTTGTTAGCTAAATGAAAGTGCTGCTTATTTTAAAATTAAGTAATGTAAGCAAAGCATCAATCAATACTCACAAGGAAAACACACTGCACCAGCCCGCAGATGATACTCATCCCCACCCTCTGGGTCCTTTTGCATAATGACCCAGTCCTCAGTGCTCAACAATCCCATCACTTCCAACGGGTGCGTCTTCTTCTCCTCCCACATCTTGGACTCCCTCCGTAGATCCCAGTCCTCACCGGTGACAAGATTAATGATCCCGCGCTCCGTCTTCTCAAACATCCCTGGATATCGTCGAGGCAAAAAATCCACCAGCATCTCTAGCGATTCGTAGGATGCGTCCTCCGAACCTGGTAGTGACTGCACAGTCTCCGAACGCTCTCGAGAAAATAAATGTCGTTTGTAAGCCAAGCGATCGAGGTAGGTTTTGTCGAGCTCGATCCAGTTCTCTGCAGACAAAGGCTTAAGTCCTTTGCAGCCGCGTGGTCAGTGGATTCGCATGCATGCGTAGAAATTCACCATACCCATGCTTAGGAAGTAGGGCCCTTCTTTGAAGGGTCTGTACGGGACCTCCTCCGTCTCGGCCCAGTTAGAGCCCATGGCATGTGGTTTGATCACGGAAAAATCCCAGCCCGTAGGCTCCGCTACAGAACCGTTAAGAGTCTGTTATTAAGATAGCTATCTGATAGTATATAGTTAATATTGGCTGACCTACACTTAGCACATTCTCCAGTCGGTAACTTTTTCCCTGGTGTCGTGTAGAAGAAAATGACGTATATCGAGGCGGCTATGAGAAGCACCCAATATATCCAGCTTTCAAAAGTATGGGGAACTCCTCTGATGGCACCGAATAGGCTTTCAGAAATAGAGATAGCGGACATCTCTGATCAACGTTCCCGGTGTGGGGTAACAGTAGTTATGAGGTGTAGCAGTGTAGCATTACAGTCAGGAGAACAAGGGTTGACGTTAGCGTACGTAGCGCTAGCTTCATAGTCAGCACCAACTACAATTATGCAACTCAATTTGCGGCTCATTATTATTAGGAAGCTTAAGTGCCTGCGCCGAGAAATTTAGGGCCGAGAAATGTATCTACATATACGTACACCCATACAAGGCCAAACCCGGGGAGGGGTTAGGATGTCATAATACTTGCGCTGCCCTACATGTATTTATTTGTATCAACATTATAGTAGTCTCAGAGGACGAGCAAGTTCTAGCGAATAGGCTCAGTTACAAAGGGTTTTCAGGTACGGCATATATACTACATCGATTACATACCATATCCTAGCCGATCCACTGAACTCAATATGTGTACCTTAATTTGATTGATTATGTCACGCAATATAGGGGACGTCCTGACAAAAGCCACCTGGCCAGGGGCTCATTGGGGGGGAATGATTCCGAGAAATGCACACGGTGTAACAGTCAACCCAACCTTTAATGCTTCTAGAAGCATGACGCCCGCCGCCACCAACTCGAGAGTAAAAGCTTAGCGACGGAATCACATGGTTGTAACTTTCTTTCTTTTGACATGGATTTCTAATATAACAGTTGCTTTTTTTTTTGTTCTTTTCTTCCTTGCGTTTTTCCATGTCTCATTTCCTTTGAGTAACACTCCGGATCCCAGCGAACTTGTGAGCGATTATTTTTTGAAAAAGATTAATTCATTCATAATTGAACTGGTAATTAAGTTATCGAAATTTAAGGAAATAAAGCAAAAACTCCTAATCATGATACAGCCGTTGTCCATACAATCACTCCCATAAGTAACCCCCTTTTGTCTATTCCGTTCCCTGCCCATGCCCATGAAGAAAACCAACTTTTAAAAAACCTTCCCATAGCCCGATAAATACCCTAAATAATAAGAAAGAAAAAGGAAAATGTACAGGATAGAATGCAATTCAAGGGGAAGGGAATAAAGAATAAAGAATAAAAAATAAAAAATAGAGTCAAGAAAACGAGAGGCCAGTAAATGGCAGTAAAACGACCAGCGGGGCCGAGAAGCAAAGAAAGTAAGGTGTGATGTAAAATGCACTGAAGGGAAAGCATAATCCGTTTTGACCGATTAAGGCATGTTGGGCGGGAGTGAATAAGCTCTGCTTGGTGGTCTGACATCGTTGTATGGGACCGCTAGTACCGGTGGCTCCTCAAAGGCTTGACCTTCCACATCTACCATACTGGCGACCGCCGTGGCAGGCCTGGACTTTTTGATGATGAACGATAACTGCGGCAATAATCCCCTCTTGGGACATTGAGTTTCGGTGATGAGCTCGTCTACATCTTCACGAAGCAAGTTCATTTCGTTGACCAGCTGTTGAGAAAGAACGTCAGTAATGGGCCTTGAAACGATGATCTTGATAATATGAAGGGACTTACATCTGAAAGTCTTCCTAAATCGGAGAAATTCCTCTTGATAACAACTTCTTCCGCTACAATCTTGGCCGAGAGGAACGTCTGATATTCGCTGAGTACAGAGGATGATAGAGATTGGTTTCGAGGCATGAATAGTCTAGCACTAAGCGTGTGGGATATCACGAGTAGATCGTTGCAGAGCGACGCCAACAGCTTCAGCCTCAAGCCTTCACAGGTCCCAGACCTAGCCATGACTGGTATCCCATCATTCTCGCCGATAACCAGGATCATTACATCTTCCACCTTTTCCAGAATCCTCTCAAATCTTTCATATGGCCAGTGTCCAGAAAGCGAGACTTCGTATACAGTAGCTGGCAATAGCAACTTGGCAAAATTGACTCTGCTGGAAGCTTTCTTCGCCATATCGTCGAACTTTTCTTGGAGACTTGGATATTGCGAGCTAGCCTCGATGGCAAATAAGAGATGGTGTAGCCAGTCAAGAGAATGTGAAATGCCCTTCACCAGGTGACTTCTAGACTTGAAGGGGAACAGCATAAGATGCACGGCCATGGCAACGACGACACCTACAGGAAGTGTCAAAATTCTCCTTGCAAATGCAGCAGAGACATTTCCGTGAGACGGAAAGACAGTTGCGACACCGAGTATAATGTTGTACGCCAGTGCAAATACTGTTCCTGCTTTCATGTATTTAGGGTTTGTAACGAGACATCCAACTATCAAACCAATGATTGGGGTGAGACAGATCGAGCTGTAATAATGTCCAAGTCCAATCGACATGACGGCCCAAGCCGAAAACCCACCCATCAAAGCACCAAGGAGTTTCATGCCAGCTGTCCTGAAGGTCATTCCTCGTGTGGTTTCCATGGCCACCATGGCAGAAATAAGGGCCCATTGAACCCTCAAGTCCTCGTACCAAATGTACCATCTTTGAATGAAAGCGGGGAGAGATAGAAGACCCATGACGACAGCGAACTTGATTCCGTATTTTATATGGCGAGAGTTCCTTAACGAGCACAAAAGATCAGAAAGAAAGATGCCAAAGCGATCCAATCGAGTTGTTGCTTCACGAAGCATCAAGTCCTCGTCCTCATCCGGGTCTATGGTATCCTGACTAGCCTCTCCCCCTTCCTCGGTGGCAGAATCTTCTGTTTCTGCTTAAGGTTAGTGGTCTTGATAGAAGAAGCTAAGGTAGGAGAAATGTTTGTAAATCTTACCTCGATAGATTTTACGAGGAAGCCAGAGGGTTAGTCTCTGTTTCTTCATACCTTCAACAATCACAGCGATATCCGTTACTATGTCAAACATTTCCAACAGAATGGTATTAACTTGATCTCGATATGCTGCTTCTTCGAGCTCTCTTGTGCTTGATACCGAGCGTTGGCTAGATTCGGCGTCCCATTTCTCCGGGATCTCATTAACCTTAGCCCAGTACTTTTCATGATCAATCACGGAGGTGACTTCACGTCCGCGAAACATCTCTTCAATCCTTTGAGCCATCGAGTCGAAGATTTCTGATGTGCTAACAAAAGTATCGTCAACTGTTTCTTTTGCAGCAGACATGTTTTCTCCTCTTGTGACCACTGTCACGGAAGAAGTGCGTGTTGAATGTATGGTTGCAGGTGGAAAGAGATCTTCAAAGCGACGTCTGAGGTTTGGATAAAGTCGGTTTCTCCTTCGCATGGCAGAGTTGAATATCCGTGCTGCAGATACCAGCTTGGCCAGGGCCACATCAAAAGGAACGAATTCCGACGATGGAATCCTCGAAACAGAGATTTCATAACCAGCCTCTCGTAGAGAAGCATGGATCTTTGAATGTGCGTTCTTGAGTGAAGTGATATCGATCTCTTGGCCCGAGTCTTGCCTCAAAGCCCACCGGACCGATTCCATCATACTCTGTGCTGCCTTTACCCCATCGATCATATCATCTCGAAGGATAGAGGAATGATCTTCAGGCCAAAAAACGAAACCGACGACCATAGACACACAGGCTCCGAATACCATGACGTAGAAGAAATTCCGGAAAGTTTGTCCAAAGGTGTTGACGCCTCTAATAATAGCAAACATGTTGACAACCATGCCTAGAACTGTACCAAGATAGAGACGAGGGAACTTGGAGCGGATGTATCCGCAAAATGATGAAATTAAAACGAAAGATAGCCATAAAAACACTCGGCGGCCGAAAACGATGTTCTCATCATCGTCGTCCTGGATTAGTGCGGCAAGAAAGAGAACTAAGTTTGAGTACCCAAGGGCTATTAGGACGCCTATCAGTCCGATGGCTGTAGCTACAAGCTGCCCTCCAATAGTCTTGACGGGAAACATGTAAATGGCCTGGATATTGAAAATCACCAGTTAGCATGTTTGATAAAAAAAAGAGATAGCACTTGGTATGTACTCACAACTGTCCCGAGTAAAAATGGATTTGCCCCGTGGAAATCTGAGAATATGGGAGGTAACGTAAAAGCCACGGCCATAGTCAAAGACAAGGAAATCTTAAGAATACGTTTGTTGCGTTTTGGAGAAGCCACAAGGCCCCAGAAGAGGGCTTGGAGCACATTGATGATGCCCCAAACATGCTCTCTGAGTTGTGCTTCTTTGGATAATGGTGTATCGGCCATACTAAAATTTACAAGACTGTTGTTAGTGATCTATACAAAATGGTAGTCGCAATATGTAAATTATATCAATCATTTACAACTCCAAAAGCTTACCGTATGTTAGATGCCGAACGTGAGGGAAATTAATACTGCTATGGGTCCCAGTATGGCCTGCCGGATGTATCTGCTGAAGTTAAAGGAAGATACTGAGGTTAATGATAATCAATATCCGATGATGATGGCAGAGAATATTTGTTCACTTTTGGGGCGGCGGCGAGGTTATGATATATGTACCGCAAGGGGGGGGGGGGGGGGGTGGAGAGTTTCCTGCTTTTTAGGCATGTCTCACGTGGAAAAGAGTCAAAGAGTTACTGGCTTATGCTGGCAAGGAAATGTTTCTATCAATTTCTCTTGGTAGGGATTGACCAAGCATGTAGCGGCAGAATATTGCTGTAAGTGATATCACGGTCCTCCTGTCTCAGTCACTGGGGAGGAAAATTTGCGGCTCCTGGCGAGTTGGGAGTCGGGAACTGGAACAACGATAATATCTTTCCGTTCTCAACCTATCATGATCATGCGAAAGAGTTATACCAAGACCCTATTGAATATGTGGTATATCCCTACGACGATCATACATGCCGGCAATTTTGTTTGCCTGTTGGGGGCGAGAAATACGGGCGTATTATTTTTATTTTGTATGGGCACACATACAGCCATACAGTGTCGTTATAGAAATTCTAGAAAGCAGGCGCATAGTAAGTGCTGAGTATGTTGAGGCTTTGATTTTGAATTTCCTTAGGGAGTAAAAGGAGATGAAAAGCAATGGAAGTGGCGGAGTCCAAGCTTACATGACCTACGGGTTTAGCAGCCACGCGAACGCATCGAGCTCATTATCTGTAAACATTGGTACCGGAACAATCTGCTATTCGCTGTACCCTGGGCCAGATGGCTGGGATGGGCCGAATCTGGCGTATCCCAGACGACGCTAGGACTTACGCGACGTACCCCCCTGTAGTCCCGACAAACCAAATCCTATGTAACAGAGCTGCATATCCCTACACCCTGTACAGCTGCGAGGACCTAATCTCTCGCACCGAGTAAACTTGCAATTGGCGAAGTTTGATATAGCGGAACTTGATGATCTGGGGTGTGTGGAGGGCATGCGTGTGTCCTCTTGCTCATCCCCTTGATTGCTACTCTAGGTATGCACAGGTATGTATATACCCCAGTTAACTATGTTAACTATTCGCAACTAGATCCATCCGTAGACGTTCTACTAAGATATTACACGAACGATATTAACGTTTGTTTGTCACGGCGGATCAGGTATACCAACTTGCCTATCTACCTCCTGCCATGCCTGCCTACAGGTGGTAGTTACACCACAAAAGCAATACTATTTGAGTAGAATCAGATCAACGACGACATTGCACCTCGACCCCACAGACTTCCCAGACAGCCTTTTGCAACTACGTGGTTGATAATGGGGCACGTGTCAGACTTGTAAACATCTTCAGGAATGGTGCACATCCCATCCCACACGCCGTGACTGGCTGGGCTACAGATAAGTGCAAGTGCAAGCGTAGCTTCCCTAAACATGTGTATATATGTATGTGGCTAATCGCAAATACAGCTATGAAATTCATCCGATCCCTGGAAACCCACTTTAGGTTTCAGTGACGGTTATCAAAGGATTTATCATTCTCAATGGGAGTTATGTTACTCTAGTGCGTGACGTGGAGTAGACAGGATAACCTGTAAAGGGATCCGGATCACTTCGACCATACTGAGATAGGGACTTATCCGACGCCACACCCGTTGGAAAACAACGGGCCGCCGGACGGAAAGGGTTGGGTTAGGGCCAAGAAGAGCTTGGCGGGTGTTGTACTCCCACTTGATAACCCATATTTGTCTCATTGAGCCGAATGTTCGTGCCAAGTAATTGCTTTTCAATTCGAATGGGTAATTTATGATATCTACGTTTGAATTATTAAGCGTTGCTTCTGCAGATTTGACAACGTGAAGTGCTTCTCAACAGATGCAAATGAGATTTTATGGGGTACTCCAGTCTAAGGCAAGTTCCACTATTTACAACGAATATCATGGGAGAGACACTGTTTTGCCTATTTAAACTTTTAAGATAGCTATATTATCTTTCCGGGAAAGGCTGCTCCCTATAATTCAATTGTTGGGTTGATAATGCTTATAAGGCTGATCGTCGTTTATCTTTGCTACCATTTATAGTAGGTTTGCAGGACTTGGCGTTGCGCGATGTCGGAAAAATATTTTCCCGTTGGTTCGTTCAAAAGCCACAGATGGAGATGCATAGCAGAGGCCTACTAAGTAATGTATGTGTATCTTTTGTTATAATCTCAGCCAAGACTTAAGAGAGACGCACAAAGCTTACTACCCTGAATAGACCGGATATTGAGCGGACAAATTGGTGATTGCGGTAAGCTTAAGTTAAGAAGAGCCTAGAAACCTCGTACTAAATAGCGCCAAGTTTCCAACCTATGGAGATCTATTGGAGATAGTTCCCTTGAAACTCTGGGCACTGGGTTACTTGCCGGATCTCCGAGACGATCTGCAGGCATGGGTTTGTGTGGACGACAAAGCGAATCCTTGCACGTGATCGGCATGATTCTCGTGATTATTGAGAAATACTCAAATGTTTCCTATTGTTGAAGCTGAAGGAGTCTTCACTTCGGCACGGAGGTCTTCTCTTGAATCAGCCTGGCGCAAATACCCTATGACGCGTGGTCCCCCCCCCCTCCCCCCCCCACGCCTGTCTCTTGCATGCCTCATCCTCGAGACATGACTTTCCAGGTTTCAGATCGCTGTTAAATGGCTCTGGGTACGTGCTCTGACGAGTCTTTTCTCCTAATTCAATTTCAATAGTCTAGACTTCGAAGCCACTCGGAATTCTACACGAGGGGCATGCACAGTCTTGCATTTAGAAGGAGATACCTGCATACCTTTAATTATTGTGGGATGAAATATCTACAAGTGTGTAGATACCTATGTATCGCTGTGATAGATAAGGTTTATCTCCAGAGATATGGCGCGCATTGCCGATTTTTAATATAAACTCAACCCGGGTACCCTCACACATAACTAGTGTACATGCAGTTTACGCAGCCTTACTTGTATTCCTCCTTGTACCCACAAAAGCTGGGCAACTACCCCATATATTTTACACCTTGCTTGTTCGTGATCGGTTGTTTCTTATTTCCCGAGCGAGCGAACACTAATTTGCCGAATAGGGATACCCCAGCGTTACGCGCGAGAGAAGGATCAAGGGGACGCCGTATATGTACGTATGTATGTGCATCTACGCGTACACAATCTACGGAGTTTTTTCCCTAACTTGAATAATCCTAGGATTCCTAGGCTTATGCACGATACAGGCAGTTGGACTCTTGAGCGCCGAAATCGAGAGACTCTTCCCGACCATGAATTATTGTTTTATTTTCTTTTTGTTGACGTATGCATTGATTAATCGTCATGATCTACGGTTTAATGCCAATGGCTGGTTTTCATGTTAGTAACCGAGGATATATAATGCTGGCCTGCAGCTGGGCAGCGTTTTGGATATTGCGAATCTCGGAGGCAAACGGGATCGTAGAGAGAAAGAGAAAAAAATAAAGGGAAAAAAAAATAAAAGGCCAGTTACATGAGGAACCCACAGGAAGCACAGAGTATGACCAGCTGAACTCACAGTTTAACTTTGGGGAAATTTTTCCGTCCTAGCTTCTAAGTTTAATACAGCATTTCATGTCACCAATATGCAATACGGATACCGTAACGAATCAAGAGGAGCACAAAGGACCCAAGCTTATCAAAGCCAAGATTTTTCTCTCTTTGAAGAAAATAATAACTTCATAACTCAGACTATACTTGTACTCTGTAACAATGCTTTCCCCGCACAAATCAGTCTCGCCGGTCCAGGGTAGTTGCCGTTCTCAAGGGAAAGCGCAGTTATCGTGTTTCCCGAGATTTCGATCTGGATGTTCGTTATTCCCGGGGGGCGTCAAGTCGTTGCGATCATATCCTGGGTGAGCGTTAAGAAACGAGAACCAAGCCCGAGATTCGAGAAAAAGGATTCCGAAAAGCGGCTATTAGACTTTTATGGGTGAGTTTAGAACTTGATATCTCAAAACTAAAAACTAATCAAGCTATGATACTAGCGGAGTGAAGACCGGCAGGGGGCTGTGCAGCAGCTAGAAGCTTAGGTTTCATGTTAATGGTAGATATCGGCATGGTTGCAGTGGAGATCATTAGACCCTATTCAAACCTACACAGGTTTTGAAATCTGCTCCCACCAGTTATGCTTTTCGGCATTGAAAACTCGCTGAATTCGCTAAAGGTAGAATAATGCTTGTTTTATCTTGGTTTGCACTTACATCAAAAATTACTTGAGATTTTACAATGAGCACTAATTATCTTTGGGCCAGATATCGATATATCACTAAACAGCTGGTTGCGTCATGATATATGATTCACATATTTTCGTGATGATCGGAAGAAGGGAAAACATAGCTTCGTCTCTATACCTGTGCGGGGTATTATAAACTGTATCCGTTGACGAGGAATCATCAAGCTGACCATGGTTCATGGTTCTTAGCTCAAATTACAGTGTTTGACAAATTCGACTTTTCGTTCATGCAATTATCTGCACCAAAACTCACTCGGAATAACGATTAGGCTCGGGTGAAGTTTAATTCATGATCCCTGGTAAATCTACCAGCTTACACGTACCTGCTCAGCTTTCTTTATTCTCTCCCATGACTCAATTCATTGAAAACATTCGAGCTGATAAACATATTGCACTCAAGACCCCAATACCGAGAAACTCGGTCTCACAAGTTTTCCCGGTTTTATTATACTTTCCCCACTATTTCTAAGTTTCGACCCCAAGACAACATTAGCCCAACACCCGCTTTTGGGAATACATATACACCACCTCTTCAATCTCAATGTCACCCCAAAATTTCCTTAATTAAACGAGTGACATCCCATGATTGTTTACTGACGTTCGCTTTTCATTTCGGCAAACTAGCCCTAATTATGCGGGCGCGGCGCGCGGTTGTCGCCCGACGGCCGGCAACGGGCACTAAGAAGAATGGGGTGAGACAACACAACATCCGGAGGAGCTGTCCGTGGAAGAATTTAAGCACAGAGATCGCGGGTTTCCATCCCACCCCAATTCCGTGATCGCCGAATGAAGAGTACTTTACGTGATCTCCCCTTTCTTTCTTTTGTTCTATGGCCTCCTCTTTTTTCGAGTGTTTTTTTCCCTTTGATGGCCCATGGGCGGTACACATTTCTAATTCTAATTCTAATTCTAACCCTAACTCCAATTCCAATTCTAATTGCTGTATCTAGACCAGTGTGCCTGCGTATACCGTCGATTTGCGTATCTGCATCAGCTAGCTATGGGAAGCACTGACACTGAAATTCGGTTGTGCGGGCCAGAGTAGCTATTCGCTAGGTTCACCAGTTTCCTTAGGCAGGGTCGGTGATGTTGAAGATTTAACCACAGCAAGCATAGGTTTCAGGGGATCAGGCTGAGGGGAGAGTCCAATCCCAAAGTCCGTGAGCTCCTTCTACAGCCAGTTTGGAATTGTGGGGGGAAGGATCGGGATGGGGTGTGGAAGAAGAAAGAAGAAGTAAGAGGTTGGGAGAGACGGTCTGAGCTCACTCACTCCCCAGGTCGACATATGTAGGCAAGAACAGCATGTAAGTCTCTACCCACTCTACCTGGTCAGTAACCCAGAACCTCTCTGAACTTAACATACATAAGCAGTCAAGTCATATGATTCCCCATTATTCATTCTCCGCCCACCGCCTACCGCCCACCCTCGGAACCTCGGAGGCTACCGTCGGCCCCCCATGAGTGATGTACCCCGAGCCCAAGTGGTAATGCCGGGTACATACAAGCAGTGTGGGGCGTCGAAGCGATCGAGTGCGATGCGGTGCAGCGGGCCCTTTTGTCTCTCAGTCTCTGTCTGTCTCGCCCTCGCTCGCTCCGTCACGTCTGTCTGTCTGTGAATCCTGCCTCTCCTTCGCTCCGTCACTTCTCTGCGCTGCGGGGACGGACGCTGCTGTGATGTATGATGCACCCCACGAATGCACGAATGCACGCATCCAAGTGGGAACCAACCAGAATATATACTGCACTCTCCACCAAGAGAGGGAGGCGAATCAAAAACAAAAAGGAAAAATCCCGATCAATCGAGAAGAAAAAAAAATAAAAATCGGCGTTCCTTCTCCCAACTCGAGACCTCAAAGGAAAAGAAAAACCTCCGAGATGTCATGTGGCTACTCTTCTGTAGCTAGGCAGGCAGACTAGTGCTGTTCTGGTGTACCGGCAGGTACATGATACACGACACACCAATGGGCTGCAAGGGTAACAATCGGTCCACAAGCTAAGCACGCAGGCGGTTACTCTAGTTATACGAGCAAGAGTCAGGTCAAGTCCACAATTGCACAATTGCACTACAGGGGGCGGTGATGAAGGAATTGAGGTTGTTTCTTCTGTCTGTGTAGAGTAGACGATGTCAATTAAGTCTGTCACGGCCGCTAACTCTAGCCCACCGTTCCATACCCATCATCCATACCGTCATACCAGACCATACCATAACGAGGGATGATTACTCTATGTATGTACGAGGAGATGCTTCCTGGAGTACTGGCAAGCGAGCGAGCGAGGGCTAGGCTGCCCCCCCCCCCCCCCCCCGCGGCAGCTGACGGTTGATAATTGAGCGGCATCGGACATGTCTAGCTGGCCACTCATAAACTGCGCGCTTTTGAAACCCGACTTCGGCGGGGTTCGTGCCGATAGACACAGGTACCGCCGTAACTAACATACGTGTGGCCGTGGTGTTGCGCCATGGAGTCCATTGTTCTTTCGTTCTTCCTTCCCCCCCCCCTTCTCCGCCGACTGTCAGCTTTCATCGTTTCAACTCGTTCATTCTGCTAAGTATTTGCAAGTTCAAGTTCAATTTTGTTCATTTAGACAATTCAGTTGAGTTCAATTAAAAGACTATTCACAAACTCGAGCCTCAAATCGCAAGACAAAAACACGATCAAAAAAAAAAAGGGCGCAAACAAAAAGATAACTGTAACAGTAATTTTTTTTTGATTGGAATATAACTATATTCGTGAATTGCATAACAGCAGAAAAATAAGGACTCCTTTTTTCTTTTTACCGAATAAAATGAGAGAAAAAATTGAACACGCAAAAATGAAAAGTGAAAAAAATAACCCATACCCCTCCCACCGAACCCTCACAACACAATTCAGAAAAAGAGAGAGAAAAAACCCATCAACTACTAAACATCTTCTCAAAAGAAGTATCATAGACCCTTGTGCACCAAACCCATCAATCTTATAAAAAACAATGTAAAAAAAGGTGATAAAACATATAACGTTAGAAATGGGGCGTGAAAATAAAGTAAGGACATGAATGTTAAAAGGCCGCGCAAAAAATCAGAAACAAATGAGAATGTAAATAGGTGTTACCGAAAGGGCTGTGGCAAACGGAACATACGAACGTAAACAACTGAATCGCAAAAATAATAGACAAAACGGCAAGAGGAGAGTGGATAGAATCTATTTCTTTCCGCCCTTCTTCTTTCCGCCCTTGCTCAGACGCTCCTTCTTGGAGAGCTTCTTCTTCTTCTTCTGTACCTGGGTGTTCTTTGGCTTGACGGCCTCAACAACCTCCAGTGTGGGCTCGGCCTCCTGGACTTCTACTGGTGCCTCCTCGGCAGGTACTGGGACCTCCTCGACGACAACAATTGACTTCTCGACAGGTGTAGGCTCAACGATCTCCTGGATTGCGACGACCTCCTCGACCTTCTGGACAACCGGGGCGGCGACGATCTCCTCAATGGCGACGATTTCCTCAGCCTTCTCGGCGACGATGACAGCTGGGAGCTCGGGAACGGCGATCTCGACCTCTCGGACTTCGATCTCGACGGGTGCGGCGGGAACAAACAGCTCGGTCTTCTCGGCAACCTCCATGACAAGCTCGGGAACCTCAGTCTTGACGACCTCTGGGATAACAAGCTCGATGGTGGCCTTCTCCTCAACGGCCTCAATCTCCTCGACAGCCTCAACCTCCTCAACGGCGGCCTCAATCTCCTCGACGGTCTCAACCTCGACAACGGTCTCCATCTTGTCCAAGCTCTCGACCTTGAGCTCACCGCCCCACTCGCCGTCGTTACCGCCGGCACTGCTGATTGGGCTGAGAGGTGGGCTGCGCTCGTAGTCGTAGTCGCCCTCCTCAGAGTGGCTCTCAGAATCGGAGCTGTTACTGGCGGAGGTCTCCTCGGTCATTCCCATAGCCTCGGACTGCTGGGCCCAGGCGCGGATGTTCTTCTGGAGGCGGGGGTCACGGATCTCGCGGAGGCTGTACTTCTGGCTGATTCCCATGGGTGGGCAGGAAACGGGTCTCTCGGGGGCCTCGAAGGTGATGGTCTCGGTCTCGGATTCGGTGGTAGGCGACATGATCTCCTCAGTGATCTCCTCAGTGTTTGACTCGTTGTCGGAGGCATCATCTACAGAGTTGGAGGCGGCGTTGGAGTCACAGTACGATGAGTTCAAAGATTCGACAGAGGGGCAAGAGCAGAGCTGCTTGATGGGCATTGGCTCGGCGAACTCGGCGGGGGCAGTGCAGGACTTGATAGCAATTGGCTCGGCGACGGCGGCAACTTCCTCGACGGGGTATGTCTGGGTCATGAAGCGGGGGAGCATGGCGGCATTGAATGGGGTGTGGACAATTTCGATCTGGAGAAGGCAATTATTAGTATTTCCGTTTTGGGTTGCAATAGTAGGAATTATTAGCTGCACTATGATGCTTACCTTCTCGACAACGGCAACGGATTCGACTTCAGCAACCTCCTCGACAGCGGCAACGATCTCCTCCTCGACGGGGGCGGCGGCGACAATGATCTCTTCCTCAACTGGGAGCTCGATCTCGACAACCTCGGGTTCGGCGACAGCGACCTCTTCGACAACCATTTCGATCTCAGCAGGCTCAGGGATGGAGGCCTCTACGACTTCCTCTGGCTCGGAAACAGCGATCTCGGCAACGGCAGCAACAATGGGTTCGGGAACAGAGACGGCCTCGACAACCTCCTCGATGGGGGCAACAATTTCCTCAACTGGGGCAGCGACTTCGATAACCTCTTCGACGGGGGCGGCGACTTCAATGACTTCCTCGACTGGGGCAGCGACTTCGATAACCTCTTCGACGGGGGCGGCGACTTCAATGACTTCCTCGACTGGGGCAGCGACTTCGATAACCTCTTCGACGGGGGCGGCGACTTCAATGACTTCCTCGACTGGGGCGGCGACTTCGACAACCTCTTCGATGGGAGCAGCGACTTCGATGATTTCCTCGACGGGAGCAGCGACTTCAATGACCTCCTCGACTGGGGCGGCAACTTCAACGGGGACAGCGATTTCCTCAACCTCGGCGGCGACCTCTTCGACGATCTCGGGCTCGGCAACAGTGACGGTCTCGACAACAGGCTCGGCGGCAACGGCAACCTCTTCGATAATCTCTTTCTCGATGACGGGAGCAGCGACAACAACCTCGGGTTCGGTGACAGTGACGGTTTCGGTGACGGGGGCAGCAACTTCCTCAATGACCTTGGACGATTCGACAACGGGGGCAGCCTCGAAAACCTCTGGCTCTGGCATGGCAAACATGGCGAAGGTGGGGATCATAGCAAGCTGGGTGGACATTGAGATACATTCTTGTTCGGTGACGGCGAGGACTTCCTTCTCTGGGATTGAGACCTGTTCGACAACCTCTTCTTCGGTGGACTTGATTTCAGGAACTGAGACGACTTCGAGGACTTCCTTCTCTGGGATTGAGACCTCTTCTTCGACTACAGGGGCAACGATGGCAGCAACGACTTCCTCAGGAACGGCAGCCTCGACGACGGGAACTGAAACAAGGACGGGGGCGGCAATGGCCTCCTCAACAACTTCGGGCACGACGACAGTCTCGACCACGGGCTCAACGACTGAAACCTCCTCAACAATCTCTGCTGTGGGGGCAACGATAAGCTCAGGGACGGGGGCGGCCACGATAGTCTCCACAGCAACCACGGCCTCTTCGACCTGGGGCTCTGCAACAACAACGGGAGCTGCAACAACTGGTTCGACCACCTGGGTAGGGACCTGTTCGACAGCCTTGGGTGCTTCGACCACTGGGGCCTCAGCTACAGCAGCTACAACTGGTGCAGCTGGCTCGACGGCAGCGACGACATCCTTCGATGGCGCGGCTGCGGACGATGAGGGTTCTGAAGAGAATCTCTTTTGCACTACATCAACAACCTTTCCTTTCGTCTTCAAAACAAAAAGGGGACAGCAGTTAGTTTTCCTGAAGGGTGGTTGTTGGTATTGGGGCTGGGGAGTAAAACCTGTGAAACTTGTGCATCCTGCTGCTGAACGACTTTTGACTTTTTGAAAGAGCCTACCTTCTTCAGGCCCATGGCCATCCGGGAGAAAACGCTAAAGGAACCCATGATTGATGCTAAAACTGAAAACTGAGGAGCCTGTGGGAATATATATATACGAGTTAGCGCACTGGCCGTCACACACTCCTATAATGGTTTGAAATATGGCCACATAATAGCAACCCCAACAATAACATACCAACGGGAATAAGATAATACAGCAGATCAGAAATGAGACAAAGTACGCTAGTGGTGCAGACAGGTAGGAACTCGGCGTGGTCGAGGCAGTGATCAAGGGTTGCAGTAGTGCCTTCCAAGACATAAGACTAAGAACAAAGACTACTACTAAAAGAATGGCTCGGATGAGTGCCTTAAAGAGTAATGATGCTGATGATGATATTGAGAAGAGAGTGGAAACGAGCTGGTAGTTATGAATCTTTATACCATCTGGATGCTCAGTTACAAGACTTTTCATTATTGAAGGGTGTGGTAGGTAGAGATCGAGTGTTGAATTCTTGGATATCGTGTATAATTTTTTTTTCCCTCTTACTGTTTCTCCGTTTTTTCTTAGAGGCTTTTTTTTTTGCTTTCCGTTCTGATCTTTCTTTTCTCTCACCCTCGGCGTATATGCACAGTTTTCTTTAAGCAGTTATGCATATTCCGAATGCATGACATGGGTGTTTATATCAGAAGGAAGAGAAGGAAGGAAAAAGGAAGAGGTAGGTACTCTAGTCAAGGTCAAACAGCTCAGATCGAAGCTCGTAGGTCAAGATGATTGAGCCCATGATGTGTTGACACGCAATTGCATGATGGGGGGTGGAGGGCTTGCGCTTACAAGTTTACCAGGCAGGGGTTTCTAAAGATGTGAGCGAGTGAGAAAGAGCCGTATGCTGGGGTAAGGGGGAGTGTGGTATCCATAATAGACAGGACCCAGAGTCAGTCGCCGCTAATGCGTCTAAACATATGGTCGTGCCTGGTTGGCGGGGCCACCGGAATTACTATGGACCGCCTGTCATCAGTCGATCGATTTGTCCAACGATCAGCCATCTTTCCTGCTGCTTTCTCTCTGCTGCCGCTCTATCACCATTGCTCAGTTTGCCTTCTAGGCTGTCTCTTCCCTGATTTGCCTGGGCCAGCGGCAGCAGAAGCAGAAGCAGGAGGAGATGCTGTTGCTGCTGGCTGCTGGCTGCAAGAATTGCTGCTGCGGCGGCGGCCGCCAGATGGGATTATTTTTTCCCCTTACTGTTCCAGAGTTTCCTGAAACCGGAGAGCAGAAGGCGCTGTGAGGCCTATATTTGGAGGTAGAACCAAAAAAGGGGAACACAGTCGAAATAGCTACACTGAAAACATACATGCAGAAGCCAGAAGCAAACTAAACGCCCAAAAGGAAACAGTAAACACACACCCATGGGGAGAAGCTAGAGTAGGTAGCTAGAGAACAACTCGCGACCTGTACATAGAGCAGAGCAGAGTGAGTGGTACCTTAGACCTACATAGTCAGCGGAGCGCGACAAAGAGGGAAAAAAAACAACGAAAACGAAAAAAATAAATTTAGCAGAGCCCCAGCTTAGTTAGACCAGAGAGATCACGTTGGTAGAGTACATTACGAGCCTGCTTTTGCTTGCTGCTGCATCCTCCAACACATGTACACCCGAATAGAGGGCCAGCGATGCCCTGCAGCGACACACAAGCGCGCACCAGGGCTCAACGAATCTCCGATTCAACGGGATCACTCGACCAATCTTCACCCGATCGAAAAATTAAACTGTGACTTTTGTGTTCTTGCTTAGCGCTTCTGGTCTGTATGTACTCCAGAGGAACTTGTCACTCTTTAGCTTAGAGAGCAGGTACGAGCGACAAGAGGTGAGCACTCGCTTTTTTTCTTTTTTCTTGGGTAGCAGTAGTAATCAATAGCAATATAGTAGTAGTAGTAGTAGAGAGAGAATAGAATAGTGCAATTGGTACGAGCGGTACCTCGTTACGCCTAGCCTTCAACCTTCTTCTCCTTAGTCGGCCTACACTCCCCTACCGTACTATTGAGTTCCCCAGGGCAGAGCCAGCCTTGTGTGTGTGTCTTGTCTAGGCTTGTCTTCCCTCGGCTGCACCCCGTCTGTCAAATCCTCCATTCGCCCACTTGCCCACTCATTTTCTACTTTCGCTGCTATTTCGAACAGCGCAACATGGAATTGTGTCTCTTTTCATGGATTGAGCATCCATCATGTGCATCCTGGAATGCAATGGGCTTTTTCGATCTAACTCAATCCAACCCACTCCAACCCACTGACCCCATCACTTCCGCATGGCAATTCCTTCTTCCTTCCTACTCTAGCTGTATGCCTGTAACTATGCCTCCCCCTGCCCATACATCATCCCCCCCCCAGACCAGACCAGACAGACCCTTACCCACACGACACCCCCCTCCAGTTCTCGCGTCTCCCCTAGTGTACCCCCCTACCCTACCCTACCCTACGTAGGTAGGTACCCCGGCAGGTTGACGTCTGTTCATCGAACTTTCTACACGCTCAACAGTTCTCGCACCGTACCGTATCTACAGAGTGCACCCACCACCCACCACACACCATCACAGATTCACAACCAAAACCCAACCCACCACCACGTAAGTAGGTACAACCCCAGAATTTCACCTCTGTAGATTTCATGCCCAACCGTTCACCACCCAGGGAACCAACCTCAAACTATTGGAATCGCACCCACTGCCCGCACAATGGCGCAAGCCATCAAGATTCAAGATCAATCCCTAGATCAACAAAGCTAGCAGTACTAGAAGCAACGTCTACCGTAGATTCACACCTTGGTAAAACCATCGTGGACATGAAGCAAGCAAGCTACCCTTCGGTCCGTACCTAACCTTTTTGCCCCAGATCAGCAGAGATTCATCAATTAATTCGCGATGCTTTTCTTTTTTCCCGCTCACCACACACACCCACCCAAATTGGTTCCCCACTTAGTGATGGCCTACATATCTAAAGTGCTACATACTGTACGAGTACTCTACTCTACAGTCCTACATCCAAAGGGATGAGCCGGACCGGACTGAACTGAACTGACTCGGTACTTAATTTCAATTCGGGTCAAGTCTCAGAGTTGCAGTGTGCATGTCAGAAATTTGTACTCCCTTCTCTGTTCCCCGTCGTGTGTAGAAACCTTCGGCGTCCTCCACTGGCACTCTCATCACCCCCACACTGTGATAGGCTGGGCGTTTCTAGATTAGTCTAGATAGGAGATAGATACTCAGGAGAACGTTAACGGGTGTGGGCCCGTTTTTTGTTTTTTTCTCCCAATTAACCCTTTATTTTTTATTTTATTATTTCTTTTTTCCAGTGGTCCTTTTTTTTTCTGGCTGGATATATCTACTTGCGCCTACATACATTCCAGCTGGACTGATACTCCGGGGTAAATTTCATCATCGTCATCGTCATCAGCGAACAGAGAGAGCTAGAGGAAAGAGACGTGCCCTTCAATCAGATCTTCGTTGAAATTTGCCGCGTTCAATTGCAAAAAACACTAGACTACATATGCTGCGCTTCTCGAAACGGATGACGCCCGCTTCAAAGTTACTGGGGGGAGTACCGGTGGCGGGGGAGGAAGAAGAAAAAAGGATAGATTCGTCGAAGGGGAAAGAAAAGAAAGGACCACCACCGAGTTCCAAATCTGATGCACGCATTGGATTGGACCCGTTTCTACGAGGGCCATGGTACATTACTCTACGGTCTCTACCTACTTGCTCTAGTGGGTGAATTCAACTGGTTTGGCTTGACTTGCATGATAGGTAGGGCGATATCCGCGCCTACGATGAGCAGCAATCGGATTTTGTTTAAATCTAGTGGTGTATGAGATCGAGATGAGTATTCTGCTGCTGACGTTCATGCCTTTCACAAAAGTTTTGAGTTATATATGTGTTAGCACGCCTAAAACAACAAGTAATAGGAAAAAATAAAGAAAAGGAAAAAATAAATAAAGAAAAAATAGATTTCCACCAAGAAAAGAAGTAATAATGGATGACGTGACATGATATGACCTAGGCTCTCCTCTGTCTCGTTCCTGTGCTGTCTGGCTGTCGTTCGTCCCTGGCCAACCAACGGATGCAACCCCAACCCACCAACTAAACAAACCAACTAAACAACGAAACCAACCAACGCAATCCGAAACAAACATGAGATACGTCGGAAATGACATTTACCCAGCGCCGCAGCAGCAAGGCTGATTGTTTCCCGAAGGACCTTCTCGTACTTTCAAAGCAAACAAACATCTACAATTTCAGTACCCAATCGCTCGTTCATGTGCATCTGCGAGCGAAAAAAGTTTCCATGCAGCGCAGCACAGTAGTTTAGTTTTTTTTGGGCGGGGGGTCAACCGATTTTTTTTCATTCCACTAAGCAACAAACCCCCGTCTGTCCGTCCATTGGAGAAGAGCGACTTGGGCGACCAATCAGCATAAAAGTGAAACATGCAGCAGGAGATTCTCGGGGAATTGATTGGAGACGTGGAAGGTGTGTGGTGTGTGACACTGTGTGTGGTGTGGGATATATCGGTAATCGCTAAACAGCACGAATGACGGGAAGCAGTCGAGATGTGGATGCGGTGATTGGTTCCAGATCTCGACCACACATCTCGCACACTCGAAACAAAATTAAAAAAATACGAAATTTTTCTCCTTCACAAACGTTGTGTTACGAGGGCAAGGGGGAATTGTGTCTTGTTTGGACGTTCTGGCCTGAGGGTGGCAGATAAGGCTTGGAAGTCTAGAGTGTCAATCTACAGCACGGTTACTAAATACAAATTTTGTTTTTTAGATCGTTAATTTCTTTCTTTTTGATCTGTTACTACTTGCCTCGGAGTGACGTTCAAGATTGAATCGTAGGATCGCAACGCAACCTCCACCTCTCTCCACCTTTCAACATTGCCATCACCACCGTCAATCACCACACCACCACTACCACCATGATTGTCACTACTAGTACTACTACCGGCTTCGCATACATCGTTCTGCGTCCTGCTAACTGCGGAGTAATTGTGGGGTCGGGTGCTCCAACGACCCCGCTACCGGCGTACATCAGATACGAACCTATAACACCCGGTCATCTCAGGCAATGCTATGCCTACCGTACATATGTACGGTGCCTCTGGGGGTAGCGGTGTGTGCGCCATATGAGATACGCGCAGGACTATCGCGATCGCAAATGGACTTTTTCCTGATGTTTCTTATATCCTCACGATCACTGCAAGCAAGTGTCAGACGTTGGTCCGTGCCTGGAGCTGCCCAAGTGACTTATTTTTTTAAACTACATACCCGGAAAGTAG